TCCAATAATAGGCCAACACCTTATTTATTGATAACTTCACATCATATAGGTTGTTAGTGAATGTATAGAGTCAGAAAATGAATAGGCCTCAATGACAGTTTGTTTCTTTAGTCAAAAAGTAGGCTAATGAAATTGAATCATCCACAAGGCCAACAACCTTAAATTTGAGTATCTGTATGGAATTCAGCCATCATTACTTTTATAATTAACATCTGTGCTCATCCTCCTGACATGTCAAAATGTCATCAATAAGAAAGGCTAACGCTGAAATATCAAACACACCCTTCCTATTAATCAGTAGGCTGCATGTAGCATTTGAGGGAGTAAACCGAGTGCAGGGACTGGAATTGAAGTGAAGTAACGATCACATATTTATTGCACTAAATGCAGATAGGATAGTCATTTCTGTGCAGCAATCATTTTTGTCCTGATACTTGCGACACCTGAAAATAAGGAGGATTTAGGATTTATTAGCAAAACCTAATCAAGAACCAGCAGGTTTGTAGCAAAAACCACAAATTTAACCGTAAATAGCTGCACACGTTTGCCTCTTCTCACACATCATTTGGTCAGAAAACAGGCCTATTTTACAACAACACTTTAAATACCTATTTTCCTCTAGAAAGGGCAGTTCTGAGGGACAGGTACAGGTGCTCATCTGGCTGCAATTTTAAAATGTCCAATAGTTTTAGTAGAGATTAATTGGTAATATTTGTATAGGTAATAAATCATCAGGGAAGCTTTCAAGATCAGGTACGAACAATTCATAGTAACCATTTTAAATAAGCAAATTTTTTGAATCCCTTTGGCTGGTATTTATTTTTGACCTTTGGGAAACAGCTGCAGAACATCTAGAACATGATTAATAACTTACTTACAACTGCAGACACGATGGGTTGTTGTAAAAGCAATTCATCATTGACTCACTTTAAACGGCAGAACTGATGGCTTGTTTGAAAGACGGCCACACAGAAGCAACAGTCTACTCACGGCACATACCACAGCATCTCAACGACAACTGTTCCATTCATGGCAGGACAACATTTGTTCCACGTTCTAGCCCTGTTTTCTTCCCATGTTTCCAGTGTCCTATCACCAATGCAACTTATAAACACTTTATAAAAGTCAGAAAAGTTGCAACCATAACTGTAGGCTAAGTGTTTATTACAAATTTGGTTACAAGTTCCGTTTAAATTCTAATTTAAATAAAGATTTTAAACGAAAAGTTGAGAATTCTGGAAAAAAATATGCTTCTTTCTGAAATTTAGTTGGGAAAATGTATGCCGGTGTCTTCGATGTCTTACGCTACAGCTAGCAGCCTGTTCACCCTACACTAAGACAGGAGACAACCGGATGCAGCTACTGGCCCAGTCCAAAAGTCCCATAATGGGTTAGTTGGTTCAATGAGTTGTAAAGACAACATATGTATGGGACAGACAATTATTTCACAAGTATGAACACTTCCCCTTGTCTCTGTGCATTACCTAGAAGCTGTTCAGGGTTAAAATAGAAGGACTAATGTTTGTTTTTTTCTGGTTTGCTTGCCTCACCCTGCTGCATGCTTTAGAGAAACTGGCTAAATTTGAGTTTCTCCCTTTATGTGCGACTTCTGTAATTCTCAGACCATTCTCACCAGCCTGTCAGACTAGAGAAAGTCAAAAAGGAACACTCATCTGCTCCAGTGGAGGTTTTCACATGAGTCAGACTGGGGTTATACTGGGTGGCTTCCAGGTGTGAATACGTCCATCGTGTGAGCAGGGCATTCCAGGACAGAGCATTCATGCTCAGTGGACTTGGACTTGAAACATTAATTGGCATTGGCAAAATACACAGCCGTGCAGATGCACATGCACTGGGGTGGCTGGGACCTGGAGGCCAGCGGAGCAGAGTACACTGTAGATGGTATCCGCTACATGGCAGAGGTTTGCTTCTTACAAAAAGAAGTTTGTCTTGATAAAAGAAAGGATCGAGAGATGCTTTAAAGGCTCTTCTTTAAAAAAAGGAGTTTGTCTTGATAAAAGAAAGGATCGAGAGATGTGCCAAACAAGTTCAAATTGACCTGCCTCCCACCATGGCGATCAGCAAGGGTCTCCCTGGAAAATACACAGCCGTGCAGATGCACCTGCATTGGGGTGGCTGGGACCTGGAGGCCAGCGGAGCAGAGCACACTGTAGATGGTATCCGCTACATGGCAGAGGTTTGCTTTAAAGGCTCTTCTTTAAAAAAAGGAGTTTGTCTTGATAAAAGAAAGGATCGAGAGATGTGCCAAACAAGCTGGAACACCAGTGTAGTGATGACAGGCTTTTACTGTAATACATAATGCAAACATCGTCTTAACATTAAAAGGCTGCTCTTAATCAAACACATGCAGTGTCAGCTTATGTATCTCATAACCACTTTATACTCTTTCACATGTCAAACATGTTGTTTGAAGTAACTTAACTTCCCCCGATAGCTGAGTTTTCATGAATTGTGTGGTACTGTAGGTTACTTAAAACGTCAAGAGTTTACCACTTTGACTTCTTTGAATTGTATCTAACATTCAACTCGATTTTATCCAGTCTCAGTCAAGAAAACACATTTTTACAGTTGAACACAAAAGATTAAAAAAAAAATTTCTTCAACTTGGAAGAAAAAGTAAAAAAGGAAGGAAAATAAGATAGAGGATATGAGTCAACGCAACAGGGAGTGGCACAGCAATTGTTGAACCAAAGTGTCAGAAAAATCTCTTTGTTCCGTGTGAAGTAACACATTTAATAAAGCAATTCAATGTAACCAGGATGATCCCCTGAAGCAATAGATATAACAACAACATATTTCAAAATATGAATAACAAAGATTGCACCTAAATAACGCTGGTTTCACGTAGCGGGTGTAAAATGTCAGGAGAGGTGATAACCACAAAGTAAAGAAGAATTCACAGCTGAGAGTTAAAGATAATGATGTGTGAGAAAGAAGTGTGAACGTGTTGTACAAACATCCGCCGACAATTAACTCAGGCTACAAGCAGTTAACATCAGAACAAACACGTTTTTTTTAACATAAACAGTCTTGTATTTGTTCTTTCTGTTGATTTAATGTTTCCTGTTGTATTGATCTAGTCTTGATAACAGTCTTTGTGAGTTTCCTTCCACTTTCAATTACATTTCTCCTGGTAGGTAGAAGCTTCAAGTGGGTGAAAAGTCATGGTGATGGGAGTCATATGGTTTGAGTTGGTCTTTTGACTGCTTTGCCACAGCACACCAACAAGAGTAATTTGTTAGAAAGTAGGCTTTCTGGCTTTTTTTCTCTCAACAGGAGGAAGAAATTGGAAAAAGAGACTCAATAAAATTTAAGACAGAATTGTAAATGTCACATTAAGGGCTCCTATAATTAAGTGTTATATCTGTGGAATTGGAGCCGTCACCTGTTCTTATCTGAATCCATATATTAGCAGTTGCAAGATAAGAAAAATTGACTTTATTAACTTTCTGGTGACAGAGCCTGGCTCATGACTTCCTTGTATTTCAAACAGTTTTCATCTTGTCTCCCGGTGAGGCCGTCAAATGACTCTGTAAATACATGCAGTCTGCAGCTGAATCATATATGTTGAGGTCAACATACTATATGTGGCCAATGAGCCTGCCCTTCTTTGGCTGGTACAATTATGTCATTTAAGTTCCCAGAACCATAAAAACTATGATTGTCCTCCAGGCAAAGATAAACCCAGTGATTTGCTAAGGGAGAAGACAGCTCCGGTTCAGACTAAGTGCTGGTGGATGCCAGTTGAGCACCAAGGGGCTAAGGAAAATGTGGTTTCTTAAAGATCTCAGACTACATGGTTACATGGAATATCTTTTCCTGTTAAATAACCCTAAAAAGTTCAGTTCTTTTTCTACACCTTACTTTCTAAAGCAGTTTTAAACACTCTTTATAGCCAAACACAACATGTACAACATGTAAATCCAGAGAGGACGGATGTGAGTGGAACAATGAGCATCTTAAATCAAGGGCGTTCTTTGATAACTTTGTAGAACAGAGACTTTAAAGCTCCCGTGAGGAACGATTAGTATTGTTTTTAAAAAGCTGTAGGCCTATTTTTTTAATCTCTTTGCTGATTTTGCCATGTACGCGTCTAAGTAACTGGTTAACAGTGAAATGTGGCCTCTAACTTATCAAGAATATTTGCCTTGTAAATTGCAGACCTAAATAAAGGCTGCTTTTGCAACGGGAAGTTAATCACTTAGTCTGAAAATACCCTGTCACTTCCAAATCAAGGCATCCAAATCTCACCAGAAGCCACATTATATTTGTGTTTGTTTGATCTATTTCATACAACCGGATCGAAAAAAAAGTCCAAACCATCAATAACTGTTCCTTTTTTACAACTTGGTATTTGTAAAAAGAAATTATGTACAGTGTGTTCATTTTGTTCAGTTATGCTAAGCTAACTGTAGGCCTACTGGCTACTCTGTACAAGTGCTATCAATATTACCTTATCATTCTTTACAATTTAATAGCATACCGTAATTGACTTTCATTCATCTATGTCCTTGAATACATTTCCTCTTGGCAGACTGCACACAGGGACTTTGGCTACACACCTCTCAGTTCGACATCTCTGGCATTCATGGTTGAGACATGTTGCAACAGGTGTTCATCAACAGGTGATGCCGCTCATAATGTAGCCTGCTTTCATTTACTACCACTAGCTCAGGTGTCATTCAAGGAAGTGTTTTCACCAAAAGAATCTGGGACTTTCTGGGATTACAGAAATTTCGTCTCTTTGTCATGATATTCGACAGTAAATATTAAGCTCAAACTTTTGCCCTTAAACTAAAAACGACTAGACCTGACATGATTACCTGAAGCTTGTAATAAAATGCAGAATAACTCAATTAGAAGAATGTTCAAGATAAGGCAGATAGCCAGTATGAGTTGTTCCCTGTCACTGCTGGGAAGAGCCCTGGGCGTTCTCAGCAGTCGTTTCAACACCTCCCTCCACCCTCAGTTTAAATGTTGAGAGAAAATCTCCGTGAGATGTCAGTTCGCCTGCCTGCTTGAAGGGACAGAGGGACGCAGCGATGAAGTTCTTCTCTGTGTTTGTCTCTGCTGTTTTGGTCTGTGTTGTCAGTGCGGGGATTCCTCATGATGGAATACATTGGACATACTCAGGTAGGTAACATAGTAAGAGTTTTTTCCCCCGAAACTTTTTTTTTTTTACTCCAGAATTGACACAAGTGACTTGTAAAACTTGTGCGCAAGCGTTATGCCATGCGTATTTGTTCAAGCGTAAAAAAAAGAAGAAAAAAAAAAGGATCGGTTTAAACGCACTCTCTCGAGTTTTTTTTAATGCCATGAGGGTAGCCTAGTTTTTTTTAGTCGATATTTACCCGGGTTTTCTGTGTGAATAGCGTTACATTGGCTAAATACCTTCGCTGTCAGTGTGGTTGCATCAAGCGCGTGGGAAAACAGTCAGTGACAAATTAACAATTACATGAGACTGCATGTCTCAAATAATTTGGGAGTAAATAGCATACTGTTAGAAATATCACATCAGCAGCAGCAACAATATCCTGTTAAACAAGTCCTGTGCGTGCCACTAGTTGTAGCCAACTGCACCTGCTTTAATACTCCATAAACAAACACTAATGCCTCGTTCGATCAGTGTCACTCCCTAAATAAGCAAGAAGGTGATCATGATTTTTCGGTCCTTGTATTTCTCAAACAGAGGGAGCTTTGGACCAGATGCACTGGCCAATCAAGTACCCTGCATGTGGAGGTAAGAAGCAGTCTCCAATCGACATCCAGCGGCGCAACGTGAGGCACAACCCGGACATGCTGCAGCTGGAGCTCAAAGGGTATGATGCTCAGAGAGGGAACTTCCTCATGTCCAACAACGGACACTCCGGTAATGAAACCCAACTTTATTGAATACATGACTCAGACTTTAGGTTTACTAACTGTGAGATGACCATGCCACTGTTTTTAAATGTTCTCATCTCTGAACTGGAAACCTAATTTTACAGCTGACCATTTGAATGCCAAGAATGTGAAATACTTCACCAATGATCACCAAGCTTTCCAAATTTTTCCGCAGAGCACCAATATTGCTGCTTGGCATTGATTTAATTTGGAAAGTTTGTATTACTTCACAACATAAATTTGACAGTTTGAGTTGAAGCTGACTTTATGTTTAATGTCATTGATTACACCAGTCAGACAAGTCTGCAGAGCATGCAATCTGATGTCCACTGACATAAATGCTGATTTATGCACCCTCTCATTCCTGTTTTCCCCACCTATATTTCGTCATGTTTCCATTAGTTCAAATTGACCTGCCTCCCACCATGGCGATCAGCAAGGGTCTCCCTGGAAAATACACAGCCGTGCAGATGCACCTGCATTGGGGTGGCTGGGACCTGGAGGCCAGCGGAGCAGAGCACACTGTAGATGGTATCCGCTACATGGCAGAGGTTTGCTTTAAAGGCTCTTCTTTAAAAAAAGGAGTTTGTCTTGATAAAAGAAAGGATCGAGAGGTGTGCCAAACAAGCTGGAACACCAGTGTAGTGATGACAGGCTTTTACTGTAATACATAATGCAAACATCGTCTTAACATTAAAAGGCTGCTCTTAATCAAACACATGCAGTGTCTGAATGCAAATACATATGTAGCTACAGTTTATGTTACAGAGGCCTTTTTTACATTTAAAATGTGTGTTTACTGTTAAAGTTGTTCCACGGCCTATTTGACATAACCTGTCTTTCATTTACACCTTGTCTTTCAGCTCCATGTCGTCCATTACAACTCTGACAAGTACAAGAGCTTCACTGAAGCCAGAGATAAACCAGACGGGCTGGCAGTCCTTGCCTTTTTCTATGATGTACGTAGCCACACACACTTTAGTTCTCCTGGTATGTTCTGCTTTTTCGCTTTACTAGGTTCTTCAACATCTCAGGACGCTGACACTATTTCTGATATTTGACCATCAACTGTGCGATATTAAATTTAGAAAAATGTATCACCAAATGCTGTTGAAGTGTGTAAGTTGACATCCAGCCAGGTTCAAAAGCTCTAGGGTGTTCAGCTGAATGCAGACACATTGAATGAGTTTTTGTTTACAGAGGAAATGCTCTGGATGTTGGGCAGTCTGCGGCTCTCAGCTTTAAGAGGTCATCACTGCAGCAAAACCACCAAAGGCATCCAGAGTGGCTGAGGGTTAGAGCTGCACTCTGAAGTGACAAGTGACTCAAAGCAAACTTAAAGCGTTATTCTGGTTTTAATTGAAGTATTACAAGAAGTGTTGTGCTCATTGGTAGTTATAAGATTGCATTAATCATTTAGAAGATGTCTGGTGGAGAAAAAAAAATCTGTGTAGAGTGATGTTCAGACACGATTTATTGTATTTAGAAGAGAAAAACAAAGGTGAAGTGTGCATTTAAAGCATCCATCAGCTAACAGCCTGACATTCTGGCTCTGCTTTGTCTTTAACAAAAAAAAATCCAAGACAGTGTTGTCTTACAGTATGAAATAAAATAATCACTTCAGATATCCTAAGTGCATTTACTTTTAGTTTTTACCTTCAAATTAAGTTGTTTAAATTAGCCTCGTTTACGACCTCTCTGATCACCTGATCATGTATTTTGTCCCTGTTTGTTGTCACTTACTGTATATAGGGAGGAAGCCAGTATAAAGCAGATTTTAGGAACTGCTTTTGTGGACACAGTGTAGTCATACGATAAAGATTAATCAATGTCTGCAAAATAAAGTTGCACTGGCAGTAATAAAAAAAAAAAAAATTATATAGCCGGCCATTACTTAACACTTGATAATATAACAATACTCTTTTCCTGGCACACACATCAATCATTAGGTTTAATTCACTCTCAGACCTGGCTGTGTTTATCATATAGTGCACACACTGTGTTTAAAGCTCCTGTGAGGAGTTTTTTTTAACTGTTTATGAAAAAGATTAAAATGAAGTGAATCTCTTTATGATCTGCAAAATTCAACGACCATCAGCATGAAGACTACAGACTACTTTTTATTGCCTGAAACTACTGCTGCAGGGTAGATGTCACACTTAATTGACACATACTCCGTGCGTGCCGCGGTCCGTAAGCGCCGCACACTACGCCGTACTTGTCACTCTATCAATCATTGTGTTCACACAGCGTGCGCGCTGCGGTGCATGCTGCGGTGCATGCTGCGGTGCATGCTGCGGTGCGCGCTGCGGTGCGCTGCGGTGCGCTGCGGTGCATGCTGCGGTCCGTCTCCGGCGCGTGCCACCAACGGCACTACGCTCTGCTCCATTTCAAATACGCTGAGAGTCTATTTTCACCGGAGTACGCTGCAGGCACGCGTCAAGCTGGACAGAATATGACAGCCTGGACAGGAAGTCACCGGATCCAGTGTGAATGGGCGCGAGCCGTCCGACGGAGCAAAACCGTGACGCTGACGGACCGCGTCGCACATGGAGTATGTGTGAATTGGTTGTTAGTGATTAACAGTGCGATGCATATTTAATAAGTTAAGTAAGTTACTGTTAAAAGACACAAGGAAGATTTTTTTTGTAAAAGAATAAAAATAAATCTGTGCTTACACATGTACAGGAGGCCAAAAATCAGCAAAGACTGCTTTTTCCACATGGGTCGCCAAAACCAATACAAATTGGATATTCTCCACAGGAGCTTTAATAGTCTTTACCCTAGTTACTATAGTCTATAAGTACTTGTCCCACTACTTGATCTTCCTCTTGCAAAAAAAAAAAATGCAGCTCAAAAGTATCAGGATAGCAAAGCTTATACATTTTTTAAAATTTCCATTAAGGGTTTAAAAATGATAAAAAAACATCATTTGAAAAAAGAGATAAAGTGATTGCTCTCAGGCTATAAAAACAATGACCGTTCAAGACTGAAGCTTATGTGTTGACTGACTTTTAAAGCAGCTTTGGTTCTCTTTCAGGATGGGCATTTTGAGAACACCTACTACAGTGACTTCATCTCTAACCTGGACAAAATCAAGTATGCAGGTGAGTTACTGCACACAAAAATTGAATGTCCCTGAATTGAGTGTTCGAGTCTAACTTAAGTCATATTAAATGTGATCTTGAAGGTCAGTCCATGAACATTTCGAGCATCAATGTGCGCGCCATGCTCCCAGAGAACCTCAACCACTTCTTCAGGTACCAGGGCTCCCTCACCACTCCGCCCTGCTACGAGAGCATCCTGTGGACTGTGTTTGATACTCCCATCACTCTTTCACACAACCAGGTACAACGAGCAGGAGGGGTTATGGTTTAAAAATATGAAATGAAGCCTTTAAACCATTCTTTCATTTATGGAGGCTTCCTGCCACTATTTTCAGGAAGCCATCTAATTATTAACATGTCATACTGTTGTTTTCTCCACTCCTCTGTTATGGTCAGATCAGGAAACTGGAGAGCACTCTGATGGACATTGACAACAAGACTCTGTGGAATGATTACCGCATGGCTCAGCCGCTCAACGACAGAGTAGTGCAGTCTTCTTTCCTGCCACGCCTCGGGAAAGGAAGTGTGTAACATGTTGTGAAAATGTGATTACAGAATATAATTAACTCCCTTTAGCTGACCAAGGTCTGCGTCTAATCCTTGTCATTTTCCTTCCCTTTTTTTTTTTTTGCAGCTTTTTGTCGGCAGGATGAGATTGAATCTAGGCTCCTGAAGATCGAGGGTCTGATTACGTCTCTTGGAAAGCATGTGACGTCAGGTGAGTAAGCTTGGATTAAACTGCTGATGATATTGTGTTGAAGTTGCCATATTTACTGTCTCTCTTTTTCTTATGTAAGGTCGAACTCATAGCTCAAGGCCTACAAGATATGGTGAGCCACTTTTTTCATTCTCATTGACTGAGATCAGTGACACATAACTCAAAAATAGATGAAGATTTCTCGGCCCTCTCTACTCTGATTCTTGTTTCTTCCTTAGAACCTCGTGGACTGTTCCCTCTGGTGCTCCGCTTCCAAGAGAAAAACTCAGGTGGTTATGCTTTGGCCCGCCCCAACCACCCCATGGAACTGGATTCCTTTACCATCTGCATGCACCTCCTTCCTCAGCTAGACGGCGTACATACCGTCATCGCCTACTCCAGTAACGGCAAAGAGAACGAGCTGGCCGTCTCCATCGGCGAGGACAGAGATGCAAGAGAAGTGGGCCTCTGGATCGGCAATGAGTTCGTCAACCTGCCGCACAACTTCAAGTCCCACGACTGGGCCAACTATTGCATCACCTGGTCATCGCACATGGGCGGAGCGGAGCTGTGGATCAACGGGAAGGTGGGGGAGCAGCGATACCTGAAGAGCGGCTACAACGTCAGCCCAGGTGGTGTGTTTATTCTCGGCATGGACCAGGATGGATTACTGGGAATCTCCCACGCCAAAGCCTTTGAGGTATGATGACCGATGTCAACGTGTGGGACTATGTCCTGACCACGGCAAACATCCGGGACCAGATGTCATGTGAGAGGAACAGCACTGTGGTGGGAAATGTGTTCAGCTGGGGAAACTCCAAACTCAGCATGTATGGTGGGGTGCAGTTGGACTCTCAGTACAGATGCTCCTGAAGAAGATTGGCTGATTCTGATCGATTAAAAAAAAAAATCAATGGTATGCGGTGATTTAACTTTTTTTAAATGGGATGAAGGATATACTGTCTTTTATGTATCTGTAAGTCATTTTAAAATTCAAAATGTATCTTATAACTTCATTGTATCCATGCATGAAAAATAAAGTTTTTCAAGTGACTTTTATGTTTGATTAATGATTTAAGGAGATATTTCTCCACAAGCAAACGATACAAAAAGCGGTTGTGCAAAGATTCCTTTTAAAAACAGACAACAAAGTCTGGATTAAAACATTTCCAGTCCAATACAATCCTCCCCAGAGCGCACACTTCCTTTCCCCCTGAATGCTCTCATTTGTCTTCAGAAGGCCGTGACCCTCTCAACATCCTCCAGGTTTTCTTGGCTCCCTTTCAGCGGCAGATCCCTGTCACCCAGTTTGATCTCCACTTTGTTCCTCTTGGCGAACATCTGGCAGATCTCCAGGAAGGTCTTGTTCTTGGTCTCAGGGACCACCAGCCAGATGTAAACCAGTGTGACCAGACAGATTACGGAGAAAATGATAAAGCTGTAGGGGCCCAGACCGCTCTGTGAGGATGAAGGGAGGAAAGGAAAAATTATCATACTGTCTTCAGGTTGAAATTTTAGAAACGCTAGGTTGGACATAAATAGTAGATAAGGGGAGGTGAAGTCAGATTTCACTCTTCTTTATTGGACATGTTCTGTTATTGTTTGCTTTTTTGCTTTAAAATTGCACAATTGAGCGGAAGTTAAGATAAGGAAAGTAGGAAGTTTATGTTTATATCTAACACTACATTTCTCAGTCTCATGTTTGAGAAAGAGGAGACTGAGGATAAGAAGAAAGTCTTCTTAGAACAACAATTTATCTCTGATGTGGTTTTCCCCCAAGAAAGGTTAAACTGTTTCAATAGAAATGTCTTAATCCATTGCCCCATCAAAAAGTGCAAGCAGACTCCTGCACACTGCCTAACTTTCAAAAATACATTCAGAGGCACTGTTTTGGTACTAGGCCTTCATTAGGCAGTTTGTTAAAACAGGTATGACTTCTTAAATAGGAAGCAGCTTCAACCTATCAACATATTGATGACAGAGCTAAAAACAAAAAGTTACCGAAAGCTTAATAGGGAATTCGTGATTTGAAGTTGAAGGAAGAATGTGCTTTTTGATTGTAGAAGTAGATGTCGCCCTTGAGCACCAGCATTAAACCAAAACAAACTGCTGTTTGGTGACAAATCCACTATTCTATACTGAAGCCGCCGCTCTCCTCCAGCGGCACACCGCCAACCGTCGCCACAAAGGAGTTATCAATTTGAATGCACCATAAGAGCAAGCAGTGGACAAATTGTTCTTGGCTCGAGCTGCAATTGACTGTGTCCTGGATTGTTGTGTTAGGTAGCTAATGTTAGCGCACTTTGGCTAAATTATAGCTTCACATCGCACATACAGTGGGTACGGAAAGTATTCAGACCCCTTTACATTTTTCACTCTGTTTCATTGCAGCCATTTGCTAGAATCAAAAAAGTTCATTTTATTTCTCAGTAATGTACACTCAGCACCCCATCTTGACAGAAAAAAAACAGAAATGTAGAAAATTTTGCAAATTTATTAAAAAAGAAAAACTGAAATATCACATGGTCATAAGTATTCAGACCCTTTGCTCAGTATTGAGTAGAAGCACCCTTTTGAGCTAGTACAGCCATGAGTCTTCGTGGGAATGATGCAACAAGTTTTTCACACCTGGATTTGGGAATCCTCTGCCATTCTTCCTTGCAGATCCTCTCCATTCTGTCAGGTTGGATGATGAACGTTGGTGGACAGCCATTTTCAGGTCTCTCCAGAGATGCTCAATTGGGTTTAGGTCAGGGCTCTGGCTGGGCCAGTCAAGAATGGTCACAGAGTTGTTCCGAAGCCACTCCTTTGTTATTTTAACTGTGTGCTGAGGGTCATTGTCTTGTTGGAAGGTGAACCTTCGGCCCAGTCTGAGGTCCTGAGCACTCTGGAAGAGGTTTTCTTCCAGGATATCTCTGTACTTGGCCGCATTCATCTTTCCTTCAATTGCAACCAGTCGTCCTGGTACCGCTTAGAATTAAAGCCAAAAAGTTCAATCTTGGTCTCATCAGACCAGAGAATCTTCTTTCTCATAGTCTGGGAATCCTTCATGTGTTTTTTGGCAAACTCTATGCGGGCTTTCATGTGTCTTGCACTGAGGAGAGGCTTCCGTCGGGCCACTCTGCCATAAAGCCCCGACTGGTGGAGGGCTGCAGTGATAGTTGACTTTGTGGAACTTTCTCCCATCTCCCTACTGCATCTCTGGAGCTCAGCCACAGTGATCTTTGGGTTCTTCTTTACCTCTCTCACCAAGGCTCTTCTCCCACGATTGCTCAGTTTGGCTGGACGGCCAGGTCTAGGAAGAGTTCTGGTCGTCCCAAACTTCTTCCATTTAAGGATTATGGAGGCCACTGTGCTCTTAGGAACCTTGAGTGCTGCAGAAATTCTTTTGTAACCTTGGCCAGATCTGTGCCTTGCCACAATTCTGTCTCTGAGCTCCTTGGGCAGTTCCTTCGACCTCATGATTCTCATTTGCTCTGACATGCACTGTGAGCTGTAAGGTCTTATATAGACAGGTGTGTGCCTTTCCTAATCAAGTCCAATCAGTTTAATTAAACACAGCTGGACTCCAATGAAGGAGCAGAACCATCTCAAGGAGGATCAGAAGAAATGGACAGCATGTGAGTTAAATATGAGTGTCACAGCAAAGGGTCTGAATACTTATGACCATGTGATATTTCAGTTTTTCTTTTTTAATAAATTTGCAAAAATTTCTACATTTCTGTTTTTTTTCTGTCAAGATGGGGTGCTGAGTGTACATTAATGAGAAATAAAATGAACTTTTTTGATTTTAGAAATGGCTGCAATGAAACAAAGAGTGAAAAATGTAAAGGGGTCTGAATACTTTCCGTACCCACTGTAAATTGATAAGAGATGACCGTGATCTAAAGACACTTGCGTGACATTGCATACATATAAATGTATACCCTAACCCTAAATAGAGGGGTTCATAGGCATGATGAAATACAGGATCAGAGCAGATTGTTAACAAGAAACTTCGCAGATATGTTTTACTGAGCTGTGAGACTTATTTAAACTTGTTAGAAAGGAGGATACTATGTGACCTTGAATAAAATCTTAGATGAATTGCTGTCTATTAATGATTAGAATGAGAATAAAGATTAGTTTCAGTTTTTACAGGAATAATGTGATTAACTAGTTTCTGGTCGGGGGCAGTGAATCTCTTTAGTTCCTAGTGACTGCTGACGATGTTTTTTTTTTTTTTTAAGATTTATTTTTGTGCCTTTTGTGCCTTTAATGGAGAGACTGGACAGTGGACAGAGTCGGAAATCAGGGAGAGAGAGAGAGTGTGAACGACATTCCTGTTTGTGAGTTAATGCTTTACAATATTTGAGGGCCAATGTGTTGCATTTCAAACGTTCTTGTGTTGAGTTGAGAGTAAGATGTGTCTGAATTCCTAACACAGACAGGAAAAAGTGAAGAAAACTCCTTCAAAATAAAATCTAAATTACCACATCACATTGGGGACATGACATGGAAAACATCTGCACCTAATTACGTTGTGATATAAAAACATTCCATCCCCAAATGTGATCATGCTTAGGAATTGTGTATCTTGGTGGAGAGGGGGAGTTGGAGAGTTTGGGGGGTGGGGGTTAGAGGGATAGCTGGGTTTTAACATTCATTCAGTTTGCTAGGCTGTTGTACTGCCTGATATATGATGGTGTTTCAATAAAAAATGAATGAGGAAAAAAAAAAAATTGTGTAACTGACCTCTAGAAAGGGGAAGACGAGGCCAACGGTGAAGTTGGAGAGCCAGTGGACAGAGCCTGCCACCATGAAGGCAGCGGGGCGAGCCGACTGCCTGAACATCTCAGTGGTCACCACATAAGGAATGGGACCTGCAGAACACGGATTGTGTTGCACACAACAAAAACACACGAGACACATCGTCAGTCACCGTCTCAAACAGCTGAGTGCAGCTTTACAACATATATCATTACATGTCTGCTCCCATCCAAACAACACTTGAGCTAATGGAGCACTCTGTGGTAATCAGTGTGTGGGTTAATAACCACTGGCGGGGTCACACTCACTGGGTCCTATGGCATGTCCTATGACGTAGATGATGACACAGGTGATACTGATGTAGGGCATCCACGTCACGCTCTCCTTTCAAAACAAACCAACAACTGTGTAATCATTAAGCAGTCGTATTGATCCTTTAAAAAGGGAAAAACGTGCAGCAGAATCTGCTTTAATGTGGATAATTCATAACACTTTTTTGGATTCCTTTCTTTTAACAAAACTAAGTTTACAAAAGACTCATTGATACCTGTCTGAAGCGTCTTTAAATCAGGTGAGATCACAGGGTTGATGTGTATGTACATGGTTCATGGTTACTCTCTAATGGCCAGTGTTGTTTCTGGGTGGGTGAGTCTGTGTTCATGTCTCAAAGTTCTCATGACCCCAGCAAACAGTGATGTCAAGTCATCAGACAATCTTCAAATGTATGATTTGGCTCAAAAGTAATTATAAGTTTCAAACTGAAGTGTTTCTGAGAAAAACTGTTTTTTTCTGACACATCTTTATCAAACAGAACTGTGTGAAAGCCAAAGAAATACACATGTCTCACAATAGTAGCAGACTATTACTCACTATAGGAAAAACAAATTTATGGATTTTCGGGTTATCTTTAGTATTTAAGTCATCATCGAAACCAAAATTACAATCATAGAGCCGTCATGCTTCAAGTGAGTGCTTGCAAATCAGAATCAGAATCAGCTTTATTGCATGTATGCTGACACACACAATGAATTTGTCTTCAGTAAATGTGCTCTCAATGTACAAAAAGTTTAACTAAATATAAACATTATGTACGCAAAATAACTTATATATACAAGGATAAATAAGATAATAGTGTAGTGGTGACTAGTGCAAAAAATGCTGTGATGAACATGATAATAAATATGTAATTATGTAACAGATGATTAATGTACATGAGGTAGAGTTTTTACAGTATTTACAGAAGCAATGTGCATAGATTGATGGTCACAAAACCTTATGACTGTTTAGCGTTCATCAGAGTGACAGCCTGGGGGAAGAAACTGTTCTTATGACGGGTTGTTTTGGCGTACAGTGATCTGTAACGCCTACTGGAGGGGAGGAGTTTGAAGAGTTTGTGTCCAGGGTGTGATGAGTCTGCAGTGATGCTCTGTGTTGGATTTTATAATAATGTAACATGGCATTAATTCTACGATTACAGTAAATAAGGAAATCAAGGATTTATGCAGAACTGGTAAAAAGTTTATCGACCCCCCCCCTGATTTCTGATTGATCCACCAGAAGTCCCTAAATCTGCGTCTCAGAGATGTGAGCTGGGCCTTTGCAGCTGCCTGCAATCAACTCTCACCCTGCCCTGTTCAATCAGCTTATCCTCCTGTGGGAGCACAGATTTGTGCTTCACTGTGATGAGTATGCTTCTGAATCCCTGCCAGGTTTTTTTTTTTTAAATTATCTGGCTTACACTGGCTTAAAGTCCTGGGGGGCTGCCTGCTACTTACTTACTTAAGTTCTTTGTAGGAGAACAGCTGCGTGGTCTCCTGCTTCTTCCCATTGGTATGCTCTATGAGTGTAACACTTTTAAGGCATGATTGAAACCAACAAGAAGTGAAGCGCTGATCGCTTTGGATAAAAGCGTCTGCTAAGTGAATTGTAGAATTGTAGAATTGATCTGTGGGCTGCAGCCTTGCAATTACAAGAAATATGATGACTTATGCAACGGGTTTTTTTTTTAACCATGTGCTATGCATCTGTGGGGATGTTTACTCTCAAGGATAAAATACTTACCAAGTAAAGATGTAATTATTCTCAAATTAAAGGTGTTGGCTCTGTCTTTCTTCAACGAAAAAACATGGCCTGGAGTTCAGAGCCAAAGAAACAATATCCAACTGACCTTGCCTCAGCTTATGCACTAAATCCACAATTTATTTACTTTATAAATAAAAAAGAATATACAATTGAATCTTGTTTTTCTTTCCCAAAACCTCATATGACTCCAAAACATATCACCTGACCTCGGGGTTGAGAAATACATGTTTTTGTGTGTGTATGATAAACCACTAGAGGGCAGCAGAGAAGCATATTGAATCCCTCTGAGTGTTTCTCATGGTACCTGGAAGTTAAGAGCGATGGTCAGCAGCACACAGGCTCCACAGCAGATACCAAATCCACAGAGGAGGAGCAGCCTTCGTCCTGAGGCCTCCACGATGAATACCTGGTTGTTACAAATCCTTTATTAAGAACTTTCTACTTCTGCTGACATGATTAAACAACATACTGTAGAAGTCAGCTTCTCTCCAAAGTTTTAGCTGTTAGCAGCTTTGACTGTACCTACAGCAGTTATGGTCATGAAGACATTCACTGCTCCTGTTCCCACTGTGACATACTGGATATCATTCTGGTTGACCCCTGCTGTAGCATAAATACTGTCAGCATAGTAGTAGATCTGAGAAGGAAGAGAGAAATGCATTATGGTCAAAAATGTTGCATAGAATTTAAGAACAAAGTTCTTAGTTTCATCAGAAGGAGGATGCAGCAGAATAATGGGCAATGAATGACACAGATCCTTTTTGTGTCTTACTCCTTCCTCAACTTGATTAAAAAACGATTTGATCTGCAGCCAGAGCAGAACCAGTTGTTGTTTAAACAAAGCACTCTGATGGGGTGCATGTCTAAAATAGAGTCAGTCTGGGCATTATTGGGTCACAGACAAGGACAAGGACAACTGTTACGACAGGGATGACTCACCGCGTTGACCCCCGACAGCTGCTGACCCATGTTCATGATGATGATGGAGACCAGCTGCCAGCGGAGGGAGCGCTGGGACAGCAGGCTGAGCACCGACAGGTGGCCCTCGGCCTTCTCTGACTGGTCCTCCAGATGCATCTCTGACAGTTCTGCGTCCACATCGTCCCAGCCACGCAGACGCTGTAGTGCTGAGGGTAAAGCATACAGAATCTTTTATCAATATATCAATCCATTTTATTTAGGAAGTGAAAAATTACAATATATACAATACAATTAATACATATTTATACTAACAGAGACCCAACTTAATTCACCAATGAGCAAGCACTTGCCAATTGTGGCAAATAAAAATGTTATTTAACTGCCAAAGATCTAAAGCAGACTCATTTGTGTATAGCCGTCTGAGGCAACTGGATGAGCCAAGAAAGTGTGATAAAAGGAGACAAAGAGAGAAGATATTCTAGTTTATATGGCTAGCTTTTTTAGCCTTAGCTTAGCCTTTTCCTCTGACTCTTAACCTTACATTTACCTTTCTTTGCCATCTTCTCATCTCCTTTTTGTATGAGCATGTATCTGGGGCTCTCTGGGAAGAAGGGCAGAACCAGCAGCTCTACAAGTGCAGGAATGCCGGTCAAACCCAGCATGAGAGGCCAACCTGGATTCAGAAGGGGGGAAAGACATGTCCTTTACAAATAAACCTGACCTTAACCTCCCACCCAAAAGACATGCTTCAATATCCAACCAATGGTTGGCTTGGTCTATCACCTACCTGTGCTGTTGCCCAGTATGTTTCTGATGCCAAGCACTTGTGCACAGAGGATGCCGATGGTGATGAAGAGCTGAGGAACAATGCCAAGGGCTCCCCTCAGGTTTTTGGGAGACAGTTCCCCCAAATACATGGGCACCACGTTGGATGAGAGACCTGCACATTAGGGAGAACTTAAGATACATTACGACTCCTCAGTTGTGACCACTCAGAAGTATCTGACCTGCACAGATGCCCACTATAAACCTCGCCACGATGATGATCTCATATGACATAGCGATCTCACTGACTCCCATCATCACAGCCGGGACGATGGAGAAGATGTTGTTGAAGAGGAGGGTGCCTTTCCTGCATTTAGAGATATATTAGACAAACACAATGTGGCAAATCCATTCTTAGATGGGCTTAGCATGTATCATTACCTCCCTAGTTTGTTGACCAGTGGGGCCACCATGAGAGAGCCAAAGAAGCCTCCTAGCGGGTACATAGACACAGACAGAGACCACAGCAGAGTCAGGAAGTTGTTCTCCATCGGTCTTCCATAACGCTCCAGGTATGTGTTGTTATAGAACTGCTTCATGAACTAACAGGAGTAGAAATATATTTAGAGATACAGTGGCTTCTTTATCATTGTTTGGGTAAAAAGAAGACGCCGTTTTTGCTTTGGTTACCGGTGATGGGGAGTTGATCACAGCTACATTATATCCATACTGGAAAGATGAACCAAATGCAGATATGAGTGTTGCCAGAGCCAGGACCACAGTTAATCTCTGTAAGGGAACATCCGCGCAACGTCTTTTTACAACACAAACACCATCCATCAGGATTATTTGCTCGCTGTCACAGAACAGACAATACAAACTCGGAAGTGATAATAACACCTGGTGTGTAACTCACCCCTTTCCTCTCCTTGAGCTTTTCCCATTCTTGTGTCTCCTCCATGGCTCTGTTTGGACTTCACTTTAAAAAATAACAGTCCACTTTGTTAGTAATGAATGCACCGCTGAATTCTGCCTGACCTTTGGACACGAGACCAGAGAGCGCAGCAGAGGTTTACAACTCGGCTTTGGTTATCATGATTTGTTGCTGACTGAGCTCTCTGCGTCAGGAAGGTTTGTATTCAGGGCATATCTTTATTGCACTAGAGCTCTAACTGAATTGTTTCAATTGATGAGAAATACACCTGCCATTAAAGGCAGGAGTAGTGTTATCATCAAAATAATAAAGTCATATTTGTGTCTTTATTGCACCTGCAGGCTGGATCACAGAATAACTGTTATTACAAAATGATGACTTAATGCTGAAACCACAATAAGTTGGCAAAGACTTCAGTATTGATACTCGTTCAGTTTCACAACAGCTGTAAAACATTTTTGAGTTGTCTTGTATTTGTCCTGTGCTGCATTGTCTTTTATCTCAGGAGCTGAGTTGGTTTGTTAATGAATCGGCCCTGAAATAGTTCACTCTTAAAATGGGATGTGATGTACTTCAGGATGCCTGCAAAAATAAAAGTAACGCATAAGACTGCTAGTGCTGGTGAACAATAAAAATAATTAAGTAAGAAATATGCAAGTCTTGATTTAAAAGTCTTTAAAAAGGTTTTAAAAGGTTTCTTTGAATAAAGCTGATTAAGTTTTATGAAAGTCACTTTTTTAAGGACTCTTTAAAGCTACTGTAACCAGCAACAGGAAAACAAACTCACAAACAAACAAAACATCAGACTATTTCTATGTAGTTATATTTAATGCCTGTCATAGTAACACTGACATGTGAAGGACACTGAAGAAACTGCCTTTAAAAAGAGTGTAATGAGTGATAGGTTTGACAGTTGAAAGAAAGACGGGTGAGGCTTTTTTCCGTCAGAGAACACAATTTTACTAAAGAACAGGAAATGGATCAGCAATGAGTTATAACTGTGTGTAAGACTTTGTCTACAGGAGGCGCCAAAATCACCACAAGCCAAATGTTCTTCACAAGAGCTTTGAATATATGGGATGGTAAATGGACTTGAGCTTGTAGAGTACTTTTCTAGTCGCAGGTTACACCTACCCATTCACACACTGATGGCAGAGGCTGCTGTGTAAAGGGACCAGCAGTAACAAGTTATGTTAGAACAGTTAACAGAAATGAAAGGTTATAATTTTTGCGAACAGATTAATATTTCAAGCAATATTTAAGATAAAATGCCTTCAAGCTTGAAGTGTAAAATGTTTAAATAAGGAGCAAAAATGTGTACCAGTCAGATGGAGTATGTTGATGGCATTTTTAGTGCAACATTTTAAGAATTTTTTGAGAAAACTAACCTCAGTATTTCAGTAGAGTGAAACATTTAACACAAAATTGTAGATGACATAATGTGATAATGTTATACAATCAACATTTTTAAAAAAAATTTGCGGGAAATTTGGCTTTATTTTGAAAGGACGACTGAAGATAAACAGGTAATACAGGGAAACGAGAGAGGGAGCCGTGACTTATAGCCTCTGTACATGTCCTGTAGCACCTCTGATCTTTCATGATTACATTTGTTGGACAGCGTGTTTGGGAATCTGCACCAAAAATGGACTCACACATCCAAGTGAAAAGCCTGTGCTGTGGAAAAAAGGACTTCCATTAACCTGAATAGTGAACGCCCGTGCAGTGCAGTGCAGCCTTCTGCCACTCTTTAACTTAATGAATTAAGTGGGCCGGGAGCCAGCAGAGGAGAGTGCAGAAACCCCTTCCTGAAGTGTTTCCACCAGCTCCAGTTACCACAATGTCAGCCAAATTTTCAGAACCCACTCAAAGGATTAATTCCTACAGGAAATACAGTAAGTGTGGGTCCTCTGTGCGGCCTCTGCTGTCCACAAGGACAAAAAAAACTGCTAACTGGCCATCTTGAATGTCATCAGCATAAACAGCACTCACTTCATTTTCCCAGACATGCTATCCTGTTTCTTTAACTGATGGTCCTGAGAGAGTGAACCCTGCACTGACTCTTTAAGGTTGCAGATAAATAATATCGAGGAAAAACTGTGTTTTCGTTTAAATATTTTCAGTACAAACAGAATGAAGTCTCCATGTCTTGGAAATAATTTATGAGACCTACATGCCCTTGGAAGTAAAGTGCTGTTGCAGTGTAATGGAGAGTCTGCTATACCTGATGTATAGGCTTATTACAACATTATCATCCACTTCTGCATTGCCTAATTCATCAAACATAGACCCTATACGAGACTTGAACAAACCTTCTTAGTCAAACAAACAATAATCACAGGAGGATAAGAGCAAATTAGATGTCAACATGGCATAAATTCTCTTTTGTCACCAGAGCAATTCATCTTATTTGAATGCAGCTCATCATCTCTGAGGCAGAGTCGTTAAGACTCAATGGATCGGAGACAATATTTTAGAAAAGCTGAAGGAAGTAGAGGGGCAGTCTTAAAGTTGTTGTGAGCCAGGTTCAGTGAGTACAGGCTCCACACTCGTTGGTATGCATTCAGCCTGCTGCCCGCTGGAGTAAACAGGAGCAAACAACAGCAGGGGTCAAAGGAGAAGAGAGGCTCACACAGGAAAGGCTCAAGTCTATAGAAGGAAGGAGGACATGTGATGGTAGGTCACGCTTCCTGACCACAATGACAGCGGGGATGTTAAGTGAATGTTGGTTACAGGTCTAACTCTAAAGGGCTATTGCAACAACTGCGTGAAAAATGAAGCAACAGCAAGATTACGCCAAAATGACTGGGTTTTGACATGAGCATTATAATATAAACTTTGATTTATCAGAGTTAATCTGTATATAAGCTCTTTGACTACTGTATTTAAAAAAAAAAAAAAAAAGATTCACACTTTTAATCAAGTTTTGAACAGACTGGAAGTCATACAGGATATACATTGGGATATTAGTCTCTATTTCAGTAACATGGCAAAATATGTAAGGCTCCAATTAAGTTATAATCTAACAAAAATTTCACTCACACCTTACATTACCTTGCTTGAAAATGCCTATAAAAACCATGGCACGTTAAGGAGTTACAACAGATTCTTATGGTAACAGATTTCCAAGTTTAAGTAAAGACATTCAAATTCTCAAATAGAGCTCTAATCTATTTTCCTCTTTTCAATTCTACCTTATTTGTTACAACAAAAAAGTGCTTCTTTTGTGTTGTGACAGCCCACTAATCTCTCTGATCGATAACAGAAGAAGAAGTTCAGTACGGACGATGATGATGGTGCAAAACTGTTATCACAAGCTTCTACTTCTTGACGAGAACTCAGGCTGACCATGTTTGCTTTCTTCTACAATCCTTTCAACATCCGTCTTTTCAAACCAGCAGACTATGATGCTTTAAATATGAGATTTTGGCAGTGTTAGTACTGAAGCTCTTAGTGGTAGTTCACCACCAGTGACAATAAAAAGAGTCCGAATGAATTTCACAGTAAATGAATCAGAGAGTGAGAATGCTATTCAGCTATCACTTGTATAATAAGGCACTAATATGTTAACTCAAATGTAAAAATGTACCAAAATGTTTACAAAAGTTCACAAAACTCTTGAATACTGAATATTCATTTCACAATAAAACTTCATAAAGTTTCTTTAAACACAGCGCATAATAAATAAAGCCTTTCAACTTTCCCTCCGTGTGTCAACTTCAGTCACAACAAGTGCAAAAACAATACATTTTAAAAAGTGATGAACAGCACCTCTCCACTGAACTAAAACATTCATATGCAACATATTCAGTCTAAAATATTCTAAATGCTACAACTAATGTGCCTGTCAGTCAGACAGCATCACCTTCATCACTTTAAGTGCAGTTATGTGACCTTTAACTGTGACACAGATGTGCATGCAGCTGCAGAATCTCAGGGCCCTGTCAGCAGACTCTCGCGGTAATGCGGCTCAATGTGACGCAGAGTCCTCCACCGCTTCCTCCATGTCAACATTTTCATCCACAGGATCATTTATCAGTCAGGACCCGACTCGTGCTGTCCTCCTCTCTCTGTGTGGAGGGCTCCTGTCCCGGCGGCAGCCTGTGACGGTCGTCTTGAGAGTGCTGCGCCTCTGCTCCACACTTACAGCAGCAGCAGAAAACCTTGCAGAGGCGTGTGCGGATTGGCTGAGTGAAAAATACAAACATGATGCAGTTTGCGGTTCCCTGTGAGGTGTTGCCAATTCCCTGTGGGGTTAAAAAAAAAAGAAGCCTTTAAGGGAAGTGTACTAGCTATTAATGATAGCACAGGAATAAAAGGTTCCCTAGAAACACAACTGTCACGAGTAGACAGACTTTTAATTGTTATATTTTACAACAATATTGGTTTAAATTGACTTAATATTTAAGATGAAGATTTGATCAAATTAAAGGATCTTAGAGTCCCACTATCCTGTAATAAAACAGTAAAGTAATTATTAAATCATAAAGTTTTAAATGTAAATAATGTAATAAATGTTTGTTACTTTTCTGATGTTCAAAAATGTCACACTTTTCACGATGACTGTGTGATGATTCACAAATGTGACAGCCTGCAATCACTCCTTTACAAGTGTAAGCAGCAGAAGAACTTCTTATAGCACACATCTACACCTACACGTTCCTGCTGTCAAACACACTAAGCAACTCATTCAAACGCAGACTCCAATAAAGAATAAGAAGTCAACTTCAGATAGAAGGATTATCAGACCACCTCTATGTTGGACAGCAGTGGTTTAGAAGAGACGTTACAGACTCACATGTAGAGTGACCAGCACTGGGTTCAGTCTGGCTGGAGAATCAGTTAGCAGCAGTATGAAGCGCACCGTGCTCCAAATGCGCAGGACAATGAAGATGATGGGAATGAGTGTTAGCTTCATATCAGCCATGGAGAAGAAGGAGTGTGACTGAGGCCTGTTGGACAGGATGGGACGGTACTCGGACAGAGCCGTATGCTGCATCACACACAGAGATATTAAAAAGAAAGAAAGAATAAGACGTAAAAAAGGAAACGTGCCATTAAGGAAAGCGAATGAGGTTGAGTGAGTATAATGCACCTTCTGTTTTTTGTTTTTTTATAGCATTTTTCCTAAAAAAAACATGCTTAAACATTCCATTTAAAGTTGGAGGCTATCTGCCGATGAGCATTTGCAAGTTTGAAATGCAGATCCTGATCAAAGTTCAAATAACGACGTATTGAAACATTTTATTTGATTATATAATAGAGAATTTTAGGTATGCTAATGGTTACATTTTAGGTGTATGCAATGGCTCCAGGAGTAGCCATGTCAGTCTGTTGATCTACTAAAAAAAAAAAAAAATCACATTAAACCAGCTCTGACATTTAAGCAGCAGAGTTTTACGTTAGTGCACGAGGCTTTTATCAAAATACCTTGCAACATATTGAAGCCATGATGAAAATTGAGTGGGCATGCTTTAAAAAAATGGACTTGTATCTTAATATTATCTTTCACTACACATATTTTGAAAGACACAAACATGTGTTTCCAGATCTAAATGGTGATATTACATTTCCTAAACTATTTCTATATTTGTGTCTTTAAATAAAATACAAATCAGTTTCCTCAGTTGAAGTTTGATCTCTGGTTAGCTGCCAGTTTAATACAATTATATTTCATGTAATGCAATGAGAGGGAGGCGGGAGGGGGGGGTAGCCTTAATTCCACTTTGAAGGCATCCTTCAGTCCTGGTTGTGTTCTCACCGCTATGTGGATGTGCCTTTTGATCAGGATGTAGAGTACAGGGAGGGTGAGGTAGGCCAAGAACTCCCAAATCTTTCCAGTCAGAAGCATCCACAGTACCCGGTCAGGAGCGCGGATCTTCACCCAGCACCAGCCCACCGACACTTCAGAGGCATCATAGCCAATCTTACTCAGTGACAGGGCTGCTACAGTGATGGACAGAGGTACACCCCAGCTAGAACACAAAACAGAGACTTTAGAGGATTCTAAATCATTTCCTGTTTTTAACTGAAATATTTGGTGAGTTCAACAAACACACACACACGCACACACACAAATGTTGCAAAACATGGAGCATCATGTGATAGATTATCCTTTTTTGTGTGTGTGTGTGTGTGTTGCATAGTGCACATTGCAGAGTCATACCAGTGGTTATTACTGAGGTTCCGCACTTTATACATCACAGAAATTCATTTCAGCTCAATGTTCTTTACTTCCCCCTGAAGCATCATCTGTTCTCTTAATACAGCAATTTACAAGGGTACTATTACTTTCTGGGAAAACACAGCAGATCATTATTAAAAGAGAATGCTTAAGGCATTGTTGTTTATGCGTTATGCACAAAAGGCCTTTGAATGGCTCCTGTATATGATCTTCCATTCATTGGACCCTTTGAGAATTCACAGAAACCAAATCATTATAATGATGACCAGGGACACTGCAGTGAGGCATAGCCTGGGGTGTTTTTGAGGGTCCAAAATAGATCAATTCTACAGCACAGTGAAGAAACTCCCCTCCTTACATGTTCACAACCAACATGGAGCTTTATTAATGTGAAGAAGGAAGTAACACAAAGCATAAAACACCAATTAGGTATACTTAGTTGAGTGTAATATATTTAAACTAATGATAAAAATATTATTGAATTTCTGAGATTATTTGTCTTTAAAAAGCTTGTGACTAGGAAGTAGAGATGCACCGATTGGGAAAACCAGGGCCGATGCCGATGCCGAGGTTTATAACAACTATTTAGCCAAATGACGATGTTTGTTTCATGACTTCTTTTGGAGTCATTTCCTCTCATGTTTGACAATGAAAACAAGTCAGACTTTGTTCAACAGGTGACTTCATCTGCCCTATAAAAAATATATTGTCTGAATCTGTAGCTTGATGAACTAGATGCCAGCATTGAATTGATTTGGCCCAACACATAAACCTCAGCTACTGACAACAGTTCATGCCACATTCTTTGCGATATATATCAGCCGATACCGATGTTGAACCAATGCTTGCTTTGGTATTTTATTATTTTTTTAAAATGTTTTCCTTAAGGCTGTTATGAAAAGAGTATCTCTAGGGATGCTCTTCAAAACCCTCCAACTGTGGAGCAAATACAAAAGCAAAAAAAGATGAAAATGAAAAGGTGGTTACTAGAGAAATGTTAGAAAGCCTATGAATTCCAACTAGAGTTGCAAAAGTCTTCTTTAGAAGCTGAAGTAACTTGTGTCGAGTGCAACATTTCATGCATATGTAGACAGGTACTTATTTCTCAACAGAACCAAATGTAAAGAGCATTGGTCTAAATGGGCAATATACGGCACATAACACTCCACAGATTGACCATTACACTTTAAAAATAGATGTATTGTATTTATTTATTCTACATCTTCATTATTTATTTTGGTGTATTTAAGTTGCTTTGTAAAAGCTTATTGTTATGCTGCAAAACAGTATGAAACATTTTTTAAACTTGTTGGCAATAAAGCCCATTCTGATTTGAAGATTAGTTTACAGAGGGTAGCTTGCCTTTACTTGAAGAAGCATTCAGTTTCTATACTTCTGCAGAAAAACTTGAGCTCAGCTCTTACTCTCTATATTCATTCAAATCAAAGCGTAAAACTTTCCTGTTGCATTTTATCATTATTTGATTATTTGTTATTCATATCTTGCACAGGATTCACATAATTTAAATGAGGAAATTTCTACATCTTGCACTTTGTTGTGTTCCTAAAATACTCCTCTTAATTGCCTTGTGTTTTGAATTGTCTTTTTAATATTTGATTTTACTTTATTAAAGCTCTCTGTAATACCTGGATGTTAAAGACAGTAAACCTGTTTTGCTTTGACTCCAAACCAAGTTTGGATGTATATACATAAAAATAAGCAATATAAAGGCCTAGTGTAAAAAACAACACAATTAAGCCTATAGCCTACATATGAAAGTGATATTAATCATGCTTCCAGGTATATTTTTCTATACTAGCTCTCATTGAATTTGAACAGACTACTAGTGGATGACACAACAGCCTCCTCATAGTAGATATGTTATATTATTTAAATATCCTTCATATTTGTTGTCAGACTTATTCCTACAGGAAATAAAACTCTGGGATGAAACTTTGGCAGCTGCTAACATCAGTTGACCCCCGCTCAGAGATGGAGCCTAAAAAACACCACAGGTTCATTTGGTTAATATCACGTTTACCTGCTCTTGGGTCAGTTTTATCCGTTGTTTTTTTTCCACTTGTGCAGGTAAGGTAATTCGTCAACAAGTCATTATTTCATGCTCAGGTTCACTTGGAGGCCTCTTCACCAGATGGAATGTAACGTCACTCTATGGTTTCCTTAGTTACCATGGAAAATTATCCCTAAACCAGCGCAGGAGTAGCCAATAATTCCAATTTTACAGCCATAAAATGAGTTTTTTTATTCTCTTCTATTTGCAAGTAGACCACTGTTACAACGTTCATTAATTCTATTTTACATTTTGAAGAAATTAGTAACTTATTCTTGCCGCAAGATTACTGCTGTAGGTTAATTGGTTGAAAATTCAGTTTCCGCTTGTCGTCACCAATTAAAAATCCCAAAATGTTTAAGGGGTCAATTCGGCGGCATCACACTTCAGAATTATTCACCAATCAACCTGCAAGTAAAACGAAAGTTCCAGCAACCCTACCTTATGAAGTGGAATGGCAACACAAGGCTGTCAGCGACCCTTTGGCTTGACCTGACGATAAAAACATACAGGTAAACAGCAATGGCCACAGTCCAGAAAAAGGAGCTAGTGTTGGCGAAAGTGGATATCGCTCCTTGGACGACACAGTCCAGCGAGTCGGTGTGGAAAACTCTCCAGACCCCAAAGGCGTAGGACACGGCGGACAGCCAGTCAGACACCGAGAGGTACACCAGAAGCTTCCTCGGAGTTGTCCTTAAGTCTTTGAATATAATGTAAGTGAGGATAATAAGTGTTGAGCCGAGAAACGACAGCGCGCATGAAAACAAAACGATCGTCTGCTCAGACAAGTGTATAACAGTCTGATTCCCAAGAAGAGCCATACTTTATTGTGGATAAGAAGTGAGCTGCTATCACCTCGTGGGCATCATTGTCAAGCTTGCAGGAATATTTGCAAAAACTTTTAGACTAGTCCATGCTGTTGATATGAAATATATATTTCCTTAAGGATGAGCAACGTTTAAAAATACAAAGTCGAGTAGGCTCAAGCCACACGGGCAGTCTATTGCTTTAAGGGGAGCAAACAAACTTTTCTCAAGAGTTTAACCCCTCCCTCTCCGCCCCTCGACTTCTCTCTTCGTTGCACCAACCGGAATCCAAAGCAGAAGTCAGTCAGCTGGTAGTCTGATGGCCAGTCTCATGGGTAACCACTCTGTTACACATGCATGCAGCTATATTTACGGCACAAATGCTCCTTGCTTGTGTGACCCCTATACAGTCTATGGGTGTGACATGGGATTAAAAAAATGTTGTGTTTCACCATATCTTGCCATATTGTACCATACTGTTTATTAAGGATACTCAAGACCTCAAAGGTCTTTTTGAATGAAACAAATGAGTATTTTAATTTTGAATATATTTGAAGAAATTACAGGGTTAACTTTATTAATAGTTTGCCCAATACATCTTCTTGAAAGGGGATGTCTTTAAATTAGACCAAAACTTAAAATGTCAAGCTTTTGAATCTACTGTTACAAAAGTGGAACTGACGCAGTCACTGATTAGAATTTATGCTTTGAAATCGACTGATGAATTTGAAATTTGAAATTGTTTTTCTGCCGCTTGAATAATTTATTGTGAATATTTAGGTGTCTTAACATTTAATCACCAATTCATATTTGAATGAAGCTTTTTTTTTGTGGTACATGCCAGACTGGCACCCCCAGAGAAAACGGGCTGTCAAAAAACTTTAAATGAAATGATGTCACAGATTTAATTAAAATGTACTGCTGGTTGCAACCTTTTGCCATAAGCTATTTCAATTCAAAACAGCTCATTGGGTTCACAAGCCCTCCAAAATAAAGTCAGTATAGTGACATTTTTGAGGGATGAGTAACGATGTGCTTCATGTCCAGCAGCTATTCGTTATTTGGCATCTTAGTTGTGGTTCACAAAGACTTGAAGTGTATAGAGCATTGACCTTGTATCAGGGCAGGAATTTAATGGACTGCTTTGCTGCAGCCAGAAAAACTATAATCTTTTTTTTTTTTCATTTGCAGGAATGCAGTAATTGTCACTTTGTTTTTTCACTGCAGTTTGCAGCAAACACTTTAGCATATAACCAGAGTAACACATGACCAAGAATCCATTTAAATTTGCACATAATTTAAAGTAGGATTTTTTTACAATTCAACCGACAAAAATGTCTCAGCAATTCATCTCAGCTGTGTCTGCGTTTGCTGTGTGTTGCTGTGAAAACTCAGATAAATGTGCACCTGGCATCCAGATCATTCTGCCTCGTCTGCACTAATTAGTTCTACTTTGTTCGCATGGCAACACAATTTTCAAGTGTCTCCAAGTGGTTTTTAACAGAGCCAAGTGCTTTATACAACACATGTTTTTTAATAATGATGAAATGCATGTGTGGGAAAACAAACAAGACAAATGACCAAATCACTCTTTGTGTAACTTTTATTTGCTGCTTCTTTACATTTATAATTCATTAGACACATACATGATTAAGTTGCAACCTATAAAGTGTGAATCAACAATTAAACTGTTGTATGATAATTAAAATAAAGGTGCCAAAAACATCATGCATTTGCAAATCAAAAATAATGATTTTTTATGTTCTGGAAATAAATTCTGTGTTGATTGTATAAGATAAATTATAGAAATGTTTCAAATCTTTTTAGAAATGAACAAAGTGTTCAACAAAATGCTGCAGTGAACACAAACCTGCCTTGAGATGTCTTTCAATCACCAGATGGCAGCAGAGGATCGTACAAGTACAACAAGACAAGTACAGTGTAGCAGTTTGATGCAACTGTAAATACTGTAGAGGCTGTTTTACCATAAGGCCATGCTCTCGGTACATTTATTTTCTGTATCAGCTCCTCGGCTCACGTGAATTTCTACAGCATCAGCACACATGTAAGAACTTACAGTAGCAGCAGGAGCCACGTTTGATTCAGTGCTGACTCTTCTCTTTTGTCTTGTTTTTTTTTTTTTTTTGTCAACCCAGGGCCTCTTATTGCGAAGAATTTCTGCGGCAGTATACTTGCTGATTGCTTCGTTCTCACTCCTCACAACAACCAGCTAAGACACTGCCAGAGAAACACCCACAGGAGCCATGTCCAACCGTCCGTCCATCCCCTCCGCCTGCCTCCCCCCCAGCAGGGTCCTTACTGCTCTCTGCCATGGACCTCCACCTGTGAGTCTGGCACTGTTGACACTCACTTTTCATGCCCAGTTTCCTGGTGAAGTGGCCTCACACTAAAAGGCCCCCGTAGTGGTGTGGTCCTATGCCAACAGCCAGAAGATCTGTAAGAGAAGTAGGAAAAATGAAGATTGAGTTCAAATTGTTTCATGGTATAAACTTACTTACCTGATACATTTAAATGTAAAAACCTTTTTTCTTTAGAAATCTCAAGTCAAAATTTAAAAGGGCACTTTCTCCTGCCCAGCTCAGCTTTATATAACAGCAATGCATAGATGAGTTTACGCTCCGCTGCCTAAAGTGACCCAAAGCCTGTTCCAAAACAGATCCCCGATACTCTTCTACCCTCTTGTGCGGCATCACTTTAAGTGCACACAACTTGGGCAAACACAAATAGCCCCCCCAAACTAAGAATAGACTTGCCATGACTCATGATGCTGCAACAAAAAGCTCAGTTTGATTCAGCTCTTATCTGCATGGCTGTGTGTGTATTTGTGTGTGTTCGCGGGTGTGTGTGTTTGTGCCTGTGTAGGACTATCTGTTCACATGAGTAGCATATAATGCAAGCGCCTGAGTGTTTATGTGCCCAAAGGGTAACAACTCAAGCTCCCCTTGCTATCAGTTGCGTTCGCTTGCTGCAGTGCTATTTTTGGGCCAGCTGACCATTCCATACTGTCCTCTCCCTGTGGACTCTACTTTTGCTGACAGGACAACATGGATACAAGAGAACGATCTGCAAATGAACACAGGGAATAATGAAGGAGACAGAGAGGTGCTGGGACACAAGGGATATTCAGAAATCATACAGTTGGAACGTCCTCTATTTGGCATTCCTTATATTTGGATACTGCAGGAAGGCTATTTGTAGCTCTTCACGTCCGCTTTTTGGTGTATTATGTGACGCATTTTGGTTGTGTAACTGGAAATTCCTTGCTAAATTTGTGGTAAGAGCATTTTGACCTTATCTGATATCAGAGAAAGAATTTAGATTCTAGGAAAAATGCCGTTGATGCTCTGATGAAAGCTTTGACATAATATGCCGAAATATAAACAATAAGTGTATTTTAGGCTGCCTCTGTTTCATACAGACAGACACACGTGGTGTCCATGGACAAACTCCTCTTGACCTGCTTTCAGGGGTCAAACTTCTGCATCCGTGTCTCTTTGCGGCGAGCCAGACAGTCCTTCACTGAGCACATGATGACAGGAATTCCTTCCTGATCAGGGTTTGATGTAATCCCTAATGCAGGATTGAGGAATGCCAGTGAAAACAACACCCTGCTTGCTAAATGAATGACTGGCCACTTTGCTGCATCACACAGCAAACAGCAGCAGAGACGTCTTGACTCACAAAGCCTGTCAACAAAGATATTTCAGGCCTCCGGCTGGGTTCAGCTTCGCTTTCAGAAGTACTTCTCTCTTTTTCTGTTTTACTCCCCAAACATAAAGAAGTTGGTGGGAAGTGTGTTAAAAAATATTGGTGTGAGCTACCGATGAACAGCGAGTTATTTTGGCGTGAACATTTCTTTTCAGGTTTGGCAGATGAAAATTCATGTAAGCACACCTTAAGATGGTTGTTTAGTTTATTCTGATATAAACTAGATATATTCATTCAGACATTAATAAAAGAGGTTTCAATGGACTACTTTCTTCTTTTTTTTTTTAAGATTTATTTTTGGGCTTTTGTGCCTTTAATGGAGAGATAGGACAGGAGAGAGAGTCGGAAATCAGGGAGAGAGAGTCGGGAATGACATGCGGGAAAGGAGCCGCAGGCTGGATTTGAACCTGGGCCGCCCGCTTTGAGGACTATAGCCTCCTTACATGGGGCGCGCGCACTAACCACCGGGACTACTTTGTCCTACGTCACACTGCACTGATGCAAAATGAAACAGAGGTACAAACATACTGAAGAGAGGCACTCTGAGAAACGACTCTTTTCATTATCAATCATTGTCCCGGTTTCTTTTTCAAATAATTTTAAATATCATCTTCTTTGAAATCCGAGGTGACTTCTTTAGATGTCTGATTTTTTTTTTTGTTCTGCCAAAAATAAAAAAAAGATATGTATATATTTAGTTCACCATCAGATGATAAAGAGATAATCATCAAAGTGGAGAAGCTGGAATCAGGAAGTGCTTGGTATTTTAATGAAAGAATAACTTAATTGGTTAATCAAGAAAAGCTCAATGTCAATAAATTGAGATCTAAATATAATTAATGTAAAATATATTTTAATATTTACTTGACAGATTCTGAATTAACAGACACAAATTAAACACAAAAATCAAATTGCAAATTTTTACTTTAGAAACGTCTGATTTCAGCTAATTTTATTAGTTTATTAGTTTATTAATTTTATGTAATTTATCAAATTACATTGAAAGTTTTAAGAGGCTAAAGCTAATGTTCTTAGGTTTAGACGACCTGTAACAGTTCTGCAAAGTGGGAAAAGATGTGAGGCGGTACGTCCACAGTGCTAAGTGTTATAGCAGACTAATGGTGTTAGAGGATCTGACATTGCTCCCCTTAATTAATCTGTTATTCAACACATTCCACTTTCAGGCATCAATTTTTCCCAGAAGCACACTGACATTATTTTTAACATGTCAGCACAACACGAAGATATACACATACAGAACATTACAGACCCTGTACTGTACGTTGTATTTGACTTTCTCACTTCTGTCTTCTTTTTTTTTTATCCTTTGTGCATTATTACATGCTTGTTCGAGTGTCAGCTAATGACGCTCACACAGGCATGCCTCCCTGCTGCAGGCTCTTTCCACAGACCTAACCATCTTATGGCTCACAATGACGTTTGTATTTACTGTAGAGCCATGTTTCTGAACAGTGCTACACATGACACACACATTGATGGCATGCTTGGTTCTGGAGCTTAGCCTCTCCGGGGGTTTACTAAGCACATGTATGTACAATTAATTTTATTTTTTGATCATTTAATTAAAAAAAAAAAAATTAAAACCATCATTGGAGGCATTTAAAAGCTGGTCATGACTTTTATTCTCAGAATATTCTGCTAATTTCTTTTAGTATAATTCTTTTTTCATAATTTACATCTCAGGATCGTAAATCAAACTGCAGAGTGTGTTCATAACTCAATGGTGTTGAGTCTTCTACACCGTGTGCACCAGCCCTGGTTACCAGAAAACAGAGTTGCCCCAGTAACTTTCTGCAGGCTTGACCACACACAAGTGAAAAACATTTAAAAGTAATACAAATAATAAATGTTGATCATATGTGTTATGTCGGAGATTTATATGTTAATATGCTAATTTATTTTACCATTATATGTGACAGGGTGGATAGCATGGTTTTTGTATGAATTTCATGCGTAATCTTCAGACTTTGATGAAAGTCTGGTCTTTCTGTTTTAATCCCATCACAGTAATGATCATGATGAACCGTCATTTTGTGAGCTGAAGCTGTATTTCACTAGAAACAAGTCAGTTGTACGAACTGAAGAACTGTTTTTATTTGATTTCTTAATTCCAGGAGAAACGGCCCGATGCATCTCTTCTAAGGACCCAGCTTTAATTATGAACACAGATAAAAATAAATAAACAGCTGTCTTTCTCTGTGAGGATCATACTCTGATCAGACAATAACTGTGGAGTCCCCTGGGGACTTGTGAAAGGGTCACCGGTGGCTGCTCTCTGTCTGTGCAGAGGTTACTGTGCCACTGTGTGATTGGTAACTGTGTTTGGGTGTATTATAGCTCTTTGTTTTCAATAACCCTTTGTACAGTTACCATGGCATCATGTTAAGCATCGAGACTCAGCTTGGACGCTTTCACAGCACTTGGAGCTGAACGCTTAAAACTTAAATGTTCCCATGTATACCTCGATCAAGTTACCAGATTTATTAAGCAATCTGAAGGCCTCATTTAAGCCTCTTTCAATTTCCCAACACTCATTACATTTACTGAAGTTAGACTGAAAAGTAGAGGTGTGTCTCACTTTTTCTTTCCGCAGTAACAATTAATCTAGATGCTTTCAGAAGTGCTCAGCTGTAATATTCTTTGTCAGCAGCTTTAATTCAAATGCTGTTATGCCACTCACCAAGCAGCCAGGCAGCAGTGCAGCTCCTCCATCCACGCTCATATCCAGCGAGGGCACCCTGGTGTTGACATCAACAGGAGTGTGTCCACGGGTGCTGCTGGGCTCTCCCATCATGAGGGTCACTTAACACTGGCAAACTGTTGACCACTAGCCTCTTACCCCTTCTCCTTCTCTCTCTCTCTCTCTCTCTCTCTCTCTCTGTGGCTGTCTCTCTCTGCTTCACTCAGGAGGAACAACAAGTCAAGGCATGTTCCAACACGCCACCAACAGCCAGGCCGGGTGCATGAGCCTGCTCCTAGAGGGGGAGGAGCAGAGAATCAGAGAGGGGGGAAACCCAGAAAAAAAAAGCCCAGCATGACTCAGCCCGCTTCAATCGGTTAGCATACATACACTGCTTTCACTCACTTTGGACACTTCAACACATGAAGGACTTATTGTTTGAGAACACATTAAGATTGATTTTCGTGTGACATTTTCATGCACATTACTTTGCAACAGCTCACTTAATAAGATGATACGAGGGACAACTGAATGTAGAAGTTGGAGTGACCTGTCAGATTAACTTTATTCTGTCATCGATCATAAAGAATTTGCCTACAGGCTGTAACGTCTTTTTCTAACGAACCTCTGCCCACAATGTCGTCTGTATTTACCGGCTAAAGCTAAAACCTCAGTCATCACTGGTTGAATGGATTCAAGTGATATTCAACCACAGTGTTACTGTTCATTCATGCTCTTATTGGCAATAAGTTGTTTCATCCTACAAAAGAAAAGAATTCATAGCTTATAGAATCTGTTACTCTGCATCATCTCAACATGCTAATGAAAGCCGCTGATTCATCGAAACAGCTTACACGGTAACGCATAGTAGGTCACATCAATTACAGATGAGGCCCATCATACACGCTCAGAGAGATAAGTAATACTTGTGAAATATTAATGTTTTCCTAGATCTGTGGTTTTAATAATGTGAAATCTGAATTTAAAATAATTTCCTAAATGCGTACGAGAGATAATTTATTTCCATTAAGTGACTGATACGCATTAAACTGTACCAAATAAGCAGAATCATCACCATTCATACAGTAAGTGCTAATTATGCAGAGCTGCTCTGATGCTTGCTAGGTTTTTTTTTTTTTACTAGAGGAGGGGTGATGCCAGTTCATCACTGCTGTAGTGGAAGTTGATCACTAGGCAGATTCTGGCTGCAGCAGCAGGAACCAGCTCAGCAAAACTCACCTGCTACAATATGGTCTCAGTCTGGCCACCTGAGCATCTCTGTAGCACTGTGCTTTATATCACTGGTGCTGGTCTCCACTGCAGCCTGTCAACAGACTGATGACCTTATCAATGAAAGAGCAAAGTCACTATGATGTTACGCCCAGGAGGAACTCAAGGCACTTTTTCGTTTCGCCTGAGGGTTTGTCTTTTTCCCCACTTTTTGCAACTAGAAAAGTGGTGCAACTTTGTAAAAGAGCAGAAGAGGTGTATTTGCCTGCAGACAGTTGCTTTAATTTATTAGAAGCGTTGATGCGGCACTGCACTGCACAGCACTGGTTTGACTAAGCGCCAGCTGTAGATTCACCAATTCAATTGGTTTTTAATTTATAGAACCATGAACTCTGTTAGCACAAGAGTGAAATATGGACCATCACTGAGCTGACCCACTCACAGAGGAATATATTCTGCACTTTCATAGCTAATTCATCACATAAAAGTGTAATTTATTCCTCTTCCTACCTGGGACACAGACTGCAGTGAAGGCCTCACTCTTGCATCTGTGCAAGACGGGGGGGGGGAGTCAGGAAGGGGGAGGGAAGGAACCCCTAGCCCAGCAAGTTCAAAGCTTGCTGCATTGATTACATCATCGGAACTGGAGTGCAGGAACGGGACAATGCACCATTGGGGGGGGGGGGGGAGATGCAAGTGCAACCAGCTAATCTCACCATTGCTTCCCTGTGGAGCTCCGTGAGCAGAGTGTGTGCGATGTGTGCGTGTGTGCGTCTTTCTTTTCTGTCTCTGGACTCAGCCGAGTCCTGTCCAGAGTCAGATGGCCCGCTCTCCCCCACCACTGTCATGTGACTGAAGGATGGTCTGTGTCTGAGAGAGAAGGATGTGCATCCCTGTATTTCTGCATGTGTGTGGGTTTGTGCGTGAGTGTGTGTGTCTGCGTGTGTCTGCGTGTGTGTGTGTGTGTGTGTGTGTGCTATTAGAGGCCAGCACTGCAGGAACTCAGCTGCTGCAGGACACTGCAGGATTGCTGGTTTGCTACTGGCTCACTGGCTCCTTCTTTTTTTTCTCCCTCTTGCTCTCTCTATTCACTCAGGCAAATTGCTCAAGGAGGATGGTGAGAGCATGTGCTGCATACTTTTTCAGCAGGGGAGAGGGGGGAGGGGGGGATGAGAGGAGGAGAGAAGAGGAGGACGAGGAGGAGGAGGATGAGAGCAGGAGGGATGGTGGGGGGTGGGGGGGGGAGGGAGCAGAATCACAGAGGTGCACAATAAGGTGCCGGTGAGCTGCTGTGCTGGGAAACTGTACCTCTGAGAGAGACTACAGTAGAGAAATTGGAGACAAGGAAGGAGGTGGAGGGAAGATGAGGAGAAAGGAGGGGAGTAGGGGGAGGGCAGAAGTGAGGTGCAAGGAACATCAGGTGAGTGCGGCAATTTCCTTTGCTAGCGGTGCAGCACCCACCCTCAGTGAAAGTGTGAAGAGGAGAACTGCAGATGTTCCAAGATGATGTCAGGCTCCGGATATGGCACGGACCTCATGTACAGTTTCTATCACTCTGATCCCCCGCACTCCCCTGCCTGCAGCGGGGAGAAACCCAAAGGAGAGAGAGAAGCTTTGGACTTCTCCCTCACAAAGAGCCCGCTGGTGACGCAGGGCTTGCTTTTTCAAGGTCTTAGCACAGTTACCTGAGGTGAACTCAGAGCTGACCGAGCCTGCATGCAAGGCAAACTGACCTGGCTGGATCCATCATCAAACCTTCCAGACAGCGTTCGGAGAACATTTCCAATACTGACTCACTTTTGTATCAGGATTTTTTTTTTCGCCCACAAACTATTTTTATATGGCCTTTGAAAAGGCTTGAAGTTAAGCATAGACAGTGCTATATGGCATAAAAGACAAAAGTAGCCTCATCGACTTTTAGAGGAAGAGAGTTGCTGAGATACTGCTGCTGCTTAGATATGACCAAATGTGAGTGGTTCTCCTCCTACAGACTTTTTTTTTCCTTTTTTTTCCCAAGAAACAGATAAAATAATACCCAAATGAACTTTTCTTCAAACAGTTTTTTTTGCTAACCTCTCCAAGCTTCACTCTGCCCTGACATTCCCCTTTTAGGACGGCTGAAACGTCCCAGCAGCTACAGCACAACTTCATGACTGCAGCACAGCCCCCCTGTCCCATGCAGGCCACTGTAGCCTCATTCTCATTTCCGCATGCAGACACCATCATCCCAGCACCCCCTCATACAGCAGATCATTCTTACCCGTTTCCAGCATAATATTCTAAAACATGCTTCTAAATATAAGCACACAACTACCGGGGGAAAGTAGAGAGGCAGGACTGTCTGTACTCTCCTCACAGCTGAGTCAGCAGAGATTAAAGTCTCCTCTGGTGGAGGAACTCTTCGCATCCTGGTTACTATCTTTTTTGTCCTTGTGTCAAATGGCTAGTCCTCTCAACCAGCCGCTATCTGACACGCCGGCTGCTATTTCCAGCCTGTACCATGTGTTAAACATGGATGAGGGAGCAGAGGAGCCTGTCTGCTAACTGGCTGGCTGCTGCCTGGTTATTACTGGTGCAGAGGAGGCTGACACTGATGAGACAGAATAAGCCAGGAGCTTCCACACTGCAGGCATGCAGACAAATACGTTTACCAACTCCTATGAGGCTGATTTAAGAAGAAACATCCTATGCAAAGAGATAACCACACAAGGAGACAACATACAAGGTGAATAACGCTACAGGAGAAATAAACGCATACATACGGATGAGTCTCGGGCAGCATCACACTCGGGACGGAGAGGAGGAAAACTTCTCTGCACTCCCTCTTCAGCCTCATGGTAGCTGGTGATGTGCTCTCGTGGCGCGACAAAGTTGACTGCAGCATTGCCTCCTGAACAGAATGACATTGTTTGCACTCTCTCTCTCCCTCTCCCTCTCTCTCTCTCTCCTTCACTCCTCCTCCTCCTCCACCTCCTGTACGCGCTAGCTCCCCCTCCTCTCCTTTGCACGCTTGCTGGCAGCACAAACTGCACAGCTCAGCAGTGTTCCCCCACTGCCGCAGCAGATCCTGCATGAGCTCTGCGTATCTGAGTGGGATGGGACTTTTAAAGGGGAACGCAACCTCCAGGGTCAGTGTGTGTGTGTGTGTGTGTGCACATCCTCAGTCTGCCTTCCTCTCCTTTCTGTCCTCCTCTGCACCCCCCCCCACACACACACACACACACACACACACACACACAACCCCCCCCACCTCCAAGAATCATCAGTGAAAAGGGGTCCTCACAAGAGAGACCCCCTCCACGCACACATAACCCTCCATCCCCTTTTTATTCATTTTCACACTACAGCAAAACCTCCTTTGAGATATGAGAGTGCTCAAACCTCTATGAGGAACCGTTTTATCCACAGAGAGGCCATATTCTCAGGCGTGCTTTGAAACTTGCCAAATGATCTCCGAAATGTTGTTTTCTCTGAAAAATGCTTGAAACAATTTCTCCAGCAGCTAGGTGATTGAAAGATGAATTTTAAGTTTGTAAAAAAGACGTAAACACAAAACTTGGTCAAGCGAAATGAAAACAAATATTAAAGACAACACTTTTAAACCCAAAATAATAATGCATCACCTGGTAATTTATTAAACTTGACGGCAAAATCTTAAAGTGAAACGCAAACGAAGCACAAAAAATAGTGCAGACGCTGCATTATTGCACACAGATCAACTTACTTTATCTCAAATCTGCAATCTCAACACTCACTCAAGGTTTCACAACTCACACGCGTACAAAATCTCCTTTAGTCAGGTGAAATGTCCTTAATCTGCAATCCCTGTTACCTGCCTTTCATTACCCAAGATGCACTGCTCCGCTGTTGCCATTCTGCAGTGCGCTAGAATATAGAAAAATCTTGACCAACCAAACTCTTCCTGCATGTTGCACTACTCTGCAAAAGTGAGATCATCCATCATTTAGTCAGCCAATGAGGTTGAACTTCTCTTTCTGCAATGTCTTTACTTTAAAAAAATAAAATAAGTGTATAGGCATTGCATAGGCTTTGCATTGATAATAGTGACGCCATTACAAATTCTGTTTGGTATGAGGGCATCAGCGTCTTGGCTAATCTCTGCAGCATTGCAGCGGTCTCTGCATCTTACTGCAGGAGTGCGTTTTTTTTTCTTTTTTTGCATGACTTTGTTCTTCCAGCGCCCTCAGTTGAACCTTTTTGACCTTCTTCCTCTGGTGACGAATTAGTAGATGAATTGATTAAATATTATACCTAAAAACCTTCCATCATGTCGTGTTCTTAATGTTTGTGTATATATTAGCTTTATCAGCATGATTAGCTTGTAATTCCTCTAGTCAGAGGTGCTGCAGCTAATCCGTTGAAATCACATATTGAGCATCTCTGACTATCTGGGGATACATGAGGCTGTCCATATCAATTGATGTAGGCTTGAATCATAGATGTGCTTCGTAGCCATCTGCTGAGAGCGTAGCGTCATTCCCTGCATGTGTGGTTTGCATGCAGTGCTGCTGCTGCTGCATCAGTCTGCCGAGCCTGCTGCATCCGTCCTCTCCTCTGCACTGTGTGACTCCGGGAAAAATGCCCCCGCCAGCATATCCCTCACATAGCCCACGCCGTTCTCCGTAATGGCATCCCCTGTGATGAATAAGCCATGAGGAGGGGCCGTTTTACACGTCCTATTAGATTACCTCACTATGCTTCACCTGGCGACTGTCACCTCAACGCCTCTGGCTCTCCACTCTTCTTAATATTCCCTTTTGTTATCCCAGCCAAGGGCACAATGGGTAAATGTGTGTTAAGGCTCATAGATCATGAGTGTGGAGATTCATAGCTGATTCCTCAGTGCAATTTACTGAATGGGTACATACACTGCTGTCCCTCATGTTTATAACTTGCATTAAGGCTCAGAAAACTGCCAGACTGCTAGCCGTTTCGCATTGGACATTAAATGTCATAAAAGGCTATTGTTTGTTGTGCTTGGTATCTTAGATGCCATTACCGTTGCTTAATCAGACAGAAGCTGTGACAAAACTTACTGCTCATCAGGGGGAAAAAGGGGAATCTGTCAGCTATGGACATTCTTGACATAGGCAGATAATGGAGTTGAGTCCAAACATCGCTTGGCGAGTTTGTGTGTGCCTTTTTTTCTCTTGCCATTCACAGCCCATTCCTCGGCTCCATTGATCTGTCCGGAAAAGATAATAGACACATTGATTTACAAGCTCAGCAGGTTGCCTGGTTTACACATCACTCCAGACTAATTCTCAATAGTCCTTAGTCAAGGAAGAAAATTGCCTGGATTGAAGACTGACTCCTATGTCTATGAAACTGTTTGTGTGCACAGCAATACAGACTTGTATGACACTGAGTAAAAAAAGAAGGATTTTAATGAGAATAAGTGTTAAAAACTGAAATTCTCAGGAGAAATCTGTCATTTCCAATAAAAAAAGGAGTTAGAGAGGAGGCAATAGAGGATAGCCGGGCAATAAATTAACTTCACAAAAATCTTCCTCTGCTCGCTGAAGTCAGTCTGGCAAAGAAAGCGTTTGAATGATGGGATCTGCTTTTGTAGAAGAGGGTAAGAGGTGTGTTTCACTGCGCCAGTGCTTCTTTGTTGACCTCATTTTGTTAAGCTGAGCTGATTACTACCCCACAAAGAAAAAGGACACACAAAAGAGGTAAAAACAGAAGAAAAATGACTGTAAGCACACAGAAGTACAAAGATTTAGAGAGGAATCAAAGTTTATTTCACGCTTTTTTCATGTTATCAAAGAACCACTTTAGACATTACTCAGCGTTTAAATACAGAACTCACTTTGAAAGGTAAAGCTTGATATGTAAGCTTTCTCCCTCCGTATGAGAGAGGCCGTAGTATAACAGGGAATTGATATTGCAGTGACTGGCTGCTCTATTGTGGTGAATGAGCTGTCCCTGTTAGCTCTGTACAACTGAACAGAACACACAGATCAGCCTTAACTGAGGGAGACTGCACCTGGGAAATCCTTGGGTTAGCCTTCAGGGAATCATTGAATACTTTTTCTGACATCACTATGTAATATTCTGTGAAGGTAAACAGTCAGAAATAGTATTAAACAAAGTCTGCATTTCTCTCCATCATTTTATGCATCAAAGCAGTTACATGAGGACACTTTAAGACAGGTAAAGTCAATATTTATCTTTACCCACTGAGTGAAGACTTTGGACTTTGTATTCATGTTATCTGTTGCGTAGTAGTAGGCGCATTAAGTTGTAAACTTAAGCTTAATAATACCTGTACACGTTTAAGTTTCATGGTTTGAACATGACATGGACATAACAAATTAGAGGCAGAGGCAAGTTCGCGCTTAAAATTATCACCTCACCTCACACAATCCATCAATGTAATGCAGCTTTTTTTTCATTCTTATATCTTTGTGTGATAATAGTACAGATAGCCATTTAGTGTTTTATCTGTAAGAGTAAGAAGCTCCATTCTCTTGGATATAAGTATGATGAGTAGCTTGTTATTTTGCTTGTTTCCCGTGCTACATTGATTCTAGGTTCTTGGAGGAGTGTTGCATATCCTCAACAACAACTCGTGTCATCTGGAGATGTGTGACGACTCCTGGCCTACATTCACGGCTGCCATTTGTTACCGTCAAAAACAGGTAGAGCACATAGGGACAAAGATAACTTATAGGCTCCTCCGGCATGGCCAACTGATCTGTGTATCTGCCTGTGAAGCATTTCAAGCAGCAGCTCTGAGGTGATGCCTGACATCTGCACTGTCTTCACCAAGAACCCAGCAAGTCTGAGAAGTCTGCTGCTTAATGAGAGAGTCGTACACTGGAGGACTGGGCTCATATTCAGAGGTAGAGTGAGAGAATAAGAATACAACACTGTTGTACTTATGTTGTGTGTGTTTGAAATTAAAGGTAGGGTATAGGCAATTTATCCTGGAAACAGTTTTTGTTTTACATGTCAAGGTTTTCCTCAAATCCCAGCAGCAATCAAAACAATTATATCCTCTAAAAGAAATTGGAGAAAATAGGGTCTAATCATTTCTCTTGACCCATATGCTCCTCCTCTCTGACCCGCATGCTCTCCCTTTACTATCATCAAGCACTAATTGAGTGTTTCAAGAACCGAAGCTTGGGAGCTAGTTTAGAAAAGTATAGAGTAGAATAGAAAATACTTTATTGTCTACTTTTGCATGAAAAAGTCTGAATTTCTTCTCGGACTTGAGTTTGCAAATATGTGCCATTTAAAACACAAGGTTCTTCATTTACACATTTAAAAACAGACTTATTAAATAGACTCGGAATGCAACATAAGCAAAAAAAACAAACAGACAATACAAATGCTTATAAGGGGGGCACAATGTTCTTAGTGGTGAATATTGAAGGGGTGTTCAATAGCAATATAGTGCTATGTGCAATGAGGTAGTGGACAGACTTCAAAGTGTCTGTACTGATTAAAAATATGTTATGGCAACTAGGACAGGTTCTTATTTATAAAGACTTTCTTGCAAAAGGTACTCTTTGTCCTGTTGCACCAGAATGGTGGAGAAAGCTGGCTTGGTGGCGTTGCGATGACATGTTAACTTGTCATGGATTGTATTTGAGGATGGCATGTTTGTCTCTTTTGTCGAATGGAAAATTCAATTTTTATGTAATTGTTAACAAATCCTGTTGTCTGGATGTTAAATGCTGCAAAGGGATTCAGTAGGCTCATAACTGTTGTGCATTTATGCAAAACAAACAAACAGAAGTCCTGGTTTGTGTTAACTGTTTATTTAACTCCAGACTGACAAAGGACTCCAGTACAGACATTTTAAACATGACAGTCCTCAAAAAATATCAGAGCCCACCTCACCCACTTCATCTCAGTCCAACCATACAACCGTACAGGTGAATTATGGGATATGACAAATTATGGTGCTAATTAAAAAGAGTGATAGTAAATCCTTAAAAGTGGGGCAGCTTTCACAAATAGTCAACACAAGCATAATGCAAAATTTGGCTCCTACACCTGTAAAAAAAAAATTTATTTTTTCCTCAGGGCACCATCATCAGTAGCATCAACCTTGAGCCCAAAAGTAACTCGTGACTGTCATGGAGCAAAAGCTCTTAAATAATCTGGCAGATTTATGGCTTGTGGTTCTGTTTAATGCACTCGAAGCAGTTCTTTTACATCATCACCATCATCCTTTTTTGGGCAATCAAACTACCAAGTAATTACAGCAAGTGTAAAGGATGCTGTTAAACTTCCTGTATGGACTGGTGTAATCAAAAGTGAAACGTTGCACTTGGAGAAATGTTGTGCCATTTGTAAAAGTGAATGTGTTTTAACTTTACTACAACCTTTAAAATAATAACAGTCTACCCAATAATGTCTAAAGCGAAATACAGCGTTTTTGAAAGAGTTATAATATCTGGTGGAATACAATGACTTATTTAAAGCAACCATTGTCCAAACTGTAAAAAAAAAAAAAAAAAGACATTTCAAATTAAATAAAGGGTTCTATAACCTGTAATTACATTTAACATGCTGACTGTGCCAACACCTTTGAAGTAAAACAGGTGTTGGCAGTGACACAATAGTTGTTTCAAAGTTTGGGATCTTTTTAGGATCACTTGCAGGGATCCGCTCTGTGTTCTACTCCAAGGTTAAATCTCCAACATTAAAACGCTATTCGGAGAGAAGAATCCAGATCTGTACATTGTCAGTAATTCATCAAGGTAAATTAAAACAGCCTTTTTTCTCTGGTGTCTATAATAGGTATACCAAGCTCTCACTGTCATCTCACCCAAGAATTAGCCTCTGTCAGAGGGCTTGATGTCACAGACTATGGGGGTTACAACACCTTCATCCACCACAGCCCGAAGAGTCTGGACTCGCAGGGGTGAGAATCTGGAATGTATTCATGACACAGAGTTGGACTGGAAAAAAAAAATCATAAACGTTCTTTTGATTCATGATTCAAATTTTGTTCATATACTTCACTGTGTGTTAGGAAGCTGTTGGCCCTGCCTGTTTCCATTCTGGAAGAGTCCCATGCTGATCTGGTACACGCCCACTTGCCGTATGGAGGCAGCCAGGAGAGCCTGAACCACGTGAGAGCCTGTATCCGCCATCTGCCAAACCACTGCGTGAGGGATGGGAACGGCCGGCCCGTTTCATGGATGCTGTCTGATGAGCTGTGTGAGCTGAGGATGGCGTACACCTTACCAGAGTACAGACGGGCCGGTCACCTCCTGGCTCCGTCTGTTGCTCAGATTTGCAGGATGAGCTCTGCAGGCCTGCCTGTCTACTGCCATGTCAACCAGCAGAACCAGGCCACGATTAAGGCTGTGACCTCACTCGGCTTTTCTTCATGTCCCGGTATGGAGAACATCTCAGTGCTGCTGATATGCAGGGACAGAGTCTGAGTAGCAAAACTAATGACAATAAAGTCTGCTGGATGACTGAAAACACACTGGAAAAATAAGGGTTTGCTTTATGGCTAAATGTTACACTCATCCTCTTTGTTTTATGATTCCTGTTTCCATACGGAGCTCAGGGGATGCTGTTCTAGACAGTTTAGTCCGTCTCTGACAGCAACCTGCAAGTAGAACAAACTCAAAAATAACAGTTTCTTTGCCTTAGGGTGGCTTAGATGGATATGCCAGCCATGCTGCTCCCTTTTACTCAGTAAAACAGGTATAGAAAGTCCCTCAATATAATACAAACCAGTCTTCAGTTTGACCCACTGGCATGTACTGCACTGCTTTTCTTGGTGAGAAAGAATCCTTAATCTGCAGATCACCAAAGAAGGCTCTCCGTTCACCTGGGACCCCTCCCTGGAGGTGTGCTGTTCCACTGCTGATTGCCTCTCTGTATTTTAGCAGCAATGCACCATTCAAGTCTGCAGGCAACTTGACAAATGAGCAAGGATCTGAGCAGAGGGGATACTCGTACTGCACCACACATCCTGTCCCATTCACATCCCCCCTGTCCCGCAGTGGTGCACCTTTCTCCACTGATGCCCTTTCCCTTCTCTAAACCAGCAAGAGCTCTCCTCAAAGTCACACAAGTACAGTACACGCTAAATACATGTTTGCTAACGCAGGTGCATACAAACACACAACTGAAAGAGTAAGTCTGTTAACACGAGCATCTTCTTTTCTATTTTAAAATGTAGTGTACATTTATTCCAAGTTAAACCAGTTACTATTTCAGATCCCTTTAATACTTAAAATGGTGAAGGTGATTTTCATTGTTTATTTTGGATTATTATTTGAATGATCATTAATGATGTCATTAATATCATTAATGATGATTAATATCATTAATGATGTCAGTTAACTTGCAAACTGTTTAAATAATGGACTTTTAAAGCCACATTTAAAGCAAAAGAAGAAAACTATTGTCTTCTTACAAACATCTGCATTGGGGTGATTGGCTGCTTAATCTCGGTTCATATCATTGTCAATTAAATATATTTGGGTTTTGGATTGTTAGAAGAAAATATGTAAATGTATTTAAATTCGTCAGCTTTTGTGCAGCTGAATTTTCCATTATTTTATGACAAATGTAGGCTTATTGTCTTACCAAAAATTATAAGGAGATCAGCCAGTAATGTAAATGATGGTTGGTTTTGAGCCATTATTGTAAATTTGATGTGATAATTTCAGGGCAAAAGGTACTAATTGGATTAATGAAACATAAACAGTCTGTCTTTGGTAAAAAAATAATAAAAAAAGAGCAAAACAAAACACAACAGGGCTGTAAATAAGAAAGTCTTTGGTCCCTCTTGTGGCCTTTTAACAATAAATGGTCGAGTTTGATCAGAGAACTTATCAGAAGTCGGTTCAAAGGGGTTTTCTGAATCGTAATATTCATTCACACACCACTCTAACGACCGTTAAATATTATTTTTCTCTTCAAAGATATCTTCTTCCAAAGCCAGACTGTACAGGTCTTATATTGCATCCAAACATCCACTGAAACATGAGATGTCTTTTTCACCTACAGCATGAATCTATTTAAGTGCTCACCCTTCAATACAGTCAGAGAGTAGGACGATTTCAAAGAATAGGCAGCCGGAGGGTTTTATGCAGGCTGCATCGGCTGCAGATCTTTACTCATCTGAATTAAGACTTCTGAGTCAGCTAAGAAGCAAAAAAAAAAGAAAAAGAAAACTCAGGACATGAAGTACCTGACAGCTGAGCTACTTCTGAAGCTTCATCAGTATGATGCCTGCAACTGCAACCACCACTTGAGGACAGCATCCACCCACTAGTCCTGCTCAGAAACTGCATCCGTGAAAGAACGTGGAGCCGAGTGTCTGACGCAGCATGCGATCATTCACCTTGACTGCGCGTGCTGCTCGGACTTGCCTGGGTGCAGCAGCTGTCCACACATTCCATCACTACCCACACCCCCAACACTGCCCCCATATAGAGCCAGTGCACTCTGCCAGCCATGGAGTGGGACGTACTATCGATCCTGCTGAAATGATGGTTTCTAAAAGGGAGGCAGTAAGCATGTCTGCACTCCCCTCCTCCACTGTGGAGGGGCCCTGAGATATCACCGAGCTCAGCACATTGCACCATCACCGTATGGGAAAATGGGATTTTCAATGCGAGATGAGCTGAGGGGAAGGTAATTCAAGTCGCAAAGCTATGTTCTCCAGCAAGGATGTAAAATGATCCTTTTTACCTTCAGATGCCTCATACAGTGGACAAATAAGGTCATTTTAAATGTCCTATTAGTTAAAGTCACAGAAAAAAATCTGATGCCATATGGGAAAAGAGGATGATGGCTGAAGTACAGTAGGATGTTTGTTTAATTTTCAAACTCTCATCTTGCAGTTTTTATTTTGTTTTTCAGGTTGAAGAACATGTTTTGTCTTATTTAATCTGCATAATTCTGCAAGAACTTCCGCGATTTTGAACAATTGATAAATGACTTAAGCAGCTTTATGGAAACTGAGTTATTAACCTAATAGGATGCTCTGACCCTCAAGCAGAGGGTGTCTATTCCAAACATACCACTAGATGGCAGCAGAGGCCTGAGTTTTCACATTACTAAGGTGACATTTGGAGCACGTGTATGCTGAAATTCAGAGTTCAGGTTTAGAGGAAGTTCTGAGCAGCCTTATTTGGTTTTCTGCATGCATGCATGTAAATAAATAATCACTGACAGGTGTCACTATCAAGGAAAAATTTACAGTGCTTTTAATTTCAATTTTTTTTTTCTTTTTGAATGGACCAAGTTGTATTTCCCTTTTGTTGCTTGAAAGATCGGACTGCATCAGCTGACCAGGTGAAGGTCATGTGCAAGGAGCATCATTTCTGTTGATCCAAATTGCCTGTCACTCACCGTACTCGAGTTTCTCCAGAGGTCAATGTGTCAAACATTGGTGTATGTCTGTGACATGCTGAGCAGCAGTGACTGATGTTAAGGATCTTTAAGCATCTTTACATCATTCTCTGCTTTTTTTTAAAACCATGTCAGTGAGGGATTGAGTGGGCCTGCAGGTCAAGCTGAACAAAAAAGTGTTTCAGCGTGGAAGCTATCATAGCTCACTAGTGCTGTAATGTATTTCTCCTGCTGAACTCTGTCATATGAATGTTTGAGAGTATGAATGATAAATGACGGGTCCCTTTCACCATCCCACATCACATGCAAACCCTCAGGACAGTCCATAATAGCATGCTTTTGTCCTTGAATACAGGTAAGGACACACATGTACGGAGCACTGCAAAAATATCCGATTTTGCAAAGGCAAACAATAAATACATAGCAATCACTGTGAAGGCAAACACACGTTAAGAGTAGGCTGCCACAGATAACACCAAAGCATCTTTTTAATGTTTATATGCGATAATAAATACCCGTTGTCTTGTCGTCAAACCAACAAAGAAGTGACTGAGACAGTAGTGTGATGTCCTACCTGATTTGTCATCATGTACACCCAGTTGAGTCTGCAGTAGTTACAGTTAAGAAGGCTACCCTATGTTGTTGATATTATGGACTGAAGTCAGTTTTGTATTGGAGAGAGACGAGAGAGTTATTTTGTATGTCAGGATTGGTGAGTGTATTTATTTTTCTCAACATTATATAACAGAACATAATGGTTCAACCAGAAGAATGAAATGATAAAATATTTTAATTCAAGATTTTTATTTAGATCTGAACTGAAGATGTTTTTTAGACTTAGGGAACATTTGATATAGTCAAATATACAGTATAGAAATGTATTACTGCATTTAAGCATTTAACTTAAATAGTTGCCTATATATTGTGCATGTCTATGTGTGTGTGTGTGTGTGTGTGTGTACTGCTCTGGGAGACTCTGGTATATATGTTTATTTTTTAGTGACGTGTTATTACTTGCATAGCAATATTTATGTTTAATATGGTACATGGTCCCTTGTTAAATGAAAACAATACATTTTGATAGTTGCACTAGAAGAAATAGTTGTTGAAATTGTCTTGTTTTTATCTTTGCATTATGTTCACACAACATGAGCAGGACCCTGATTCAGAAAGCAGGTATTACAAGTGTAACCCAAAACCCTTAGTTGACTGAGCCTGAGATGGGAAACATCCGCATTAATTACGACACCAACATGAAGCTAACTTCACGTTACCCGTCAGTGGGGAGGTCCTAATCTAGCATAGCAGCTGGGAGCATTTTAACCACGTGATGCGAGAGATGTTAGAGAGCAGCCATCATCATTTCACCTAATTCATGACCAGCTTGAAATGGTAAATGGTGAGACGACAGGGAAACGAAAAACTACGATGGAATAGTTGAAGACTGAAGCCGTTCCTGTTTCACTGGCTTACAATTCAAAAAGGTCTGTTTGCTCTGAGCTTTTCACCCCTTCTCCCCTTGTTTTCTGCTCATATGGTGGTTGCCGAAGCGCTTGTTTCGGTTTCTGTGTTCATCCTTGCATCACATTCATCTTAATTTGTTGTAAAGAAAACAGCACCTGCTTAGGCTTTCTACCTCCTTGTCGTTCAGTATAGTCGAGATAAGTGATTGTTTACAGGTTGTCTTCAACACGAAATGATCACCAGCCATGTTTTGTTGCTGTTTTATGTGAACACGGGTTGCGTTTTGCTTGTTGTGTAACGAACGTTTCGGGGGCGACAGAGTTTTCAGGTAAACAGAAACATTGTCGCAAATCAGCGGCTCGTCACGTTGCTTTGACGCGCTGCTTCTGTCCTCAATGGACGATCTTTGAGCAGGGCCTCTCGGCTCGTAACGTTACTTTGACGCGCTGCTTCTGTCTTCAATGGACGATCTTTGAGCAGGGCCTCTCGACTAGCTGACCCGAGAGAGCTTGTGTGAAGATTAGCTAGCATGAAAAGCTATTGTGGGTCCACATTTTCACAAGGCCTGCATAAATACATTTGTCAGTTCATTAGGGGTCTAAAAATGAACTCTAATACAACGACGTTTTTATAAAGGGGAAACACTTAATGACATTTGAGTTTGTAAACTTTTTTTTTTTAGGGAGATGTGTTCGTGAACTGGCCTTTGTCTTCATTATGGAGCCTTAATGTTAGACCTGTTTTGCTTTATTCTGAGAAGTTTAGATATCGGATTATATCCGTCCTCAGTGTTATAAATGAGATGTTATTTTTTATTTAAAAAAATGTATATGTCATAGCGAAATGTTAGGAATATTATTAGCACATTAGAAACACAACTCAAGGTAACCGTGCACTGCAGGATATCATCCAGGTTCAGTTTTAATTTCACCAAAGGACTTAAAAACTTAATAGACTATTATGTTTAGAGACCCATTTCAACACCTGCACGCTTTGTGTCCATACAATGGATGACTTTGTCTTGGGTAAACCTTACTGTGCAGGTCAACAAACAGGCTAGGGTTTAAGTTAAGGTGGGCCCAGTCTAAATTGGTCCATACAATACAAACAAGTGTTTCCTTGGCTCAGCAAATCCAGCCAGCCCTTCCTCTTGCATTTTAATAAGCTCCAAACGATCCCAGGGGCCCAGGAACCCCAAACCCGGCCCAGGCCAGGATCTCAGCCCACAAGCCGCCTTTTCTACTAATGGGGCATGTTTGTTTTGAAGAAGATAGATGTGGGGAGACCTTCTGTTGTTCTGTTAGTTTTTATTTACTTGTGTACGTTGTAAGGTGGCCCTTTGCCACGGAGGGAGGGAATGGTAAACTCCTGGCTGCGAAAGTGTGCAAATTAACATGTTTCACTCTCTTTGAATGTCGGACAGGCATTGAAAAAGAGATTGTTTACATTCAGATGCTGGCCACCCGCTGCTTGCTTTTTCTTCCCTCCTGTTTTCCAATCACTGAAGAGACATGACCCATTTAAATGGTTGTTTACTTGCATTAGAAGAAGAGCCAAAGCACTTCTCAATGAACTCTTGTCTACAATTCAATTAGAGTGGCCTTCCCAGCAGCACAGTTTTTCCACATTACACAAGGCTCTCTTCAGCCTAGCTGCAACGCAGGCCGATATACGAAGACTTAGAGAGGTGCAATAGTCAGCCACACCTGCAAACCACAGAGTCACATGTCTTTTGACTTTTGATCCCTAGTTTGTTGTGGTGAGATATCCGAGCAAAATGGATTCCATTAAAGAAGAACAGACTGACCTTGACTTGAAACTTTCCAGTTTTCAATTAATTTTAAATTTGAGAAAGAAAGTAAATGTGGGCTTAAGAGGCTGCTATATTCAGACCCAAGTGTCCCTTCACAGCACTGGTTCAGCTGAAGGGGAAAAGCGAGGTAAAGCACAGCACGTATCCATCACGCTTTTGTTGTCAAGTGTATGAATTTGTGACACTGTAAGTGCCTCAAAGGACGCCTGGTCAAGCAGAGTCCTCCTCAAACATGATGGAACATTTTTTATTTCTAAAAGCCAGACGCTTTATTACTGCTTTCCTGTTGCCCTCTGACTAGACAGGCATATATTAAGAAGTGGCTGGAGTGTTTTCCCCTCTTTTTTTTTTCCTCCTATTTTTGGAGATTGTCGGAAAAGTAGCTGAATAGTGTGATGGCCTTGGAGGGCCTGGGAAGCTATGTCTATGTATATTGCTTTAACATTCATAAGCTTTTGAAACCCAGCACTATGAGATGAGTCATTGTACCCTATGACCAATAAAGTGCTAACTGTACTTTATCCTCCTTCAGGATTTCTCCAACCTGAATTTTTATAACTCCACTGAGAATGTCCTCTGTCAAAATCTTTCGGTTGTGAAAGCTTGAAAAGTGCTTGAAATTGGGAACGCCATGTTTTCATTTTAGGATTGACACTTTCTTTTCCAAGAAAATAACATTTTGAGGAAAAGCTGAAAAAGTATTACATAAACTTCAGGACAGCTAATCAAATAAAGTTTGAATGTTTTGTCTTGTTGTTTGTGTGCCTACGTCCTGAATGACTCACTTAGGAAATGAAGAAAATAAAAACATGGTTGTTAAGCAGTTATGCAAAAACTGCAAAACAGAATAAATCAAAATGTAATTCCTATGAGCACAATTTTCAGAGGTTAATGTCAACATCTAACCACTGTTGGCTATTGTACGTCGTCTTTATCCGTGTAAATCTGTATAAAGGAGCATGTTTGCTGTGGAGTGACTTTCTGGGTGTTTCTTGTTAGGCATAAGGGAAGATAATAAATGGGCAGGAAAATAAGAGTAACTATTTATAGACCAAATAACCAGACAGGAGTATCTGTTTAATACATGAAAATACAAAATATTAGCTTTCTTAGTCCTGCTCACTAGTATGCATCATTGCCTAATTAATTCAACAAGATACATTGAAGTGTTTGCAGCCAGGTTATTAACAGCAGTGAACAAATAGTGTTTAGATTTGCACAAAACATGTCAGTTATTAATTGTTTAAATGTAGACTCTCTATTGGATAGACTGTTCTCTGTTCATTGGCCCATCCATTGTATTCTGCCCGTTCAGTCTAGCGTTGATTGTTTTTAGAATGACTGACAAAAACTCGTTGGTCTCGTCTTTCCTGGTTGGCTTCACGTAATGGTGAACTTGTTTGGGAGATGAACTGCTCCAGACTCAAAATGAACTTCAGACATTGGAGGGGCAAATGTGTCACAGCGATGGTGAAGTATTAACTGTCTCTATTGAGGCTATTGGAAACAGCCACAGTCAGCAGACGCATGTTTTCCTGTAGTTGTGTAATGCCAACAGTGTCTTTTCATTATTACATTTTCATTATTTAGGTTTACATCTCAGATTTTCAGGTCATGGGACTCTTTATGTTTTATACCCAAACCATCACATGAGAACAAAGCCACCTTTGAGGCCGCTTAACTGCCCAGCAGCTAATATTTGTTGTTGTCAACGGATTACCAAAAATATCTAGTGCCAAAAATCGGGGAAGTTTTCATTAAATACAGTTCGAAATGCTTTTGGAGATTAAATTAAAGCTGATGTACCATTTTGTCACCATCAAAGGGCATGATAAAGGCACTCTGTCTTCTGTTTTAGCTTGCAGCTGTTATTTTTGATCTGATCTGAATAATTCAGGAAATTGGTTGATAATTGCTTGTTTGTCTTACATGCTTTCATGTCTTCTAATCTCTCCAGGTAGGTTTCAACTAGCACTTGTCTAACGCTGACTGCCTGGATTTATTTATCAAGGAGCACAAACCTGCTTCCTGGATTGTAGAAGCACAGTGGAGGAGAGGGTCTCAGGCTGATTACTCCCCCCATTAGTCTTTCGGGGGGGGGGGGGGGGGAGGGGAGGAATAGGGGGAGGAGGAAAGAGCTGCTATAACCACCCAGAGCATGGGTCAAAAAGTCCCAGGTGGCATAAAAACCATCGACATGCGGGATCCAGCATTCAGCCCTCTGAAGCTGGAGCTTCAGGCCCTGAGTCACACCAAGCCGTCTCGACTAGACCTGCTGCTGGACATGCCACCTGCCGGATTGGACATGCAGGTCCAGCACTCGTGGAACAACGACGACCGCTCGCTCAACATCTTTGTCAAGGACGACAACAAGCTGGTGTTTCACAGGCACCCTGTGGCGCAAAGCACAGACGCCATCCGCGGCCGCGTTGGCTACACGAGGGGCCTGCATGTGTGGGAGATCAGCTGGGCGATGCGTCAGAGGGGCACGCATGCTGTGGTTGGAGTGGCCACTAGTGACTCCCCTCTCCACTCGGTGGGCTACACCGCGTTGGTGGGGAGCAACGCAGAATCATGGGGCTGGGACCTGTGTAGGAGTAAACTGTACCACGATGGCAAGAATTACCCGGGGAAAAGCTACCCGGCCTTCCTTGAGCCAGACGACACCTTCATCATACCCGATTCTCTCTTAGTGGTCTTGGACATGGACGAGGGAACTCTGGGTTACATAGTGGATGGACATTATTTAGGAGTGGCGTTTAGAGGACTAAAAGGCAGGAAGCTGTACCCAGTGGTGAGCGCTGTGTGGGGACACTGTGAGATACGAATCCGGTACATAAATGGACTTGATCGTAAGTGCAAACATTTAATGTTTACAATATGTTTTTGGTCTTTTCATGAGAGATTGTGTTTAACCATCTTTTGAGGATGTCCTCTGCCCGGCTCTTATCACATTGGTGATAATTTAAAACGGTATATTCTGGTTCAGGGGTTTTCACACTGTCCAAGCAGGGCAGTTTACCTTGGCTGAGTTTCACCATAGCTGTCCCTGACTCACATCAGTATGGCTGCCTCTCTGGCTGTTATGTAAAGTAGTACAAGTGATAACATGACATTTGTATTCTTGTCTTGCAGTCATCATTTCATATGGATACATTTTTAACCATGTCCCTGCATCACTTTTGTTCATATTAAGAATGAGGTCACTGTTCCCTGATCTTAGTAGGAGATGTGATCCTGCTCTAGCTTGTCATTTATTGTATATTGCATTAATTTTTTTTAAACTAGTCTAATGTTTAGCACTTTAAAAACATCCAATGGTTCATAATGTTTATGTACAAAACAGCAAGCTGCTCGGTTTCCCCCCCTGACAAACATAAAACGGACTGTAATTGGATTAATGCCAATTATGCCATGGCAAAAAGGGCATGAGCTTTAAATTAGGAGACAAAGGTGCTTATCCAAACAAGCTGTACTACCCACATGTCCCAAGTGTTCTGTGCTCATTAGATTTTTATGCTTTGCTCAGATTCCTCAACCTAGTTTAGGCCCGTGGAATAGAAGCAGTACAAATTAAGTACTATGCATCCTCTTAATGTTGGAGATGGAAAGAAGGAAAATGGTTTATCTTATGCATTGTGGCTGAAGGACTTCTGTCTCACAGTCCATAATTAATCTTGTGCCTGTTAGAGTCCAGTATGCTTGGTTGGCACTGTAACATTAACGCTCTTTGTGCTTTTTACTTCTAGACAAAGAACTAATAGTTAATACCCATCGAGAGGGATATCGATATTATTAAGGCCAAATAGTATCTGTCTGTTGAACATATTGGAAACTTCATGTACCAATTGTAGCACTAGATATTTTGCCTTGTTTGGTTGGCTTTCATCAGATGATACACATTTTTAAAAGCTGTCAAATGATTACATTTAAAACTTGAACTTGTTTTTTGTTTTTTTTATATAAACTACCTCCTACTTAAAACTGTCAAAAGATACAAATATTGACAAGTGATGGTGTGGACGCTATGTGTTCCATTTTATTGGTTAGTTTTGATGTTCTTTCCAGTCCAGACTGAGAGCCGGAGTGAAAGAGCATCTTACCCAGATGTGTTGGTACCATGTCTGGGAGCTTTTCTCTATTTTATTACTTCAGAGTGGATTTTTAATTAGTGTGAACTTCTTCTTGAATATCCTTCCATTGATATGAATTGTATGAACCCAGGAGAGTTTTTTAAATTAGATTCCCCAATTTACAAAGCACTTTGGCAGCTCAAAGCAGCTGATGGCAGCATGAAAGTTAGTAAATGGCTTGCAAGCATAATATTTTGGTTAATTTTTATGAAACATGAATCCTGAAAATAGATGAATCTTTTGCTAACATAAAACTGACCTCTCTCCCCCTCTTGTCTCCCCCCCCCAGCTGAACCCCTTTCTCTGATGGATCTATGTCGGCGCTCAGTGAGGGTGGCATTAGGAAGAGACCGTTTGAGTGAAATCCATAGACTGCCTCTACCTGTCTCTCTCAAGAACTATCTACTCTACCAATGACGGTGCTGCCGGTCTCATGCACAGAGACACACACACTCAGCACACCCTTGTCTATTTCTCTTTTTTCTCTGGGATCCTTCTTGGGTTGAACCTGTTCGACAACATTGCTCGAGCCTCCAGGACTGACTCAGCCTTCAACAAGTATGCTTCTGTATCAGAGTTTTTCTGTTTTTATGACTCTTTGCAATTGTACTCTCTAACTTTATTAAATCAGGAATCACTGAGCACTATGCACATGCTGATCTAGACGATGCCCTGACAGTCACCAACTTGGTGAACCTTCAGTTTGTAAGCTTATGTGGCGTAACTATGTGGTCGGCATCTCTGCTGTGAGCTCCAGACTTTATTATTATGAAAAGCCTTTTAAATGTAAACGTTATTGGCTGTGCTTTAAATGAAATAGGGTGGTACAAATGAAACTTTGAATGTTGGTGCAGAAGTCCACTTCCAGCATCTGACCACAAGGTGGCAGCACATGCACATGTCAGGCAGAATGTCCTCTTAAATAGAGAATTATGGACATGGAATCCTTGTTGCTTTTAAAATCTGGTTTTTAAATGGATAGTAATTTAAAACAAAACTGATGTTCACACATCACAGGAAAGAGATGCTGACCACTCAATAGTGAGTCTGTAGTGCAGTGTGGATGATTGCACTGTGAGGAAGCTGCCCCGACCATTCACTGCGCTATCAGGTTTCACTGTGACACGACGTGTGCCCTATTGCTTACCTGCAAGGTATCGGACGGGAACATCATCAGCCGAAACTTCAACGCAAGGATAATGTCACTGTGATTATTTGTAGCATGCATCTGCTGGAAATCTTTCTCAATACAATCATTTAGTCTTTTTTTTTTTTAATCTTTTGTTACTCCTGCTTTTTGTTGTGCAGTACAGTAGTTTTCAACCACTGCTGTCAGGGCCCAAGAATGCTGTTTTTCCTTTACACTATTATTCAACTAGTTTCTACATCAGCTGATTTCACTGGTATGCACATATTCAGCCAGAGAACAGAAACTAACTTGTGAAGGTGTGTCAAATTTTGAATGAAAACCAGCTACTCTTGGGTATTACTGGCACATAGCTAAGAACCATTGATGTTTTGTTTATGTTTTAAGACATGTAAATGGGGGTAAAAAAAAAGGTTCAGGTATTGATAGTACAAACAATAATGTTCCTTTATCCGCAAACTTCTAACTTAAGACACCATAACATCAAAAGACAATCCACAAGGTGCTGCATAAATGTAATGAAAGAAGTTATGATTGCCAACGTATTGTCCAATGCCATGTCATAGACCTGTTGACTCTAGTATTTTTTTAAAGTGCAGATGTGGTCCTTCCTCAGCGCTAAGCTGATGTTGGCTCACTCTGCCACATCTTTTCTTTTCCTTTCCTTGCTTGCATATTCCATTTTATTTGTACTCCTTGATGTAGATTTGTTTGTATGTATCTATTAAAGTTTATTTCAAAGTATTTTATGTTCTTTGTGCAATGTTATTTTGGGAAATTGTCAAACAGAATTTGGGGTGTGATAATGGTGCAGATGGTGGCTTCCTTAGCTTCTATGAAGTACACTTGACATAAAAGATGTAGATTATACAATGTTGCAAGCTTGTTGTTACTGTGTCTGTGACCTGTAATTTAAGGGAGGGGAATCATTTATTAGTTTTAGTCTGTATGAAAACTGAAGCTCCTTCCAGACACGCATGCACACGCCCTCCTGTTTTAATTTGACTGCAGCATTACATGATGCTGTTGTGGTATCTAAAAAAAACTCCATGTTCACTTTTAGGATGACAAAATCTATCCCTTTAGACAAGGAAAATTCAACTTCGCTAAAATAACTCACCTATTCATTGTAGCACATTCATGTTAATTTCCTTTAAACTTTGAAAGACGTAAAAGCAGAATTAAAAGAAGGCGCTGATGTTATTCGGCACATTGGCTGATTCAAAATGATTCACAAATAACCTCTTCAGAAATAGATAAAAAAATAGTTAAATGTTTGCTTGTGTTCTAGCAAACAACGTATGTGTTTTGTACTGAAATTGTACCTTTTTCTAAGTGTGTCCTATGCTATGTTCACCAAAATGGTGGTAGGTGTTGAGACAGATGTTCTTTTGTTATTGTGTTATTGATTTATGCACTGTTAAACACAGGTGTAAGTATTTTTGAAGGCTGAGTTCCATTTAGCTGTTTCTGATTCATTGTCCTGCTAGTGTTCATGTTTTCATGCTGTTATTCAATGCTGGGACTCTTGAATAGAGCACAGCCATTGCCAATCTTGTTAACAACACCTGCGTTTTATCTGCAACAAGCCAACCTGCATGCTGTGAAAAAGCCTATTAGAGCAGAACATCTTGCAATTAAGTTATTAGAACTCGAAACTGTTTCTACAGCACTCTGCGTAAGGGTCTGAGGTTCTACATGAGAGTGTAAAGACAGAAAAGTGTTGGACACAAACACTTAGCAAATCTGCGATGGGTTTTGAACACAAAGCAGTGATTTAAGCTGAAAAGCACAAAAGTAATCAAATGAAATCCAAAGTTACAAAGTTCTCTTAAGCCTTGATTTAAGAGAACTGAGGTTTCTGAGTTAAGCTTTCCTTCAAAAATGTGGCCAAATAATACATATCTTTACTGCTGCTTCTCTGAGTGTAGCTTGGTCCAGACATTTAAAAATGAGGCTGATTAAACATCTCTACATGTGTATATAAAACAGAATGCTTGCGTAAGGCATAACCAGTGTAACAATAATGCCATCGATATGATTCACTGTTTGGGCCGCTTTAAAAAAGGCCTGTAAAGGCACCAATGCGCAGTATTGGGGAATTGTCGAGATTAAACCTCCCCCTTTCCCTTTCATCATTCTGCAACTGATAACACTTTGACTGCATATAGAAACAGATTCTTAGGATTAGAATGCACAAAGTATTTACACTACTGAAGTACTCAGCCACTTAAAATCTAAAGTTAAAGCCAGTTATCTGACTATCTAAAACCCAGCATTTTACTCATACAACACGGGTGCAATGGAAAACACATCTCACTTTAATGTGCAAAATCTGACATATTTACACATTTTTCAACATTGAATATATCTGCTGCATTAAAGTCAGTACACCAGGTGTTTAAACCTTTAAAGTCTTTTTAAATGTTTTTTTGATACTTGAATTTTTCAAGTAAAAAGGATGCATCCAACTTGCAGGGATATGATCTAGTTAAATGCCAGATGTAAATAGAAAAAAAAAACAAGCAGGTTTACATTCAGGACTATTAAAGGCAAGGCAAATAAGACATATGCTAAAATTAAGTGTATTTAAATGAGCATGAGCCGAGCACTAAGGGAAACTGTTGTTTTTACCTTTTAATTCAAAGAAACCCAGAGAGAAAACACCTAACATGGGAACTTTATTGCAGCTGCCAACAAAAACAACTAAAGTAAGACGAAAAGGGTTAGCAAAGGTGAAAAGATGACTTAAGAGAGAAATATAAAACTTGCAAACAGAGGGATAAGAGCCAGTATCACAGCTTTTCTAAAGGTCTCTTCTCCACAAGCAGTGCTGTACTAACAGTTCTGTGGCTGTGTGTTTTATCTTTGGTCACTTGGTGTCAGCATTTCCAAGTCCTGTAACGATCAAGGTCATCCAGTCTTGGCAAACCAATGTGACTTACAGTTGGTGGTACTTGTTCTGTTTTGTTTTTAAATCATTTTTTTATTGTTACAGTAATACTATTGCATCAGTGTGTATGCAGTGTTTTAAAGCTTCACCTGGTTAGAGTAAATTAAATACTAATGTACAGATACGTGACAATAGCTCTAGTAGGCAACAGTATTTGTTTACATTTATTTAGTTAATGTATAAGCTGAACATTCAGTAATAGGCTGTTTATAATAGTTTACTTGATTAACCTCTAAGGTATGTTAAATCAGAAACTTCGTTACACTGCTCACTTTTTACAGACTTGTTATGCAATACATGACATGCAACACCAAGCTAATAAATAACAAGATTTATGACTTTTGATTTTTAAAAAAAGCATAAAAGCAGGTGCAGCTGGTTTGACGAGGCTGTTTGACACAATGCACAAATATTATTACACAGAAATAAGGACAAACAAGGTGCTTGAATGATTGTGCAACCTATCTTTTTATCAGGCCAAAGCCCATAAGTCCTCTGGGGGTCATCAGAAGTCACATTCTAACTTTTATTACTCATGGTGGACAGCACAGACATAACAACATAGTATGTCCTTATGTTGTCTTCCATAACACGCTACAAGGACTTAGGGTTTTCTAGTCTACCAGCTGAAGGAAATTAGGTTGTTTTTACGGCAATGTATCTGTTGTTTATCTGTTTTTTTATCAGAGAAGGAACAGTCCATTTAATGGCAGACAAAAATTACTAGGGGAATACTAAAGAAGCTGCTAAAACAGCAAAGGTTTACAAATATATGATTGGTTTGAGATAAGTAAAGAGAACAAAGTGCCATTGTGGCATGTCCAGAAAACATCTTTATAGCCTTTAGTCACCAAAATAAACAAGTAACAGGGAGCTATTTGTGTTGCCAATGTTCAGTTACAGTTCTCTCAAATCAGTCCTTGAAAGCAATTTGTAATTCACCATAGATATTTTCTCTTCATGATACAAGCTGTATCACACCCACATATGGTTCAGTCTTAAACAAAGATTTTGCAGAATATTTCCAGAGAATATCCTTAACAGTACTTGTATCCTTTTAATTTCTGTGTTTCTTTGTCATGCATGTATGATTGTTGTTAATGCACAGTGCGTTCTGAATTGCATAACACAACTCAAATTCCCATGATGATGAGAATTCACGTGTGCCATTGTTATAGCTGTTTACATCCCACCGTCAGCTGATGCCGAGTCTGCGAGTGATGCCATTGAGTCCACAGACTGGGATGTACATTGCGAGCCACATGGAGAGGACATTAACAGCATGACTGACTGCATCACAGACTGTATTAAATTCTGTGAAAACGCTGCTTTTCCGGCCTGGAATGTACGCTGTTTTCCTAATAACAAACTCTGGATCACCAGTGACCTGAAAGCCCTTATCAACAAAAAGAAACAAGCCTTCAGTTCTGGAAACAGGGAGAAGCTGAAAAGGATACAGCACGATCTGAGGGAAAAAGCTGAGGGAGTGCAAGGACTCATACAGGAGAGAGCTGGAGGCCAAACTCCATCAGAACAACGTGAGGGATGTGTGGACGGGAATGAGGGAAATCACTGGTTTCAAGAGAGAAGAGAGAAAGGCAACATTCTGGCAGCCTGGAGAGGCCGAATGAGCTAAACCTGTTCTTCAGGTTTAGTTCACAGCCTTCAGCTGACTGCTTCACCTCAAACAATACCCCTGTCCTTCACACCCCCCCAGCCTCCCTTTGTATTTTCTCCCTCCCCCCCAACCCCCCATGGTGAACTCTTTGGACTCTGGCCCCGCACCACAGGAGTGCACTCCCCCCCCGGGGTAAACTGCTCCATCCCCCCCCCCCACTGACTCTAACAACTTGCCAGGTTAAGAGACAGCTAGAGAAACTACACCTTAGCAAGGCTCCAGGCCTGGACGGCATTAGCCCAATGGTTCTGAAGACCTGCGCCAGCCAGCCAGCTGAGATTCTGCAACACCTCTTCAACCTGAGTCTGAGCCAGGAGAGGATACCGGTGCTGTGGAAAACGTCCTGCTTGGTCCCGGCCCCAAAGAAGACGACAACATCTGACCTCAAAGACTTATCGACCAGTGGCTCTCACTGCTCATGTAATGAAAGTGTTGGAGAGGCTTGTCTTGACCCACCTCAGGCCGCAGGTGAAACCATCCCTTGACCCTCTACAATTTGCCTACCAGCCACACCTGGGAGTGGACGATGCCACCTGCTGCAGCGTGCTCACTCACATCTGGAGGGAAACGGCTGCACTGTGAGAATCACCTTTTTTGATCTCTCCAGTGCATTCAACACCATCCAGCCACAACTTCTGGAAGAGAAGCTGCAGTTGATGGGTGTGGACTCGTCCGTCATCTCCTGGAATACCGACTACCTGACAGACAGACCACAGTTTGTCCGACTTGGCAGTGTTCAGTCTGGAGTGGTGGAGAGTAGTACAGGAGCTCCACAGGGGACTGTGCTGTCTCCTTTCATTTTCACCTTGTACACCTCTGACTTTCAGTACAACTCCAGGTCATGCCACTTGCAGAAGTTTTCTGATGACTCTGCGGTTGTGTTGGCAGTCTGTTGTGGCCAGTGCACTGTTCTCTGCTGTGGTCTGCTGGGGGAGCAGCATTGGAGCTGGTGACATTAAGAGACTGGACAAACTCATCAAGAAGGCCTGCTCTGTGATAGGCTGCAAGCTGGACTCTTCTGTAGTGGTGACAGAGAGGAGGACTCTCAACAAACTGTTCTCCATTATGGATAATCCTGATCACCCTCTGCACACCCTACTGGACAAACAGCGGAGCAGCTTCTCCAACAGACTGATACAACTGCGCTGTCACAAGGACAGATACAAGAAATCTTTCTTACCGAAGGCCATAACTCTGTACAACAGCTCACCTCATGCGAGCAGAGAACTGTCATCATGATAATATCTGTCTCCATACTGTAATCTGTTCTGCACATGTTAAATTTACAAATTATCCCTGTGCTCAAGTTCACTTCATTTGTCTGTCTACTCGCCGTTATATTGAATAGTTTCTGCTGATAATATGTCTACACTCATGCACTTTAACGTACAGTATCACTGATTGCACAGCTCTGGACAGCTCCCTATGTCAATACTGTCCATTTACAACTCTGTTTTTGCACATTTACATTTAATCTTTCATATTTAAGACTAGTAATGCTTAGTTAAATCCTAGTTGTATATATTCCCATTCTTAGTTTTGATATTTTTTGTGCTTATTTACTTTGTATTTAATATTATATTGTGTTTAAATGAGCTAATATTGTGTTTTTTGCTCATATTGTGTGTTTTGGACAACCTGCTGCTTGTAACGCCACAACTTCCCAGTTTGGGATCAATAAAGTAATTCTATGATGTATGAATTTGAGCCTATCAAAAAAAAAAATGTCTTTAAACAAGCTTTTATTTTATACTAAAAACAAGTAATGATCAGAGAATCCGAAGTCCAAGGTATTGTTTTTGCAGGATCAGTGACACTGGGTAATTATTATGCAACATCTTGAAAACGGAACAGTCTACGGGACAGAGCCAGAGCACAAGGTGGCGAGCACGTGTGTCTACGTCATAGGAAACACCCCCCGCCCGGCCCACTGACGTAAATGTGAGCGGCTCTTCAGGTCACCCTGCCTCTCCGCTCAGCCCCACTGCTGACAGCTCCACCGAAGCCGGAACGATCGTACAGATGAACAACAGAATACTTGGGGATCACAGAAACCCGGACTCCAGTCATCATCATCATCACACTCGACACTTAAACAAGGCTTTAAAACAGTTTTACAACACGAGTATGGTGACTGTTTGAAAAGAACAAAACAAGATGCCGCAGAAAGACACGCTGCTAAATCTCTTCGCCGGAGGGTAAGACATATTGATTCTTTCACGTTAGTAAAGATTAGTGTTTCATTAAGAGGTTTGAAATGTACGCGTGATATAACTTAATAATTACATAACCTTTGGAAAGCGGGTGTGAAGTCAACACTTAAACAAAAAAAAACGAAACTCCAGTATACCGGAATATATACAAGCTAGCTCGTGTTAGCACAGCATGTTCTTTCGGATGTTCAGTGGTTTCTAGTTAATAATAGACAACCCTCTGTGTTTTTTTTCCTGGCTCTCTACTAGCTGAGGTGTTAATGGCGGAACATAACTACGTTAAGTGTGTGCAAACTTATTTAATGCAATTTATTAACCTGATAACTTAACAGGACAACCCTGTGAACCCGGCGGCGTCTCCTCTGACCTGTGCGGAAGTTAGCTACGTGAAGCTAGCGATGTGGTCGTTATTGCGATGTGGTGTTTAAATACTCTTACTTTGTCGTGAGACGGACACTGTGGGACACTGTGGGACACTGTGAGACACTGTGAGACATTGTGAGACACTGTGGGACACTGAGTGAAGCGGTGGCTCGACATGGCGCAGTCACAAGAGTCCTTTAGCCCTTTAGCTATGTGATGTTCCTCAGTGTTACATAACATTAAAAGATACACCAACATCGACACCTGGCTACATAATGCTATTAATAAACCTCGAATCTATGAAAAGATTCAGCACTGTTACACAACGACAAGCAGGTTGTTCTCAAGTTGACGTTGAGGTCAAATAAAAACAGAATTAGCTTTTTTTTTCTTTTAAAAAAAAACAGCGGCGCCATTTTACCCTTGAAGTCAACTCGTTAAAGCTTCAAGCAGTGACGCTAATATCTGTGGAAGTATGATTTTTTTTTTAATTATATATAAAGGTGAACAACATTTGTTTCGTGATTAAACCTTTTTATAAGTCTAGTGCTCAAACATCCAGTGTGAGATAATAAAGCTGGTCTATTTACCTCTTAGCAAACCAGCTGAGCTTGTATGGCAGCATTGGGTCGTAACTAAACTATCAACAAAACACACAAGGACCTTTTTTTTTTTCTCTCAGTAAAAATGTTTTCAGCTTTTTTGTCATTTCACAGAGAGAACTCTTTGACCCAGTCCTCCCCTTTGATTTATTATCTGTGTTGTCATTGCCACAGCACATTATTTGAGTCTGCTTTGCATGTTTTGTCTGGTTTGGTTATTCAACTGGGTTATGTAACATGGATACTCTGCTGTTTCTTCTCTATATTTAAAAACGATAATGAGGACATTTAAAAACGAAAGGGAGGACGTTTGACTAATGAGTCGTGAATTGACAAGTTGCTCAGGTGTTAGTGTCTCTGGGATGTTCGACTTTGTCCTTCAGACACAAGAGTGTAACGTATCAGAGGCTTAGTTTAATCTCCCAAGTTTGTCATTGGTCAGGTTATTGAGGGGAGGCATAGTGTGTATTAACAGATGTACCAGTGAGAGCTGTAAAGAACTAAATGTTAAATTTAAATCGGGAAAAGTGCTATCTAAAAGCAGCTGTTCATTAGTTAAATAGCTCTTTCTCACAGCAATAACAGTGTCTTAGCTGTAAAACCTTGTGCACCCTATGTGTTGGGGTTAACTCTGACTATTCACTGCAGAGCAGCCTTTGACCATAATTGTTCATTACACTTGGTTGGAAGCTCCACAGCTGTGTTATTGTGGAAAAACGCTCTCCTCAGTTTAAGCTGCGATGGGTAAACCTCCAAATAGATGAACTGGGTACTCTTAGCAGGATAGCCATTGCATTGCAAGGATCATGCAAACCCCCTACAAGCCTAATATCCTTATTTTTGTGCTATTAATTTACAGGTGTAGTGGTACGGTGGGAGCCATCGTGACCTGCCCCCTGGAGGTGTTGAAGACACGGTTGCAGTCTTCTAGCCTTGCCCTCCGACCTGTCTTCCAGGTCCAGCTGGGCACATTCAATGGAACCGGAGTTATCCGACCCGGAACTGTTACGCCGGGACTGCTGCAGGTCCTACGGTAAGATGTTGTTCATGTTGTTGCTGTAAGGCAAATAATACTTCCGCATCTTTGGACCTTCCCTTGAGGCTGTTATGCAAAGGTAATTTAAAAACTGCCTTGTGGGGACAGACATAATTTTTAGCTTGTGATTTTCTTTTTGCACGCAGTCTCTTACTGACTTTTAATGTTGTTAGGAACTTCATGTTTAGGCATGTCAGAGAAGCTGATAAAATAGATTGGTAGAAACAATCATATTGTGTAAGGGCCTGTGCAGTTCTTGGGATTTAGTCCATGGGAACATTTTGTCGAGTCTGTTATTTGCTATCTGCTTTCGTAGTCTGCAAATGAATGCCTCTAATCCTGTCCCACATAAACTAAGGATTAAGTACAAACGATCCTGTTTGTATTTAGTATCTTAAAGTAGTAGTTAGGGCATAGAATCTGATTTCCCAGAAGGCATAAAGATGTCTTTTTTTCTTGAATGTTTTTACATGTATGTATTTATTTGTATTAGTTGTATGTCGCCTTTTTAATGGCACTAAGTTTGGTTTGGGTTCAAAGATACCCAAAGCAGCCTCAGGGGCATTTTAAAAAGTGTGCTGCTTCAGTGTTACAGATTGTTACACTCAGCTGACTGAGGACTCAAACTGAACTGGTTTGGACTGGTATTTGTTGTAGACTGTTAAAATTACAGAAGCTTAAAGATATTTTTGTAGAAATATTTAATTCCATGCCAATTGAGGTGCTATGCATATTTCAAACTTACTTTAGCTGCTACAAATATGTTTTTTGTTTCAACATTTAAATCATTCTATTGAATGGAATTTGAAAGAAACTCAATCTGAACTTCAACCTTCTCTCTCTGGCCATTAACACTTTAGACTGGGCCTTCCTTTGTCCTGAAAAATGATTATTCATTTGTTTTGTCCACGTTAAATCCACGTTTAAGAGGAGGTGTTGGGTATCTAGGAGAGAGAACTAACCAAGAGACAAGGTATACATTACAGAAATTGCAGTTGAACTGCACCTCTTCATGGCCCCAGGCGAACTTGCCTGTCATCTGTAGAATGAAGGTCATTACCTTCAGAAATGCTGTGGGGGTGTGTCTGAGTGACGGGCCAAACACTGCAGTCGAGACGGGGTCACATGCAAACTGATATTTAAAGCCTGCTCAAGTGACCAGGACATGCAGAGAACTTGGAGTGATTGCAGGAGTGAGCTTTCGTACTCGTTCCCTTTATAGACAGCGGGGTGTTCCAACGTAAACATGTTCCAAACAAATTAAGAGTCATGTAAAAGAGTGTATGAATACAAGAGGGAGATATGTCTTAAGTTATTTGGATGATTGATGGCTGTTTTTAACTTTGTTTCAGATCAATCCTAGAAAAAGAAGGACCGAGATCACTTTTCCGTGGCCTGGGGCCGAACCTTGTTGGTGTGGCCCCTTCAAGGTACTTTCAAATCTCTGACATTCTTACATGTTTGTGAACTCACTGCCCTTTCCAATTCTAGCTACCTGGCAATATTAGCTTTAAAAACACCTGCCTTTTGGTGTTTAGGTGAGGGTTTCATTAAAATGATGTAGCTTCTTCTTCTTCTCCCCTTTCTTTTTTTTATGGAAGCACCAGCACAGCTGAAGTAAAAAAGTAAAATAATTTTTTCTTAAAAAAACATCTCAAAATGTCACTGTTATATACTACTTGCCACAGCAAGAAAAAGAGGCCGTCTGTGACTGTGTGTATCTAAATAGCTTTGTAAACAGGAAGCTTTTGTCATGGCAACCACTTCTGGCCCCATCATCTAGCCTTACAGACATCAGCTGCTGGTGAAGACACCATTTTTTTTTAAAAATCCGTATGAGACTGTTAACTTGAGGCAAATGCATAAAAGCACTAATAAGGAAGTACTGGTATGTGAGTTGTGGGTCCAGAGTTGGCTGCAGTAATGAGAATAGTTGGATAATTATTGATGTGATTTGAACTTGTACGTGACTTCCAAGTCAAGTCATAACACGCGACTTCTCCAGGACACCATGTGAGGTTTTGATTTCACCAGTGTTCTATTTTTAGTGTCAACAATGGTCAGTGATCATCTGGATAGTCTACAGGACAAAAATGCTCTTAGACTTTGAGACCGATAAACTTAAAGGCCATTGGTTACATTTACTTTGGCTATGGTTTATGAGTATCCACAGCCCAGTCCTTTGCTAAGTAATCTCACTACCCCTCCATTCCTCTGGCTGACTTGTATGGACTCATATTCATAGAAGCTCATTGGACATTTGTGGTGCCCAGTGCTTATTCAGCCCATTCTGGTGCAGTGTCAGTTTGTTCCAGAAGCTAAGCAGAGAGAGAGGGAGCACGGGGTAGCAGACTGCTCTGGATCAAGTCTGTCAAAGGCCTATATATCACATAATATCCCAGCTGTTTATAAAACCACATGCACTTATTGAAAATGCATTCATATTTAAGCACTGTGTGTTAATCCTTACAGCTCTAACCAGTTTTTTCTCTGTGTTTCAGGGCCATTTATTTCGCTGCATACTCTAAATCTAAAGAGATGTTCAATGGGCTGTTTGTGCCTAACAGTGGTGCGGTGCACATGTCCTCTGCTGGTGTTGCAGGTGAGCAGTCAGCGTGTGTACATATACGTCATGTAATAGACATCACATCTGTAAATCCTTATACAGTCCAGTGCCCCTGCAAATGCATCATTCTTAATGCTTGAGAAGATTAACTACCTCGTGGGAAAAAATAAGGCCAACATGAGATTTTAATTGAATTCTATAAAATGATTCCCTTCGATGATTATGATCAACAGAAACACTTAGTTGTGAATTAAATTTGGGCTGTGAAATGTATGTGATATTAGAATGAGGTGTAAACTGTATATGCTTCCCCCCCCTCCCTTATCTTCAGCTTTCGTTACTAACTCTCTGATGAACCCCATCTGGATGGTCAAGACCAGGATGCAGCTGGAAAAAAAGTGTGTACACTCTTGACTTCACCTTTTTTAGCAGTAGACTCACTGAAGCATTCTTGCTTCGGACCCAAGTAAAACACCCTGAGCTATTTTAGGGACTTAACAGTTGGAAAGGTTCTCCTTATAGTGAGACCCTCTTTAAAAAAAAAAATCTTTAACAGAGCCTTCACTGCACTGTCCTTGAGTTATGCAGTGTGATCAGGCTCAGCGTGTGATCTCGATCCATAAATACACAGAGCTGACGCACTGTCCTGCGTGCAGAGAAAGAGTCTATATTTACATTGAGTACAGGGCAGTAGTATTATGAGAGGTCGACGCAACAGGTCTGTTAACCATGTGTCTGAAGAAATAATTGTCCTAAAGCCAGATAGAAGCAGAATGAGAGGGAAAAACAATGAAACATTTTAAGTTACTTATTTAACCCTATAATGAAATCATGATCTATGCTTTTTGTACAAACTAAACTTTAACCCTAATCAACAGACAAGGAACAGGTTCAAAAGTGATATCAATTATTACCTAGGATGACACTAGATACTCAGAAATCGGCTTTCCACAAAATTCATATTGCATCATCAGATGTTTGTCAGACTTGTTGGGATCTCATAACTCTTGATTGACTTTGAGTAAAAATGTTTTAGAGGCTTCATCAACTGCTAGGTTAGAGAGAAAGGACATAGCTTTAATAAATATCTTTATTACATGTTAATAAAACAAAAGTAGATCAATGACTGAACATGAAGAGCAATATTCATTTTGAAAAGTTTAACAACCATATCAACTGGGATTTTTGACACAGAGCAGCAGTAATTTTTTTAGAACAGTTAACAGTTATTTTATTTACCTTGTGTCTACAACACCATCTACCAAGTGTCAATAAAAGATAGAAAAAGTACATCAGTACATTTAGCAGACCTTGCTCTTCTCTATATCTGGATAGTGTAACAATCAACAGTTGAAAAAAGTTGTTTGCTTAACTTGTGTGGTTTTCTGTACTAATGAGTTCGACCTGTTTGATTTTCTTTTATAGAGCCAGAGGAGAAAAGAAAATGAACGCTCTTCAGTGTGCCCGCTACGTTCACAAAACCGAAGGGTTTCGTGGCTTTTACCGAGGCCTGACCGCATCATATGCCGGCATCTCAGAGACCATGATCTGCTTCCTCATCTACGAGACACTGAAGAAACAGCTTGCTGAGAGCCAGTTATCCTCCCGGAATAATGAAAAGGAAAAAGGAGCGTCAGACTTCCTGGGTCTGATGTTGGCAGCTGCATTTTCAAAGGGTTGTGCGTCCTGCATAGCCTACCCACACGGTAAACACTCACATTATTTGTCTCCTGCAACATGAGAACCCTAATGCCATGGAGAAGTATTTATTGGAATGACTTATCTTTGTTTTGTTTTTTTGTCTCCATAGAGGTCATTCGGACACGGCTGCGTGAGGAGGGCAGCAAGTACAAGTACTTCTTCCAGACCGGGAGGTTAATAATGGTGGAGGAAGGCTATGCAGCTTTTTATAGAGGACTCATTCCACAGCTTATTAGACAAATCCCCAACACAGCCATCGTCCTCTCAACATATGAACTCATTGTCCATCTGCTTGGGGAGTCCAAGTGATGAAGTGTGAGAAAGTTGGGATTTTTTTCCTGACTATGGACGCTGAATAAAACAAAAGCTGGGCGAGAGACTTTGAATATGCAGCACATGCATTTTTGATGTGCTGCCACAGAGACTATACTGATGGAACTGAAGCAGGTTGTACCTGTTATCCAAAGAGTTAAACGCATCATTTTATTACAAGCTTATCGTTAAGAGTTCAGAATATTCAGAGAGTCAGAAAACCCCAAAGTTATTGTACTTTTGATTCAGACTCTTAAACCTGTGAAAAAAAGGTCATCTTCTTGGAGGACTAGTGTTAAGTTAACTAAATTATTTTATGTTTTGTTGTTTTATTTTGTCAGAGGTAAATGTACCCACTCACATGACAGTGCAATTGGACTCATTAACTTTGATGGAGGGAGGTTATTAATATAAAGTGCTAGTTTTATTGCTGTTCTTGCAATTTTCTGACTACACAGATCATTTTTGGATTTCTGATTCACAAATACACTGCTCTGGTTTTTAGGTTTGAATAGCAGAGAAATGTATCATATTTTTCATTAATGTATACATAAAACATAATTCTGTATATTAGGTTATCTGTATGTTTTCTTTGTGAAAGAGATTTGTCAACTTTTACAGGATAATGAGAAGTTGGATGCTTATTTGACCAGTGGCTCAATAAAATGCATTAAGAAAATATCAGCTGGTTTAAAGTTCTAATGTCAACAAAATGTCACAATGTTACAAACCAACAAAAATCATACTGTCTTACTGACTATAAGCACACCTAAGGACAGCTCTTCTACTGGGAAAAAAAAGAACATGAGGGACACTTTGCCCAACTCTTACGTCCAAATAGATTGATTTGATATATAAGATCTCTGTCCATTGGATATTCTTTGCACTTGAGGGATTCTCCCTAAACGTCAGCGTCAGTCAGCCTTTTTTTGGAAATGTCAAAACGTTCTTTCGCCTTCTCATAAACTTACTATTGTTTTTTCTTGTATTGATTGCTTCCTCTTCAAGTAAACAAGTCTTCCATGTTTTGTTTTTACATGGTCCTATAAAAAGTACTCACCCCAGGTACTTTTTTATACTTTGTTACATAAGAATACATTAAGCTTCTATGACCCGGATCAACCTATTAAAAAACATTTGTTGTTCAAATGAAGGAAGACATGTACTCATTGTCCTACATTAAGTGCAAATATAAACTGCAAATAACTTACTTCCGTAATTGGAGTCCTCAGTCACTGCGTTTTAATGTAAAGGCACCATTAGCAGCACTTCTAGTCTTGACTCAGTGTGATTGGTTAAAATCAGGTGAGGGAATGCAGACAAGATACATTGATGAATTTTCCTATCACCGATTAGGGATTAAATTAAGGTCTGCCTCTCAGCCGCTTTAAGATCTTGAGTGTTATTGGGGAACAGCTCTGGTTTGCATGGGGGAAAAACTTCTTAAATTTGAGTTTTCTTTTAGATTGAAGCAGGTTTCAGGATTTGTTGGAGTCCATTTGTATGTTAATGTCACACATCTTCTGCACGTGTCTCTGCTTTTGATGAATAGTGGTCCAACATGACCACAGAAAAAGTTACTAAGTAAAGCATTTATATTGCAATAAAATCTGATGAGTATTCATTTTTAAGTAGTCATCTATGACCAGGGCTTTTATTGAATTAGTTAGTCATCTCATTGTGTGCAAAAAACATTTGACATCCCAGACCTGAGTCAGCAAATGAGCCTTCTTCCTGTTGTGGTTTTGAATTAGTCATGCACATTCTTTCCAGCTGGAAATACCAAGCAAGTGCCCAGATGGTTTTAATTTGGCAGACTAAAGCTGGAGAACTGAACTGTAATGGTGTTAAATCTCCGAGTGGTGGGTGTTTGTTTCTAGTCTATAACAGGGATACAGGTTTGGTCCCATATTAATGCTCTTCCCCCACACTCAGTAACATGTATTCAACCGGGAACAACTTAATTCTCCTTAATGCAGTTTTTTTTTTTTTGTTTTCTTCAATGTAATGAAGTGATGCAACAATAAGAACAGCTAACAGGCTGGCCAATTTAAGAAAAACTACTACTACTTACTACTTACTACTAATGTTACCTACCACTCTTCCTTGGTATACAGTTTGCAACCCCAAATCTTTAAATTCTGCAGCTACAAGATTCAAGATTCAAGATTCAAGATTTTTATTTGTCACATGCTCATACAGATGTGCAGTGAAATGTAAGGACTGTTCCCAAGGCCATGCAATAAACACTCAAATTATTAATACCCATATATACAGTAAAATAGAATATAATGTAAAAAATGTAAAAATAATTATTTGAATGTACAAAATATAAATATAGAGTAATGTAAACAGTGTAAAGTGTCCAGGGTGGACACACTGACACTTTACAAAGGCAATCAATCATTGATTTGTAGAAATCCCCACTTACTGCTTCAACAGCTCTTACCTTGTGGAGTCACAGCAGAGATAACTCATGAGTGTCATAATGACCCGAATTTAACAACAAAAATAACACTTAATGTTAAAGTTTGGGCAAATCTGTACACGCAGACCTTAGGTGAATATAAACAGTAAAAAAAAAAAATTGCAGGAATAAAAATGTCTTGGCAGCCTTTGTCCACAGAAGGAGCAATCAGAACAAACAATTGTGCTTTGAATGTACTTAACATGTGTCATTGTAATAGGACAGACTTGGGGAAGATAAATGACAATTCCACTTTAAAGCACAAGTAAAAGATAAGATAACAATTAGCAAAACAACTTCCTAACTTAAGAACTAGTACCATACATACTTACTTGCTCCAGATTAGCTACGCACTAAAATAAGCAAACACATTAGAGTTAATGACTTATTACATAACACAACATGGCCTAGGGCAACTGGCTTGCAGCCAAGAGGAAGGCAGGCCTGCCAAACTATGACAAGAAAAGCTGGTGTAATGCAGCTTGTGGTGACCTCTGTCTGCCGCAGGGAGAACAGCGACTCTACCGGACTGACTTCTGTGGCGTCGTGACGGCATGTAGCTTCTGTACTAGTTCCGTCATGGACATCGTGTTATTGTAATTCGTCGGCTGCCTCTCTTTGTTTGGACACAACATTATCGATGCATTAGTCTGTTCTCGACAATGTCTCGTAAGCTACGCCAGCAAAGTGGCTCAGCTTTTGCTACAGCTGCTACGTGTTAGCTTTTTTTTTTTTTTAGTTTTCAAGCCTTTTTTGTTGCACACGAGCTAGCTGATGTCTCGTTCGATCGCGAGCTTTAAAAGGCTGTTAGCATCATCACCACGACAACCGGCCAGCTGATGGACGGCTGAGGGAAACCATGCTGAGATTCCTCCATATCCTTTTAACAGGTAACCTTAAGCCACGGCTGCTATTAATGGTTTAGCTAAGCTGGTTTGCCAGCTGACTCTGAACTAGTTCCAAGGTTTTATTTTTATACCACCTGTGTTTCTGTAACGTGATAACTAAAGAAGCAAAGTTATTTGAGTTTTATTGAAAAGAGTCTTGATATTGAGTCTTAATTGCATTCAAAGGTGTCTCCCCTCTTGTTTTTACTTCTCAAAGTTAATATTTTCTAACTGTTATTCAGCCAGGTTAAACTTGCAATTAATTTCCTCTTGTAGTTAAGAATTAGACATGTAAACTTATCATATTAGAGCCTGTTACAAATACAACCACTCATAAAGGATACAGAGCTCAGTGTTTTTTTTTTTTATTTTTTTAGGAGAATTGTTGATTCACACGTGTGTTGTTGTTTTAGATGCTTGATGTGATTATTTATTATAGCTTATGTTTAGGGATGTACTGTTTAGTTTCTCTTTAAACAAGCTTTTATTCCTTTGACCCTGTAACTACCACAGGATGGTAGCAGTGTGGAAAAAAGAGTTCAGTGTACCTTAATACAAGTGAAACTTAGCGTAGGCAGCTGCTATTGATGACACTTTAAATGCATTTATGTCCTTAATAATCTTTTTTTTTTGTCATTTCATCCCAGGCCTTTTTGGTGTTCTGTGGGATGGAGTTAATGCTTTTGGTAAGCATCATTTGATATTAACCTTCAACATCCACAGTTATTCCCTCGCTGTCTAAGTCATTGTCCTCTGCTCCACAGGAGGGGTCCGACTAGTGGATGGGGAGAACAAATGTTCTGGCAGGGTTGAGGTGCTCCGCCATGACCAGTGGGGGACTGTTTGTGACCATGCTTGGGACTTTCGAGAGGCTGACATTGTTTGTCTGGAACTAGGATGTGGCTTAGCTGAATCTGAATCAGCTTCATTTGGTCCAGGCAGGGGCCAGATATGGCTACGGCATGTCCAATGCTCAGGACACGAGTCCAGTTTGACCCGCTGCGCAGTTTTCCTCCACAGTAACTCCCAATGCACCCATGACAATGACGCAGGGGTGAAATGCTCAGGTGAAATTAAGCTCTCTTTTGACATTTCCTCGAACAAAAAGAAGTACCAGATTGCTGACAGTGCAGTTCTGATGTGATTAAGATGGCATTCTTGTCGTTTCCATTTTTCAGGTCACTCAAGTATCTAATCTTTGATTTGGTAAACATAAATACTAAATCCTGTGTAGAGACAATGGTTATCCAAAATATGATGATCTAGACAAATACCTTGTGTCATTATTTTTCGCACTTAAGTATCAAAATGTGTTGCCCTGCTAGTTGTCATGTCAAGGTCAAATTGGACTTTTGTCTATTAATCCACCCTACTTATTGATTCATTCAGTTTACCACAAGGCATATAGCATTATAAGAAAGCAGTTAACCTAAAACACAGAATCATATCTCTTACATTTTAAAAATGGACAGGTAAATTCATTGTTTTAAGTAAAAGTGATACTTCAGTTACTGTACAACACAAACCGCATATACACAGACTAAGTTATAAGCTCGTCCATGGTGTCATTCAAATGGATTTTATATTTGTATTTAACTTTTGTGATATGCCTATTTGTTTTTTTTCACAGGTACCCTTTTAATGCCCACCCTCACCCTGCTGTCACCTCACACTGTGTTCTCCCCGGGGGAGGCTGTGAGCTTCGGCTGCAGCGTTCTGCTGGGTCACCACCGCAGTGACTTTCACCTGTACAAGCACGGAGTGTCCACTCCACTGGTCACACAGAGAGCAGACCAGACCCAGGCCACAGTGGAGCTCACGCTTTCTGACATAGAGACTTTTCACCAGGGCAGCTACAGTTGTCGGTACAGGATCAAAGGCGGCTTCCCTTCTCAGCTTCTCAGCTCTCCGCCCAGCAACTCCATCAATATCACAGTGGGTGAGTCATACCTGCATTGTATAATCCAATGTTAATGCACCCAAGGCCCATTCCCATTCGGTGTCTGGTTGTGCAATCTTTAATAGACAAGTTATTCTTAGCCTGTCTCAATCCTCAACAGTCCATAAACTTTAATACGGTTTTATTTCTTTTAAGATTAGGTAGGCAATTTATTTTGTATGAGAAGTCTGAACCTTTCTTTTATGTCTACCTGGACACACTCTACCTGCGCAATTATTGCACATGACAAGAGGCTTTTAAAGTCTAAAGCTGGCAAGGTAGTTGCACAAGAGTGGCGGAGAAATGTAGAAATAGGCTGCGTCTCTTATTTTTCGTTTGCTGGCTCCTCTATCCTCGCTCGAACCGGAACTTGTTCCGTGCCACCATGTTGAAGGACGTCTCAAGTCTCTTATTTCAACACAGAGGATCGAGGATCTAGGAAACATGGGACCAGCCTTTTCTGAAGACTTTTTACTGACAGCCCCGCCACCGTCCCAAATATCACTCATTGATTGGACGCGGATCATAAACGACTTCATCATTATTATTATTAGTATTATTATTAGTATTATTATAACAGCTAATATTTCTTTTGATGATCACTCAGACTGTTTGTTGACAGTCTGATGCAGAGGGAGTCTGACAGAAACATGTTTTACATTCATCGTGATCTTTAATGATCGGTTTGAAAATGGTATGAATCCTGTTTTGCTGAAATTTTGATCCTTATAGAAATTGCCAATAATCCTGAGACATCCTTAGTGTTTATAAAATACAGAGTTCACGATCAGATTATCAGTCAAAAAAAAAAAAAAGATAAATCATTTGATATTAAAGCTTTTATCCGGTAGAAATGGTCTGTATGTTTTTTGTATTAGCAGACTGTTTGTTATCATGTAAAGCACACAGACTATACACTGTTACTGTGTGTATTTTATTAGAAATAATACAGAGGGTATTTGTGCGGACACAAATAGCTGTTAAAGCCGACTGACAGCTGAGCGGGGATCAGCTGATGTCATCTTCACATACGTACGTAGCTTCACGTGACGCCACGGAGGAAATGACGTCTGATGTCTCTTAAAACATATTTCCTCGTTCCTCTCTCCTCCGATTGGTTTCCTCTCTCCAAGCATCTCTGGTGGAAGGGATTAAGATGCAAGTGAGGGAAGCAAGTGAAGGAAACATGGATGCAATTTAAGAGACATGCAAAATGCAGACAATGATGCGCTCTCTCATAGACTTGTCCTGCAGAGTAATAGAGACAAAGAGCAGGTTCTGTGGAATTAGCTGTGGCCTTTCTTGGTTCTCTTGCTTTTTCTTAGCAAGAGGCAGCGAAGAAAAAGACATGAGAAAGATATTTGAATAACAAATGTCCACAGTGTCAGCGGGAGAGAACAGATACAGGAAGAATTATGTGACATACAGCGCATGTTCCATGATATGTTGCTGGATGGACCAGACGGCGTGATTCAGATCCCCCCCCCCCGGTGTAAAAGTAAGCCACGCTTTGAAAAAGGTCCCATACAAAGTGTGATGGACTTATTCTTTTATTTAGAAGAAGATAAATACCTTGTTTATCCCAAGAGGAAAAAATCATTTTTACACTCTGGTGTTGAGACATCCTACACACGCATAGTCTGGGGGGGTTCTGTGCCTTGCTCAAGGTCACCTCGGCAGTGCTCAGGAAGTGAACCTCTCCAGCTACCAGACCTAATTCCAGGCTTGTTCCACTCTGGGACTTGAACCGGTGACCCTCCGGTTCCCTACCTAAGTCCCTACAGACTTAGCTTCTGCTGCCAAACAGCATTTAGACTGGGATTCTCAGATGACGTGCAGTAAGGACCAGCTCTCTTACTTTGCACTGAAGAGGTCCGGTTTAAACTAAACCGACTAATGTCGAGACAATCTATCTTGTACAATAAATACCAATCTCCGTATAAGAGAAGCAGTATTGTCTGACAATTTACAGAGTGCTCTAACTGTATACTCCTGGAATAAACCCAAAATCTTTCAGTCAAGCACAGGCAAACAGACAGACAGAGACGTGCTGCCATGTTGGAGGGGGTTATTAACAAAAAAATGAAGAATAACTGATCATTTAAAAAGACTAAAGTCTGAATGACCCTTTATAACCGTATTAATATTTTTATTGATCTGATTTCAGTGGAACTCCTGACTCCTCAGCACTGGTACAACACATCTGCTGAGGCCCCCGTCGGTTCTGTCCTTAAAGGCCACAGCTTTAACATCACCTGCTCCACCCTGCAGCAGTACCCTGGAGGCTCCTTCCAGCTTCGTCTGATACGCTCCAATGGCACAGTGCGCCAGTCCCTGCCTGCCCTCACCCCGTCCGTCACTTTCACCTTTTCCAACGCACAGAGCTCCAACGAGGGCTACTACTACTGCCTGTACCGGGTCCAGCTGGGTGGACGCACTTTTGTTTCCAGAGAAAGCCAGCCCCTGCCTATAGCCATCAGAGGTGAGATAGCTTCTAAACACAGGCCATATACACACAACGTTCAGTAGATGTAGGCTTGTATGAGTAAGTTACTGATAACTCCTCTTTCCCTCAGACCCAGATCCAGTACTGAGTCCGATGGTGATCAGCTGGCTGGTGTCTGGTGTAACGTTTGTTGTAGCCGTCATTGTCATCATCATCGTGGCCAAGGTGCTGTGTAACAAAGAGAAGAAGCCCTCTGAGCTGGAGCGAGAGACCAGAACCTGTAAGTTTATTTTTCATCTTTGACAGAAGTAGGATCTTAAGCAAATGTCTTGTATGTGTTCTAAAATGTAGAGATGTACTTCTGTTTCCAGGTGTGGACAACACTTACGTTGCCTTAACAATTAACAAGCTATGACCGGGAAACGGACAACTAGAGGTAAAGAAAGTTGTAATTCATGCATAATAAACTATTGTTATGAAATAGTAGATACTGTCATACCATCTAGATACGGGTTAATTTACGATGCACTGAAACGCATACACCAAACCCATGTGATCACCATTCATTTGACTTTGAAAACCAAAAGGCACCAGTTATGATTCAAAGCTGTTACATACTTTAACTTCACTATTACGTCACTTTGTAGAGATCAGATTTTGTTTGATATTTAAGGGCATTTTTTCCACTCTTGTGAAGTCTTTTGTTTCTCTCATTCACAGATAGAAGGCTCACTGTGAGTCCATCGTTGATTTAGTCAGCAGTGGATGTAGCCCTGAACAGAACGGCTTGGCTGGTCGTCCTCTGGAAGAAATACCACCTCTGGTCCTGGTTCAGCACAGTTAAGATGGGGCACAGTTTTTTGCCGGACTCTAACAAAGACCTATCTAAGACTGTGCTGTAATACTTTAGTGTTACTGCTGGGAAACTATGGGAATACTTGGCTTTTCAGAATTATAATTTGGTAAGATGTCAGTCAACGGCTGCAAAAGAGAAGGCCACGAACAGCCATGCTTGCTATGTATTTAATATTGTTATCTCTACAAGTTTATTTTTGTTATCTCCATAATCTTCTTAAAAGTAACTTATCACCCAGGTCACAGGATACTTTTTAAGAACTTGGGAGACAAATGTGGGTAATATGATCCCTAGGATTTTCCACTTCAATATCACTGTCATAACCATCGAGGATGACTCATGGCTACATTTTCGTTAGGTGGGGAGGCCGATCTGAATGTTTCTTTTGTAAAAATAGATAAAACTGTAATTTTTGCCTTTTACCTCGATTGAATACATTTTGGTGCGTTGATCAATTATTGGTCGTCTTTAATCGACATTTTACGTTTGAATCAGTTACAACAGTTCTCTCCAAATCATGTGTGCACTCTTGCAAGATGGAAATCCTCATAGACATTACTGGCAATAAGAGGAAACAAACTCCTGTTTTCTTGTGAAAATGTGTCAAACTTGTGTTCTCGAGATAACTGTAACAAAAAAGCAAGCACGGTTGTTTTTGGCAGACAAACTGTAAAAACTACTCCAGTGTTGTTTCAAGCTTGACTTCAGGTTCGCCCTGACCCAAGGATGGGTTGAGTGGAACACTACATAAAGCTAGTGGAAACTGATATGGGTTCCTCAGGTCTCAGTGTGTATATGCAGTTAAAAACATTCTTTTTCTACTTATTATCAGATGACACTAAAGGTTAAGCTCTACTAGCGTATTCTGTATTATCGTCTTTAAATCAATGATCCTTAAAGGAGTAGATGTTTTGTATTTCAAGTCTAACCCTGCGATGCATCTTACGTCATTTACAACATGTACTTATTGCACTTATAGAAGTGTAAATAGACGATGTAGTTGATTGTAATTATGGCATGCTGGGTTTCATCAAGTGTGTTTAACAATCTACAAGTAGTGTTACCGATTGTACTGTGGGCTTTTTGTAGCGTCAGATCACCCTGAGGAAAAAAAAGATCCAACATCATGCATCATTGTTTTACAGTTTTAAACCTTCCATTATGACTACAATTAAGGTTTTATTTCTTCCCTTAATAAATAACTTGAAGCTTCAAACGTTGATATATATACAAGCTCTTTAACATGTTGAAGTAGCAAACAGATCACAACATCAGAGTCCACAGGATGCCTCAGCAGTATTTCTGTTCAACTGACAGTAGGAAGCATTGTTGTCGCTCAACTTAGTATGAACTTCAAGAGTTTAGTGGAAAATTATGTTAACAATATACACAGAATAATATACCCTTATTAGCAAGTACAATAAACCAGAAAAAAAAGGTCTGGGATGCTGTTGGAACATCTTTGATAGTGAACTGCAGATTGTATCATACACATTGTAACACAACTTAAGAGTTTGTTTTCAGATGGGATCACTTCAGTTCAATGTTTATTAGAGCAATCAAAAGTAGCTTAAAGGAAAATGCGAAATTCTCTCCTCAAATTAAAACTATAAAGAAAAATGTACAAAATCATTTTAGTGTAAAATTACAGTATATTGCTTTCCCACAATAGTATTACATGGGTTAATAACACAAGAGTGCTCCTCATATGCACCTAGAGTCACTGTTAGCTGCTGTGGCTTAACAGCAGATATTATTGGTTGAAGTTCTCTGCAATACAAAGGAGAAGACTAATATTCGCTTTGCAGTTTGTGACGCTCAATGTGCCAACAAAACCTTATGGCTTTCTAAATGTTGGACCGCTGATTAAACCATACACTGAAACTGTTGGTGGCAAGATCTGTCACAGTTATTGTGGATCATAGTTGGAGGGAGTTGGGTGTCTTAAATTGAATTTCTTGGCATATTCAGCGCTGCAAGCCAAAAAAAAAAAAAAAGACTGCTGTGCAGGGAAGAGCTTCAAAGCGTTGAACAGAATACCCTGAAACAATCTGGATCGATATAAAAAGCAGCTCTCCAGGAGAGGGGCAGAAGCAGTTTGTGCTCTCTTTTCAGGGATATGTCTTGTGAAGGTTAGTGTAGCTGCACTGAAGATGTGTGAGAGGCAAACATGTTTTTTTACCTTAAAGCCAAAGCAAGCTAATTTACTGCAATTAAAATGAATACAAATATCTGAAATACCATAAAACCACCAATCTGTAAAATAAGGGTAGTCATCAAAATACATTCCTCATATTAAAATGCATAATAAAGTGAAACAGCTCAACTAAGTGAGCACAGTAAAACAAAAGTTATTTGATTCCTTTGAGGGGTTCATTCATCTCCATACTGGAAAATACGATGTAGAGGAAGACAGCTACAGCCAGGAAGAACACAAACTGAACCCAGAGTGGTATGAGGCGAGACGACTTGGGTGTCTGCGGGGCTTCAGGAACCACTTTCTGGGGTGTCGCTTTCAAATAGGAAGATCTGTAGGTGGACGGCGTGTCGTACATGTAGGGTCTAAAAGGGAAACGCGGACAATTATGCTACACAAACAAATCACATTTATAATCACATCAGAGATACTCAGTGGGATAAATGAACGGTGATGACACTTTGTTGTATCAACACACTTACTCATTGGCGTCACTTCTTCCTCTGTATTCAGGCTGTGACCTCGGGTAGCTGGAGTAGGATGTTCTGTAGAGAGGAGATGCACAACAGGACATTTATCTGTGACTGTATACTCCTCACCAAATGACACAACAGCTACATCAAAAAGTTGTGTGGCTAAAACTTACTCATGTTCCCCTGCAGTCCACTCTGGTCTTGACCTTAAGTAAGACCTACTGAATAGACAAACATATATTTTTTAATTAAAACAGATTTGGGTTTGGTGATTAGATTCATGTAAAAATGACAAGACGAGGACAGAAGAAAACTGGTGAGTGTTGCTTGGAGGTAAGAAAATGAGGATTGTTAGAGAACAGACCTGTCTCCTGAACCGTCGCTCTTCACCTGCAAAGTGCAGAAAGTTGTAAAATGATATCAGTGTGTATGTACACATGCACAGTACACATATACACACAACAACCTCACAGTATTTCATTTCATTTACTGGAACCCACGCCTCATTGACCTTTCCGATCAGATTAGGGAAAATGGATATCATATTACCATAGAAATGATTCTGAATATCTGTGATCAAATCAATGTTTTGCGTGTGGATATTTCTATTTATTTGCTAAATCTGATCAAGAAGAAGGCTACAGTTGTTTTTCTCTTATCTCGCAGTGGTCACACTCAGAATTCATCAAAAGCGATGTGATGTAAAGGAAACAAAAAAACCTTTAAAGCGATACTTACCGGTGTCCTGTAAACATAGGTGACCTCCTCCTCTGAAATGAAAACACAAACATTAGGCTGGAGGTCAACACATTCAGGATGTCTCGATTAATTTTTTTTAATATTGCCCCACAGCACTTAATAACCATTTATGTGTTTCAATATGTTGTTTATGTTTATCATTAACTAGTAATGTATGTTAAATGTTGCTGTGCAGAGGAACTAACAGACAACCTGACAGCTGTAACTTTCAGTGTTACAAAGGGCAATTTGAATTTCTCTGTCCTTACATTAAACACTAGTATACCATACGATCTGTGATATGTATAAAAAAAAAAACTAACCAATCACTTCAACAGGTGTGCATGAACATAAAACAATTGTTCAACATCTCATATCACAATAGTTAGTAAACAAACCCCCTGAAACAGAGTCTTAGAAGATCTAGGCATTTGATGCTTTGATCACTTAACACTGGAGCATTTTCCACATTCAACCTCTGAGAGATGTGAAATGATGTTTAATCAGTTCTGGCATACTTGTACATTTATTTCAACCTGTTGATTATGTGTATATTGTATCAGAATGTAGATGTTACCTTCTTCTCTGTAGTAGGTTTGGTCAGATGATGGTTTCACTCTTTTCCCTTTGGCCATTACCTCTTTCAGTTTCCTTTCATATAGACTTCTGGTGGAGTCTGAGGAGGGGGGGGGGAACAAGTGGCATAACAAACACGTATACAATGAACACATACCAAATCAATAAGTCAGGGGTAACTTCTCTGAACACACAGAGGTCTGTGAAGTTAACTTGCGTGGACGTTTATTCAAAACACATGAAGTCTGAGCCACTCACCGACGACAGGCCCGTGCTTTATCCCGTATCCATCAAGTAGGTCGGTTAGTTCCTGCGCAGATTTACTGCTTAGTGAAGACATTTTCTTTGAACTTGACTTATTTGCTGAGGTTGCTGTGTAACGTTAGGTTTTTATGTCTCGTTTTAGCCCAGCTGCGGATTTGGTTGCCAAAAAAGACAACAATCATAGCTCCTCCCAAGATTAACATCGGCGCGCTCGTTTTTTTGCGCAGGGGCGGTTGAGACAATTCCGTGTGGAGTCTAACGCCTTGCTTAGAAGCGAGCTTTGTCTCCGCCCTCGTTTGTTTGTCAAGGTGGATAAAACTCTTTGCACTCGCAGGACATCATTTCCGTTTCCGTAAGACAGATTCTTCTTCTACGGTGATATGTATTCTCTTGTCTTTAGAGCGAGAAAAAAATAACAGCGCCAACAATACGTTTTTAATATTGACTCATAGAAACGCTAATCCACAATTATTTTCACGGGATGAAAGTATTCATGTCATAATTTAAATATATTTAATCACGAGGCAATGCTCTTTTAACAAAACAAATACAAAGTAGTTGCACGTTTGCCAAAAATATTAAAAGAAAATACCTCATAATGCTCATAATGCACAATGACCCCCCCCCCCCTTGGTGGTGTTATAATCATAATTTCGCGAAAAGTGCATTGGCATGAGGCAGAGTTTTAAAATGATGCTTATTTGTAGTACAACTGTATATAACATCAAAATACTTTTGTGTGGTTAAGTGGCCCGTCCACGGTTATATTCATAAACAGTGACCTGTAAGAAGACTACTCTTGCATATTTAGTCAGTGCATACAAGCCAATTAGAGACAGCACAGATTGCAGCATAGCCTACTTCTAAATATTGTCAATCAATCAATGGAATAAGTGAATAAGAGGAGATTTACAAGTAGGTATAGCCTATGGAGAAAAGTGGTTATAGGCCTACTCCCTGTACCTGCATTTACCCTGCATTACACTGCACATTATGTGACAATTCTTCATAACTTTAAATTACATTTTGTTTCCATACTCTCTATCTGCAGTGAATAATAACTGTAATGTAATAACTGTAGATATGTACAGTATATTAAAAAAAAAAAGGAAGCGAGGTACAAGTATGTCAAAGTATGTTCCTTTGATAAGTATTTAACCTACTAAGTTTCCGTCCTTTTCAAAACAGTAAATTCATCAGATTTAGGACTCAGCCCTTATTTAATGTGGTTCATACAAATAAGTCAGCGTCATTGTGGACACAGTTAAATCTTTATTTAGCACAAACGTTATAGATCAGAAAACATGACAGCATACTTTATTGCTTTAAAAAACAATCTGGGAAAAAAATATTGTCTTCGTGAATTTATATATGAGCTTGACATTATGAATGAAATGAAACAAATTATAATGATTGAATATGTATTTATAAAATGTATATGTATTTGCCCCTAAAAGAAAGACAATGGGCTGAACATTGCTTCTTGGTCTGTGACCAACCACAACATGACCAGTCCTGTCAGTATCACCACAGCCATCTTCAGAGTCATCTTCAGCATGTTTAGACGCTGCAGGAACAGAGAAGACAACAGGAAGGCATGGGTAAATAAACAATAAAGAAACACATGAGCGAAGTGAATGGTTATTAAACAGCAAATGAGTGGTCACTTTGTGTTTCCTTGAAGATTTTGGTGTGTTTCTGAGATCTGGCACATTCTCTGTTATCTCAGTGTTTGGGAGATCACAACCAGGTATCATTTCCATGTTGTCATTCTCAGGCTCCCGTGATTCCTGTGCAATGGCAAAGCAGTTAAGAAATATTGCATTTTTATTGTGTTCCATGTGTGTGTGCTTTTTTTGTGTCTGAATGCAAACCTCAGATGTTTCTCCAGAGCTCCGGTCCTCCTCCCCTTCTGTGGAGCTGCTGAGTGACTCTCTCTCACTGTAAGGAAAGGAGAAAGTGGAAGGTAGTTTGGATATTTTTGCAAAGCTCATGTTGTTGTTTAAAAAATCTTTTTGAGGAGAGTGCTGCTTACCTGTCGGTTTCAAAGTGAATGACTTGAGAGAGTGGATTTGTACAAAACTGGACTTTGCTCTGCCTCCCTGTAAAAAAGCACACATGGAAACTGATGAATTGTGAAATGCATCCAACACTTAAATACTAAAGATTTGGGGCATGGTTTAGCTACAATCCTTGACGCACTGGTCTCAGTTTGACTCCCAAGCTTGATGCTGTTTGGTGAACATCATCCCTCCTACATTTCATGTCACTCTACTATCTGAATAAAAAGCAAAAGCCCCAACAAATATTAAAAGAAAAACTAAAGATTTCTCTTCACTCACCTTCTCTTCCTTCCTCTCTGTCACTGTCGTCATAAAACTTGAAGAAAGCCTTGATTCTCTCCTGCTCTTGATCCCAGTTCCTGTCTTCTTCATATTCATCATCTACTTGCTGTCCCGGCTCGATAACCTCGTAGGGTTTAATCAGATCAGTGGTGAAGAAAAAGCCATCGTCCAGGGATCCCTGACTAGAAGAGCTTGTGTTTTTTGCCTCCTCTCTCTGTACTGCTAAATAGTTGTTGACGTCTTGAGGACCAGTCAAATCAGAGAGCAATGTTTCCGCTATGTCTGCGTCCTCTGTGGTTAACAGGTCTTCAGATTGAAGGGTGCGAGGTCTTAGCTCATCTAGATTCCAGTTCATGTCGAGATCTGCTCTGTGGTAGTCATTTGATGTGTCCCACCTGGCAAACGCTGTTCGGTCTCCACTGGGAATCTGAGTCTCCTCATGTTCCTTGTTGTTTTCTCGTAGACCTGCATTTACTGTATATATGTCATGTTCCTCATACGTCCACTTTTCTTTATACTCATCAAGACTGGAGCTGCTGGAATCACTCTCATCTGTCTCACCTTCATCAATGCCCAACATGTTCTTGGGGATTTCTAATTCTCCTCTCTCTTTTTCTCCACTTGCAACATACATGAACTTCCCATCATCTTCCTCTAAATTTCTGCTGTACAGATGCTCCTCTCCCTCCTCGTAAGTGTCCTCGCCTCTTCCCATGCAGGTGCTATCTGTCCGAGCTCTTTCCAGGAAGGCGTCTTGGTTTGCAACTGAACTGCTTCCGTCTAGTTGGTGATAACTTCCTTGGTTTTCCTCAACGTATTCACATGAAGACAAGTCTGAGGGATAATCTGCAAAGGTCTCACCTGCCTCTTGGTGCTCCTCCCCTGAGAAATCCTCCACTTTCTCCCAACACTCCTTACTCTCAACTTCAGCAAGGAGAGCCTGCTGATTCTGCACGGTTATTTCTGGAAACTCAAGACAGGCTTCCTCGTTGTCATGGTCATCTCTTGCAGGATTTTCAGCATCCCGTTTGTAGAACTGGACTTGTTCTTCTTCTTGTTCGAATTTCATGCCCTCACACTTGGAGTCACACGTGTCTACTTGCTTTGCATTCTCAATCTCTCTCTCATCATCTTCACTCTCATCACCTTTTATCCCTATCTCACCGCCACGTTCAGGGACTCTCTCGAAATAGGACACCTCCTCGTCACCTTGCTCTTCGTTTCTATCTTGAGTGTTTTCGGCACCCTGAGGGGCCAGAGGTTGTCCCTCAGCAAAGATCCTGTCCTCTTTATTACCACTGCTGCAAACTAACATCATCAAATCCCCTGGCTCTCCTATATCTTCTTCCTCATTCTCTTCATCCTCTTCAGAGACGGATCCTGCCCGTTCAGAATCTCCCTCTGAGCTTGTGCAATCCTCCGCAAGTGTTTTTTCCAAACTCATGACCCCCTCGACTTGAAAATCCTCCTCATCAGACTGGTCTTTGTCATCATTTTCTGTCATGTTTACATCTGCACTTTCCATACTCAACAAAAATGTAGTTTGAGAAGTCGCTTCCTGGTGCAGAGTGTTGTCTTCCTTTGTTTGCAAGTTTTCAGCAGAGATGTCTGAGTTGTCCTCCTCGGTGAAATTCAAATTCTCAAAATCCAAATCTCCATCAGAGAATGATGGAGCAGATGTTTCTGCAACAACATCATCTTTTGTCAATGTAAGAATTAATGTTAATCTTTTTAAAATAAGTAATAGATTCCACAAAACAAGCCAAATTTCTCACCTGAAAATGCCCCACTAAGTAGATCTGCAAAGCTTTGTTCCATCTTTGTAAAAAGTGAAAATATTTAATGTATATAGTCAAACATTAAAACATTGCCTCAAAAGATCTCTTCACTCAGAAATGAAGGGAGCACAATGTACTAATCATCTATTGTCGCTACAAGTGACTTCCTGTCAGACAGATCGTGCAAAATATGACACACTAAAACCAACAACCATGACTACAAAGTCAACATGTTTAAAGCCTACCGTAAAACTGAAGATAATCAAAAGTTGTAAGGTCCGCTAAAAAAGTGAAGTAACCAAAGTAATGTTTTGTGTTTTGTGTTTTGTGTCGCTGCGGGAACGTACCTTCATGAGCTCATGAAATGATGTCAGCTTTGATGTGGTTTTTGGTTTGAGATGCACACTGCAGCAGTCAAACATGCAGGTCCTTCACGCTGAAACAACTCGTGATTATGTGTGTCTCATACCACTGAGACAAGTGCAGTGACACATTGCAAACGATTGTGAGTAATTAAAAAGAGGACTTGTTATCAGTGAAGATTCTTTTAGTTACTTTGATTTATTTTAAAAGCTTAAATAAAGTAAAACTTCAGTTAAAATCCTTAATCCTGGTGTTCTGATGGTCGTCCTCAAAGGACTACAGCTCATTGCGGAGGAGGTAGCGATGGTTTGGCTTCAGGTCAACTTCAACAGGAAAATGGTCACTCACCTCCAGAGCCTAAAGTGCAATAAAAAGGATTAATGTTCAATTTATATGTAATCCAGTCAGAAAATGATTCTTTGAAATATTTACCTCCTCCTCGGTGAGATGGAAATTCTCTTTGAAGTTGAATGGTTGAGCTGAACCTGGCACTATACTGGAAATAATCTCACGTCCATGGACAATGATCCTGTTTGGAAAACAATACTATCTTGTAAGGTACGACCTGTCCAATGTTCTAAAAGCAAAAATGGAGTTCCCATCAGTTTTTACCTGTCATAAGCACAGTGTGTTTTCTCACGGACAGTGGTGTCCTGTTCATCGCCTATCAGCCAGCGAAATCTTGGGTCACTCCTCAGGCGCACAGCTCTCCAGCCCTTGATGGTGACGTAGCTGCAGTCAGCATTAAGGTCCCCTAAGATCATCACATTCTGCGGAAATTACAGGAAGGAAGAAGGGAAGTTTCACAGATTAAAATCACTCATAAAAAAACCAACATGAGGCTGAGCAGAGGAACTCTAAACCAAAAGAAAGAATAAGAATGACCAAAACGAGGCGCAGATGGCCTAGTGTTCAGATGGCCCCCATGTATGGAGGCTATAGTCCTGTAAGTGAGCGGCTCAGGTTAGAGTCCGGCCTGTGCCTCCTTTCCCACATTTCATTCCCATCCCCAATCTCTCTCTCTCTAGTTTCCTACTCTATCTACTCCCCTATTAAAAAAAATACATAAAACCCCCATAGTAAATAAAATAAAAAGACGAAAACAAGTAAAAAAAAAAAGAGAATCACATCAGTCTTCCACTTCTGGTGAACTCCTTTGAAGACAGTATAGAGCTGGTCCATCTCCTTCATGGCATTTCTGGGACAAGTGTGCTGCCCGATAAGGACAAAATCCTTCACCACTACAACAAAAAGAAAATCAGTTATTAGACATACTATAGTCAACTACGACTTTTACTCTGAATGTGTTTACGTACATCAAGTTTCACAATCTTTCTGGTTTTAAATTAGATTATATATAAATTATAAATTATACTTATATGTAGCTTAGATCGAACAAAAAGGAACTTGTCTGTGCATGTGCAGGTGTCTCTTGAATTCCTATAAATGTAGTACATTTGTTATCTGATGATAATGAGCTTGTTTTTAGTACTTAAACTTAAACTGTGCTGCATTAAGTTGTTTTCTCTTCCTCTGGTCATAAGATGGGAGCAACAAATGAGATAATCCTCTAATTACTTCACATGCACACATGACAGAGAGTTTTTAGAAGGATAGTGACTTGTATCCATCTGTTATAATCCATGTTTTCATGATCAAGAAGAGAGCTTTACCAGAGCTCTTTAAAGCAGATTTTTTTTCCTATTAACATGTACAAAAAAACATCAGAGATACTCTTGAGGTATCTATGTTTGTGCTGGTGCAGTTTGTTTTGCTATTGAATTGAAAAAGATGTTTGGTCTTACATGTGGTAGGAGAGTGAAATCGAACAATGAAAGGCTCTCTGGAGAAAACATCAGTATCATTGTGTCCTTCTCCTGCTGGTTTGGGATACTGATAATGCTCTTTGACCTCTAACATATTCTTCCTGGAGGAGATAAAGGAAAAAAAAGAGGTTACATTATGGAAATAATTCTTACATTAAAATGTGATTAGGGATTCCCTCCCTAGTCACATGCTGTTGTAGTGAAATTCAGAACAGCTGTGACAAAGATAATTCCAGTTTGCACTGCCTAGATATTTCTTTTTTATATAAAAGTTACATAAGCATCATTTAGTGATAATCAGCATACAATTATTATTTCATTTATCATGGGGACACCTATTTAAAATGTACATGCATCTGTATGTTTTCAAACTTTTGTGTTGACGGATGTTTTTGTGGTCTGTGTGATTTAGAGGAACCAGTTGTTTAACAGCAATGAGACATATTTGATCAGAGTTACCTGTAAATGAAGACATACTGCTCCTTGTAGGTCTTTCTGCCAAGCCTTTCACTCGCCACATAGGAGTAAGAATTGGACTTTTCATATCTGCAGAGACATACATAAGATACATTTTAAATGAGTTAAAGGGATTGACTTGTGGATGTTGTTGTGATGCATTAGATTTTTTTTTTTTACATCTCCTACCCGTTAAGATCATTCAACAAAGCTCGGATTGCTTCTCCTTTGGAGTCCCGGACTTCCTGAATAAGACACAAGTCACACCGAGAGAGAATCTTGGAAGCAGAAGAAGAAAAAAAAAAAAGTCAGATGTCCAGTTTGTGTTGATGATGCTCTTGTTTTAGTATAAACTCATACCATTACCTTTAATAGAATCCCCATAACCTTCTTGTTGTGTGCCTTCGATTCACCAAAGCTCTGAACATTGAAAGCGCAGATTTTCAGAGATGTGACCGTGTTCAACACACAAAACCCGACAGCAAACAGCAGAACTGCTATCCTCATCTTGCACAGGGTTCCCACTCTGTAAGAAAAAGGCCGTTTGGTAACATCCTCTTTGTGAAATATTTAGAAAAAAACTATGTCACCCATCTGCACCCACAGCCCCAACTTACCTTCAGGCTCACCGAGAGACTGACCTCAGTCCAGCAAAGATCCATCTCTTCAGTGACCCAGGTGTGTTTTAGGGAACATGCAGGTAAAAGTGGGTGAAAGACAGATGTGTGTGCTGGATGTGCTGCGTCAGTGCCTGATGAGAATGGAGCTTTATCTGGAACGTTAAAAAAACACTCAATACAACAAACAATGGTTCAGTCATGCTCAGAGAGTTCAGCTCTGGCTGTTTTAGTGAAATCAGACAATAGACGCTGCCATGTGTCATGTCCGTCACTTTCATGAACATTTGTGTAGAATTAACCAACAGTGTTACAACGACTGCAATAGGGATGGTTCTCTATCAGTGTATGATGCACCTGATGACTGTTGTGGAAATCTTTGTTATAAAGTTTATTTTTGCTCTGTATTATGTTTGTTGGCAACTGATATTCTTATGTTTACTTAAAACTGCATGATCAACAGTGTGGGCTGAAATAATGAACACAGTGAAGCTCACTAAAGCCAAAATAAAAAATATCCCCGAACATTTATTTAAGCCTCATACTAATTTTGCACTGCCCTGCCCCTACGTGATGTGTGTGTAACTACCTCCTTTTTCTAACCTCATACTTCCCCTTGTTAGGCTCCACTCTGTGCTGCCGCTGCTTCTGCACCAAGGATTACATATAAATCAGTCCTGCTTGTTTATTTCAGTAATGTGCTGTATCTTAAACATTGACATTAACTAATAAAGTACATTTATTTTAGTGCTGTGTTAACTTATTCATTAACATATCCTTTTGCTTCTCTGCCTTTGTTGAGGTTGCACAGTGGTGCTGTTGATAACTCTGCTGCCTCACAACATCTGTGTGGAGTTTAAATATTCTCCCAGTGCATGCGTGGGGTGTGTCCTCGTACTCCTGTTTCCCACCACAGTCCAAAGACATGCTCCATCGGTTAACTGGTGACTCTAAAATGCCTGATAAGGTGAAGGTGAGAGTGAATGGTTATCTTCTGTTTGTCAGCTCTGCAGCATGACAGCTGGGATTTCCTCCAGCCCCGTGTGACCTGGAACGGGATAAGGGATATAGATAGTGCATGGATGTATGCTTCTTTTACTTCTTTTACATCTACTATGATGCTTATACTGTACGTTTTACAGAACGATATTTATTTAGTTACTTTAAAAACTAAAATTTTTACAAATATTGCTTTTTCCATCAAACAGCATCATAAAAATGTCAGATTTTGAAGAATCTTACCCTATCAAGGGTTTGGGGCACAATACTTACTTTTGTTATTTCAATAACATATTTTAGTGTGCTGAAAATCTTATATCTAAGTTATTGACTTGGATATAAGTATTGCTACTTTATGTAAAAGACCTTACTACTTCATCCAACATTTGTAAATGTAAAAATGCAAGTTTCTTGTTCACATCATTTAGTTATTTTTTATATTTAATGGAGAGGCTGGGTCAGACAATTTTACAAGCTTTTTTTTAATGTCTTGAAGTATGGATGATTTCAGGTGTAAACAGGATTCATTAGTCGCCAAGTTAGATCAGATCTGAACCGAAGTAGAATAGATATTTTTGAATGAATTCTAAAGTAATAGTTTTCTACTTGTAAATATTAGACAATAGATGATGTGGCAATAGTCCCATTCTGGGTTTCCTTGTGGACATGCAATTGAGGCATAAGAGAAATGCCCTGAGCAACAAATGTGAGAATCATGCATTAGACTTCACCAGCACCAAGAACTCAAGACTCTTATTACCCAGAAAATTAAAAACACAACAACAAAATCAGTTTTTTGTAGTAAAAATATTTATTTGTTAAAATATTAACTTCTCTTTGGTGCTAAAGTTCCATCACCACAACACTTTAGAGGCTTACTGTGTTTTTTGTGCTTCTTTTCTTTTTTCAAGCTGGTACTTGTGTTTTACAGTACAACTGATACCTTTTGTCTATACGCCCTCCTAAATATTTTGTTGATGTTATTGACTCAGTTTGTTATAGACCAATAATACGACAGCCAGTTTGTGTGCTTTATGATGTTCTCATTGTTAAACACACTAGAAACCTTGAAAGTCTTCACTTGCATTTGAACCTTGTGCAAACATTTTAAACATGTTAAAGTCACACACACATTAAGTTACAAGTCAAAAACAAAACAATCAAGAAGCTAGATTTTACATGAGTGTTTCTTTAAAAAAATAAAAAGGAACAAAACTAATAGTTAAGATTGATCATACTGGTCTGAAACAGCTCGGGTGTTGAGGTGAGGACATTTCTATGAGATAGTCTTCAATGCGTGTCTCTATGTCCGCGTACAGGTTTTCAACTTGCTCCCTGAAAGAAGGATACCACAGCCACAACATGGCAACCTGAGTCACAGCAAGTAATAGGAGGAGGAAAACCCACACCTTCCACCAGGAGCCACACAGCCTCTAAACAAAGAGGGAAGAAATGTTTCATTTCAGAACAGGGGTAATACTGATACTGTGTTTCAAATGACCCAAATGAGATGTCCATACAGAAAGTGTTAAACATTTCATCAATTTGGGTGACTATGTGATGGCCAAACTAGCATACACACACACACACACACACACACACACACACACACACACACACACACACAGCTCACCGGGCTCTTGTGGCGGTGGCTGAGTTGTCGAAGCTCGTCTCTGCACTGCGACAGCCGGGCCTGGCTGGACTGACACTCCTGCTCCATGGCACACAGCTCTGTCTGCAGCTCCTCGCACTGCACAGACACACACACACACACACACACACACACACACACACACACACACGGAAGGTGGGACAGATCATATTAAGCTGAAACCTGTTGATAAGTTCATTTAAAAGCAAGTGATTTTTAGAAATGAATAATTCCAGGTGTGTCTAAATAAAGGGGTGTGTAGCCCTACCCTAAAAATATCTTGATTAATTTTTTAATTACATGTAATAATTGGATGAAGCACAACTATTTTGGTGAGAAAGGGGATAATTACATTGTTTAAAAGCCTGAAATACTTTTATATATTTATATGTAATATGATTTTCTTTACACAATTGAAACACATTTCATTGGACAAATGAAGATTTCTCATTATTCACCATTCTGCATAACACTTTTGTAAACCAGAGAGATATCATCTTTTACTCCTTTAGTGCAGATGAATCTCTTTTTAAGTGAAATATTTGTATGTTACTCTTTTTTCAGTTTAGAATGAAACATATCCTTCAAATGATCATATGTTGTGTATAGTATACTGTGAACAATCCCATCTTTACCTCTTTCTCTCTGAGACGCAGTTTCTCCTGAGTGTGACGGAGCTGCTCCTCCACCTGAGAGTCACTCCTTACTGTCACTTCGGGCTCTGCTTCTTGTGACGTCAGTCGACCCCGAATCATGAAGTCCTGGGCCTCATCGCTGGCATCTAGGAAATAGAAAGCTGTCTGTAACAAATGTTGGGTCCATCAATATTTTGAATTCTGCAAAGGGAAGTCAGTGTTTGGATCAAGCACAACTTCCAGATGAAGGCAACAATGGTTTTACATTAAACCTTTACAGATTCAGGAAGAAGAAAAAACATCCATCAGCCTTGCCTCTAATGTGCTGGATTTCCTCTCTTAACATCTGGTTGTCATCCTCCAGTAGAGAGATGTTGTACTGCTGCTCCTTCATCTCTTGTCTTAATGAAACCACTTCCTCCATCAGCTCAGCCTCTCTGGCTCTGAACAGCTGCACAGTACACACAAGTTTTTTAACAATCCTTAACTGTGAAATCAAACTATTAATGTGGTCAGTATACAACATATTATACTGTACCTCCAGTTGGCTGTGCAGCTGTTGCAGCTGGTCATTGCTGAGATGTTGGTTCTCCCTAAGCTGTCCAGAGCTCAGCTTCAGATCTTCATAAAGGCTTTGCCATCTCATTGCCTCTGCCTTTGCTATACTGAGTTCTTCCTGGTGGCAAAAAGCAAAATAATTGATCATCATTTGGCTGCAATATTAACACTGTATGTTAATATGTAAGCAGTCAAACTTGCTGACATTGATGTGTTTCTTCTTATTTGAACAGAAATAAGAATGTAAAACTTCCTGCAGACCTGCAGTGTCTCAGTCTTAATGAGAGCATCCGTTTTCTCCAGTGTGGCCTTCTGCAAGGCCTCCAGTGCCTTCTCCTCATACACCCGTTTCTGCTTCTCCATCTGTATCACCACTTTCTTCACTCCATCATTTGGAAACTTCTATAAAAAAAAGGGCAAAACTCTGCTGAGTTGCACCTACAAAGGCTCACAGGGATGGATGCAAAAACTTGGATTGTTGCAAAGAAATATTACAATCAAAAAGACCTCATTTCATTTTTAAACAGAGGTTGCTTTTTTACCAACAGCTGCCGTTCTTACCTGCAAGCAGACTTGCAGCTGTGCCTCCAGAGCCTCGATCTTATTTCTCAGCAGATCTTCACTGCAGCGAGCCTGTGTGGGTAGGAGAGGAAATGACTGACTGTCACACTTCGACCTGCAGACGGAAAATGTATCGTTCATGCTCCAAATGTTTGATGCTAATTCTTTCAGTTTCTGTGCTCAAAGGTGCACAGAGGGAACTCTCGACACCTGAGCTGCTAAAAAAAAAAACTAGAATACGTGAATGTGCTACAACACTACACTATTATGAGAGTGGAAAATGTACATAGGCGACAAGATGTGTAATGATAACAAACTTGTACAATTATCTAAACTAAATAAAAGTCTTGAGCTTAAGACCCAAATTTAAAAAGCAATAAAAACTAAAAGAGAGTTAATGAAGATGTCTAACATCATTATAAGTTACAGCATACCACACCCGTCCTCTATAAGAAAGACAGCTTGCACTCCTCCTGTGCAGTGAAGGCAGGAAGCTTCAAACCACAGACTGCACAGGCCTTCCTGACAGAGCAGCCGTTAAACACTGCTGTGAATGCAGCTGTGGCAGACATATTCAGTGGTAAATTTTTTTTAATTTTTTTTTTTTTAAAAACAACACAGGGACCCAAAGAACAGTGAACAGCAAAATAAAGCTAGCTGTGAAGAATTGGGGATTTATAAAGTATAAGGTCTGTATACATGTGGTGATACTTACCGTCCAAATTTCAGTGGAGGATTTCAGGAGGTTGGTCGTGCTCCCCTGGAGGGCTGCCAACTTCTTCTTCACGACCTCCTCTCTCCACAGGGCCTCCTGACAGTAAACACAGCACAAGACCAACCGTTACAACGGCATGCTAACACTGAAGGGAGCTTTATAGTTAGCGTCTAATCATGTAAAGATTTAAACATCATACTAAGAATAATGTATGCTCATTACTTGGCGCTAAAAGTCATTCAGTACAGAGAAACGCAGTACAGAAAAGTCATAAGCCCATAAAAGTCACTTACAGAGCTATAATCTAGTTTGAGTTTGCTAATGTGAGCTAACGTAAGCTCAAGGTCAAACACTGGTCAAACCATACCAGGTAAAGCTTTGTCGTGAAAATACCCAGAATATGTTCAAGTGAGGGATTTATTACCTATGAGTAAAACAATACTTTATTATATAGCACTTCATTTAAATGTTATCTTCTTAAATTAATCAGTTATCAATAAAATATTATTTCCCTATTGCTTATTAAATGTAGGCTATGTAAAGTGGAAGACAAGAGTATGGGGAACAACAAAGTAGCTTTTAGGCAACCAAAAAGGAGGCTGAAAGAATTAATTATTGTTAATTATTAATCAATTAATAATCAGTTCGACTGAACCTAAGTTTTGTAGACACTGATTTTTAGTAGAATAATATTTATGGTCTGTGAGTAAAACCCATAAAGTTGTTAAGCTATTTTGCATTTTACAGCTGCAGGAGCATGCTGGATACAGTAGTTGATTCAGTCTTTGAAGCATTTCCTTCCTGCCTTTCTACTCTTTAAGTAATAAAGGACTGTGAAATAAGCTTTTGCCATTTGCCATTTGCTCATGGAAACTATGTAGCATTACAAAAAATCAAAAGTCATCTGATAAAAGCTGCTTCAAGCAACTCAGTGTTTACTGTACCTTAACTTAAAAAAAAACAAAAAAACATTTTCACTTGAATAAATAATCACATAACCTCAAGACATATGTTTCTCCTAACCAATTGTTACTGCCTCCACTGTCATGATTTCCCCATATGTCTATTTTGTTTTAGACAGTTGGGTACTTATGAATACCAAAAAGTATTCATAGGTTTTTCAATTTATCTTTCAAATGCTATAGTGTTGTTTAAAAAAGAAAAGTCTGGTAAAAATGGACTTGGATAGGTATAGCTTACCTTCAATAGGTCAGCCAGCAATTGGATATCCTAAGACATGAGAGACAAAAACTCAGTTTACTTTATACTGCTACATATACATATATTTTTTTAATACATTGAGATGATATAAGCTCATTAATGAACAACAACTTGAAACTTACTGACTCTCTGACAGTGACAAGACCGGAGCTGCGCAAAAGAAAACATCTTATTTTAGAAATATGGAAACACTGATCACAGTTGTCTCTGGTATGAGAGACAGATGATATTAAATGTTGTGTTGTGATTTTAGCTAGAACTTCATCAAACTCACTCTGTCTGCACACTGTTTTCTAGTACTCTCTTTTTCTGGAGAATATTTTCACTCTGGATGGATGGATGGATTCCTTTTTGGGTGGATGTTTTGATGCTGGTCTTTTGAACTTTTGAAGAAAGAAGAAATAACAGCATTATAAATATGAAATAATATTTTTTTTTTGTCAGTTTCTCATCTTAATATGAAGGAACTGATAGGAACTCTACCATAGTTCTCTCTTTTATCCTTGCTTTTTTTCCTGTGCAGGTTGGATTCCTTGAGTACTGGTGTGGAGCTGGATGTTTGCTTCCCTTCATGGTCTTTCTCTTGCCTTGTCAAGGTTCCAGCTTCAGACCACAAAGATGCCTGAGAAAATAAAGAGGTTGAAGATTATGTTTGTTCCCTGTGGAGAGAGCAAATGTCGATCTTGTAAAATAATACTGTCCAAGGAGATATATTTACCCATTTGCTGGTGCTTGGACCATCAGTTATGCTGCTGTTTGGTGTTAAAATCATCAATGGACGCCCATTAGAGGTATTTTGTGTATTTGTATGCAATGTCTCTGACTTGCTGATTGAACTGGGATGTTTCATTGAAAAGGTCTTTGGTGAAACTTTTCTCTTTGAGGAATGGTTTTTGGACAACTCAGGACTCACTGATCTCCTCCTCAGAAATTCCAGATGCCTCTTTTCCTTCAGTTCAGTCTTTATGCGTTTTGTGTCGAGCTCTCTTGTAGGGCTACGACATGAAGTCACGTTGTTACGTCCTCGCAGATGTTCATGTTTCTCTGCTCTGTAATCCACTATTTGGTCAAAGCTTTTCATTGGGGAGATATCTATTCCACTAGTTGCCAGGGTGTACATCACAGTAGGAGGGCTTAGAAGGTGATCAGGTAAGAGAAAAGTTAATTGGTAGCCAAAACAAAGAAACGTATCTCTAGAGGGGTCAAGCAGAGAGGCAGGAGTCCATCATGAAGGGTAACCATCAAGTCCAGAAAGTAAAGGCATTTGGACAATCCTGCAGAGAATGAGTGGAAATGTGCTGGAACATACACAACAAGGCTAATGAAGGGGAACAAGTGAGCAGGTGAACAGGAAAGGTCAGTTAAGAAGGGATGACTGGAGCTTAAATAAATGAATAGTTTGTGTGTCAGGAGAAACACCAGAGCAGTCAAAAGAATGAATGATTGGGCCTTTGTTGTAATTCTGATGGGAAGATCCTCTGGCTGCTACAGTTCCTCCAGTCTGTAAAGACAAAGGATCAAGATATGAAAATTACTATCTATACTGATAGAATACATATTAGGGCAGTGCTAAAATCATGCCATTTACTGATGCATGTCACATGTTCGGAATAGCTGTAAAATATGATCTTATAGTTTTCAGGTACATACATGATAACTCAGATCTGAGATTGAAGTATAACAATGTATATGTATTATTAAAATTAATGTGAGGCACTGTAAGTATTTGAAAAATGACCTCATACTTGATTGGTATAAATGTACGATTTCTTAAATGCTGCATATTTGAATCTGAAGATACAGAACCTGCTTAATGAAAGGGAATTAATGAAAGTAATCAAGCAGTACACTTAAATGTATATAAAATACAAAGCCTTAAAAGTATCTCTTACATTCAAGATGCTTTGTGTTGCACAGAAATGCATTTCGCTCTTATCCATGCAGGTGTATTGTAGTGGGAAAAGCTACATCAGAATCTGTGCTAGTACAAACACAGCAGTGCTTTTAGAAGTTATTTTAGCAAATGCAGATGTTGTAGTTATTGTATTGGGTTTTTTACTGTTTTGTTTGTTTTTTACTGAGAAAGCTCGCCTGAGACTCAGTAGTAAGTTATCAAAGACAGACTAGGCCCTGACAAGTGTTTCTTTAGACTGTTGATTTAAAATTAAATGGGTTATGTAATTTAAAAAGTTGCTTGATATGCACAAAACAACAATAGATCTTACCTACAATGTCATCTCATTGAATGGGTAAAAGTCTGTATGAGCTGGTTCAAAGACGTTATCCATTTTCACGCTCTTCTGAAATAGTGTGCGGGAGGATTTGTCTGTGTTTCTCATGTAGCCGTTTCTGTTGAGCATAATTTTACAGGAAGTTCAGAGAACCACAGCGTCATATGTTCCTCTATCTCAGCAGCCACTCACACCAAACTGATGGCACAGACGGGTGGGCCTCAAGATTACACAGCCCCGCCAGTTCCCCCTGAATGCACTTTGGAGAGAGAGAGCTGCAGTGTTTATGGTTTTTCTAAAGATTATTTTTTAATAGCAATCCAATTTTCTTTAAAAATGGGCTAATAACTCAGATTTATCCAAGGCTTGACTTACTAATGAGCATCAACTGCTTCATTCTTTGCAGTTGTCAGAGTGTCAGCATGTGTGTGTAGTGTATGCGTTGTACAGGATAGTGGAAAGGGGCAGAAACATGGGAGTGAGAGAGTGGGGAACAACATGCAGGAAAGGATCCACAGGTTGAATTCAAACCCGGCAGCCGGGTCTCTGTACATGGCTTCTTTAAGAATAATGAACCTTAAATAATTGATTTTTGCATCATATTTCAAATCAAAGGCCTCAATTTTAATGTCTATTACCCTAAATATCAAACAGCAGCACAATAATAAACTGTATCTTTGCGTATAGCGCCGCCGAGTGGTTGTTTCGCACAACATTTAAAAGTCAAAGGGCTTTCTAAGATCTCGCGATGTTTCATGAGGATATCTCGTATATCCGCCATCCTTGTGGCTCTTTGCAGAAGGGCACAGAGGCTGAAACAAGGGTGCCAGAAGTAGCAAGAACTTGGCACTTCATACTTCAAACATGCTGTCCAGAGTCGTCTTAGTCTCAGGTATGCACCAATCTTGCTTTTAAGAATGTTAAGAAAGTAATTTAAATCTGTGGTTGCCACACTCTGCAGCGGGAGAAGTGAATGTTTATAGAGAGTCTGTGAAGGGTAAAATGAAGGCCGCACATTGAATGAGATGCACGCTAATGCTACCTTCAGATAGCTAGACTACAGTCAAGGTGTGGGTGCTGCGTCGCTGACTAATTTATTAAATAAAGAAATGGGTCACATGAATTGGTCGTGCTGTTGACGGTGCAGTATTTTCTGTATTTGAAGCAGACACCAGGTGGTAACAAGTAGGACAACGATAGCTAAAGGAAGCTAATCAAAGCTACACAAGCTAGCGTTAGCTCTGCACGCCTGTAAATGTCACCTTTTTTGACAGCTGGCTTTAGTCTTTTTTTGGGCCATTTCCTTGTAAATGATCTTGCTTAATGATGTAGGTCTACCAGAAGAGTGTTTATATTTCCATGCAATCCCAGGTATTTGTTAGAACCTTGATTATATGTTCAGCAGACTGAGTTGAGATTAACCTACAGGTATTGAAATAGTCTCACCCTGTAACCTTGTGTTTACATTTGTCGTTGTAAGGTTAAGTTATTAACCTTTCGTTTCCAGTTTTTAAATTCTGTCTTGCACATCAGCCCTTAAACTAATCAACCTCCTTAAAGGTAAAAAGTATCAACATACATTGTAGTGATATCTGTTGATTAATAAATGATGTTACCAGTGGATGATAGAAAAACAAACACGTTTCAATCAAAGTGTTTATGATTGTTTATTTCTTGTTGCAGCCAACGCCTTGAAAGGCAGCAGCCCCCTTGGAGCTGGGTATGTGTCTGTAGTTGTTTAATTTTCCTTTTATTTGATATTAACGTAATGCGTTTCACCATCCAAAAATATAAATCTAACAAGTCCTGTCCCTCTCAAGCCTTTTTAAATCATGCTTTGTCCCTCAGTCTGGTCCAGGCATCTCGCTCCCTGCACACAACATCCCAGAGTCTGGCCCCAGTCCCCTCTCTGCCAGAGAAGGGAGGCAAAGTCCGCCATGGCATCTTCCCAGAGGAGATTTTCCAGCTTCTGTACCCCAAAACTGGAGTCACAGGTCAGTAGTCTTTAGCCAGAAGAATAACACAAGTATCAATTGATTTCTGCATTTTTTTAAAAACATTTTTTATAGCCAATTAGGAAACCAAGGGCTTTATTTAGCACAAAAATGGCATTCAGAAAAACAGGCCGAATAAGGATTACTAAATTAAAATAAGATAGAAATTAGCTTTATATAGAGTACAGATGAATAGCAATCACCAAAGAGCTGTGTTTTTTTTGGGGTGAGAACAGGACAGTGCCATTAGGTGGGGTCTAATGAGACAACATAGCTATACATTTTGAAATACTACATTTTTGCCATCTTTTACAATGTAATTTAACTAAATGTTACATCCCTCCATCACATGGCAATGTGTACAATGAGTTTGAGAATGTTAAACTTTTAGGGAAGGGCAAAAGTGCAAACTGCTGCAGAGGACATAGGTATACTAAATTTACAACAATACTAAAGACTGCAAAACAACGTGGCACAGTAATGGTTTATCAACAAGGACAATTGAACACATATTTGGAAAATAACACAGCCCTCCTGCACTTGCTTAGACTCAGAGAGCAGCAATCCCAAAAGGCTTGCACTATTATTTTTGTAAGCTGCATTGTTGAGCACAGAGCTATGCAGGAGCAGCAGAAGGAGTGAAGGTTAACGGAGACTTAAAATGGCAACATGTCATAAAAATAACAGAGTTGAGCGGAGAAGGACGATAGAAACAGAAATGTATGATGCTGAGAAGCTCATGGCAGCAGGTTGAGTAACATTTTCTCCTCTCAACTTACTGGACTGTTACAATGTTTAATGTGCTAGATTAAGACTTGTTTGATCACATTTTGTGGAAATCTGGTGTTCAAACGTAACCAATGAAAGGTTAAAACCGTGTCGCATGTATAAAGTACAGTGTTTCCCCTAGGTTTACAGCTTTGGAGGGGGGGGGGGAGGTGCGGGCAGATGGGCGCCGACACAAACACTTGAAGGAATCTTGGTGTTCATGCTTTACTTTTAATAACAGCTGTCCTGTGGGCCTGCGGGCCGCCCCCCCTAATACAATGGTAGGGGAAACACTGAAGTATGACCCATTGATGCTGATTTAGGATGTTTGTGCAGATCAAAAGTGTAACAGAGAAACTGTATGTGGTAGCAGATGGGGTTAGGTTGTGTCGATGGGAAAATGGTAGAGGGCTTCATGGTAAAACAAATGAAGTCTGCCATTGCAGATAAACAATCGTATCATTAATTGGCTCAACCCCAGTTGTAATACTGTAACTTTATTTCATACAACTTTAATATGAACCTATCCTACATTTGTTGAAATTGTCATAATTGTTACTCCATCAGAGCCAAGAGACATGATTTCAAAATGAAAAAAAAAACATTTTCTATTCTCACTAGGACCCTACATGCTGGGTACCGGACTCCTCCTCTACATGCTTTCAAAGGAAATCTACGTCATCAACCACGAGACCATTGCTGCCCTCTCCATAGGCACCGTCATCGTCTACGGTGTTAAAAAATTTGGTCCAGACGTCGCTGCTTTTGCTGACAAACTGAACCAGGTACGCCCGTAACCATGGATTAGTTATTTTGTTTTGTTTTTGTAAATGTGTTTCTGTTACAGTTAATGGAAGAATGTTTTATGATCAAACCGTGTGTTTTCGGTCATAGTTTATTAATCTGGCGTGTGTTTGCAGGATAAAGTGGCCAAGGCTCAGGAGGTGAAGGACCTCGCCATGACCAGCCTGAGTCAGGCTATTGAAGAAGAGAAGAAGGAACAGTGGAGAGCCGAGGGAAGATCATTGCTCTTTGATGCTAAGAAGGTGGGCGGTATATTTATTTAAAAACGTCTTTGTCTACACTGTTTAAAACTACATTGAATGTATTGACTGATTGTAACTACTAGACACTCCTGTTACTTTGAGCTCAGGAGTAAAATAAACATCATGTACCTCTGACAATATTGCCCTCTGCTGGTAACAAGTTGGCATTACCACAATATTGAGAGAGACTAAAACGATCTGTAACTGGTACTTAACATGGTGAGCTACAGAACCAGGAAAAGGAAAAACAAAAATTAAAAAATCAAAAAAGGTGATTAGAGATGATGCTGATCTACGCAACGCATAAGCCAGATATCTCACTGAATTGAGAATAAGAAATTTTTAGTCAATTAAGTATAAACATGACATGACTTACTTTGGACACATGAGCATTTGGCATTTTTGTCCTGTGGATGTAAAAAAAACTCAAATCTTGTTTTTTTTCATTTGAAAATAGTTAATAAATTAAAGGTCATATTTAGACTTTTCTCTCTCTGGTCACTTCAATCATTTTGTCAATTAATTCTAACCCTTTGTTAAGAGAGAGTAAAGAAGGAATAAATCCTGTTAAGCAGATTTAGCAGATGTAGTCCAGATATTTTTTAACATCATTAACAGGACAGCAGTAACTTGTTTTTTCATTTCAGAACAATGTGGCCATGCTGTTGGAGACAAACTACAGAGAGAGGCTACACATGGTGACCCATGAGGTGAAGAGGCGTTTGGACTACCAGGTCGCCCTGCAGGACCTCAACCGCCGGATGGAGCAGGAGCACATGGTTAACTGGGTGGAGAAGAGTGTCGTCGGCAGCATCACCCCTCAGCAGGTCAGTCTTTCTATGCCGGTGAACGACCCCAGCAAAGGTCTGTTAGTCAGTGTGATTGGAAATATATTCTAAGGAAAAATTGGCTTGTTATACAAGAACCTCAACACAGATGCATCTATAACTTTGGAGAAAATTGATTACACAAAAGGAAAGTTAAAAAATGTTTTATATTTCGGCCAATGCAGCTTTTAGAAATTAGGTCCTGATTTAAATAAATATGTTTAAATATTTGTTCCAGATAGACTCATTTACTTCGATAACAGGACAACCATAATAACAAAATAGAAAAGTCCCTACTCATGAAGTTCTCTATATTAGGTTATTGGTTTTCCTAATAACTTCCTTTTAGCTGCTCATGTTCTAAGTTGTTCTTATCTATTTGTTTTCTTTTTTGTGTGTTTCAGGAGAAGGAGAGCATTGCCAAGTGCATCTCAGATCTGAAGGCTCTGGCCAAGTCCACCCAGGCCATGGCCTAAACTTGTCCAGTCTACTCTTACCCCCGGAGTCTTCGGCCCACGACGAGATGCTCACTTTTCTTTACAGAATAAACTATTTCCTCCTTTAAAGATTGTCTCTGTCAATATAATGGGTGTGTACAGTATTTACACGTCGGATAAGTGTAAAATAAATGGTTCTTTAATTCAACTACAACTGGCTAGTTTGTGTTCTTCCACTTCAGGGAAAGCTTTTGTCTTTCTTGTCAATAATTGTAGTTCTCAATATATGTGGTGACACATTTTTATATCCACAATTGAATGAGCCTCAGATAGATTATTGCATAAGAGTGTTTTCTGGAGTACTCAGACCTTTGATCTCCCTTAAGGAGATACTTTCTAAACCTTTGGACCCATAATAAGCTGCAGATTATTCTACCCTCACCCAACACTGATCCTTCAGTGACAAATCGGACCAACCTCTCTGATCTGTCACTCCCGTCACATAGTTGCACTTTGATCCTCTTGACTTGAGGCAGGAAGTTAAAATTGAATGCTAAGCTGTGAGGGTTGGTGGTGGAAAATCAGTTTGAAAGAAGAGAAGATGACAGCAGAACAGAGCTGACGCTGACAGGTAAAAACAGGATAAAGAAACGATGTGAGGGTTATAGGATTCAAGGTTTTTGTTTAAGGGAGGTTACAGAAACTGACTGCTAGTGGCATTAATATCGTGTTAAGAATGAAGACGTCTAAGCTCTTGCCGAAAGTAAGGCTCCGAACATATATTCAATGAAGCAGTTGTATGCCAGTTTAAACTGAACAGTGATGTGTTTACTTGGTTTTTGCTTCATTATGTTTCTTACTCGATGCGTGTTTGTGTCTTCAACCTGTTGATACATAGAAAATGAGTTTCTGGGTCCAAACAACCTAAACAATAGTTTACTCATTATTTTGTTTTGGATCCAATCAGGAAGAAAAGTTCTCAAAAACACAGGTGGATTAATAATTATTAGCTCTTTGTTAATTTTCACTGTGAATCACTAACAGTTTAACTATTTTAAGTATTTCTCTGAAGTGTTTTATTATTGGCTTCGGTGTGCATTTAAGTTTTGTAAGCCTGTAACTTCTGTTGAGTGTAGCCAAAAGTTAACATGAAAGAGATAGTGGTCAATCTTAATCTACCAAAGAAATGTGTTGTAGAAGTAAAATAAATGACTCCATTGTAATCAGTTTTTATTTTAAAGTTCCTCTCACCAGCTAGCGCCTGACACGTTGAAGAAGTGGTGTTACCAGACCCAGTAAGATTGTAGCATTTAAACCCCTGTGTGTTGAGTATTTTCTATTGTTTGGGAATTTGATTTTGACTGTATGAGGAAGGTTGCTTTAAAAGCTACAAAGTCTGGCTTTTAGCTGTAAAATCTGTCAATATCCCATCTGAGTAAATAAATAATTTGTCCTTATGGAAGGACTATCTCTGCAACCATCTGACCTGGTTTAATATAAACCTGGTGTTATTAAGCATGCTCCTCTACTGTGTCTTTAGGAACATCTTTTCTTACAGGTCGGACTGGAGTGATTCTCGCTAATAAGAAAAGACAAACATTTGTTTGAAAATGTTTGGAAACAGTGGACCTTTCTCTTATGCCCCGAGGTCAGTCAATTTCATTTTATTATCAGGTTTATTACAACACAGCTGTGTGACCATGATTGTTATTTTGACAGCCATTTCTTTTGCTCTCCTGTTTAAATAATCGCCTTTAATTGTGCTTCAGGGGATTTACACCAGATGACCTCCCTCAACAGAGACGAGCTTTCCAGCAAGATGACTTTAAGGCTTCTTCATTGCAGAGAAACATGTCCAGGCCCAGCGGCAAATCAATCTATAGTATGTTCACACAAAACTCAAATCTTATGTTCATTTTTGTGATACTTCATTTAACAATGTTTTTAAAAACAGTGCAGAGAAAGGAGTACTCAGAGGAGCTGAACAGAAAACCTGACAACCTTCACGTCAGAGTGGAGGTAAATCAGCCAGAATGGACACATACTGTATTTCTAACAGTAAGACCTTCCTCTTATCCATGACCCTCCACACTGATTCCACAGCACCTGTTCACCTGCGAGCTGGACGGCAAGGAGGTGAAGACGGTGGAAGGCTGCATGGCCAAACTCAAGAGGCTGGATGCCAAAGGCCGCATATGGTCCCAGGAGATGATCATGGAGGTTCAGGGAGGATATCTGCTCCTTAGTGACATCGAGACAAAAGTGAGTGGCTGCATTCTTTAGATGAAACTCAACAGATTTTATCACCATGACAATCTGCGAGACAGTCTGTTTCTTTTGATAAGGTCTGATCTGCAGTCGGGGGCATTGTCTAGCATGTTTTTGTGTTTGACTAAGGTAACAAAAATGATTTGGTAGGAAACCGATATTTATTTATTTATAAATTATCACTTTATTATTTGGAATTCAATTTGCCTTCAAGACAAATCTTTGATAAATAGCCTGGCACCACAAGACACAAAAAACAAATTATGAATGAAGCGTTATCTAAGTAAAATAACTAACCACAACTGTCAGCTTTAATTTAACAAAAACCGTGTGCGTGTGTGTGTGTATGTGTGTGTGTGTGGTTGTAGTGTTCTGTTTATATAAAACATTAAAGGGTCGCAGGTAGCCTAGTGGTTAGTGCATGTACCCCATGTGCGTAGCAGTGTGGAGGCTATAGTCCTCCAAGCAGGCAGCCCGGGTTCAAATCCGACATGTGGATCCTTTCCCTCACGTCTGTTTCCCCAAATTCTGACTCTATCCACTGTCCTGTCTCTTAAAGATAAAAAGCCCAAAATAAACCTTTAAAAAATGCCCACAAAAGCTTTGTAAAGTATGTAGATAAAGAAACATGTGTGAGGTGCTTTATTAGTTTGGTAAGTTCAGCAGTTGACAAAACAGGTAATAAAAAAACACATTGTCTGAAAAGTGGAGCAGGCAAAAGACAGAGAGGATGGACTTTTCTCATAATTGAGGGGTTTGTAGACAGGCTAGAAACTCATATTAGTGTTAGAAAACATGGTAAAGTATATTTTCCATCATATGTTACCTTTAAGAATTGTATTATTTTATGTTGGTTTTTGTTTTGCATTTTTTATCAATTGCAATATTGAGTAAAACTAAAGGTTGCTGGGAAACATTATCCAACGCTCCATTGTTTATAAGTCAAATAAGACCGAGACAAACATTTTCCGCTGACATATAGACATTTCATTAGAAACAAAGAAATGTTAAGTCAGAAAGCAGCTTGAATGCATCTATACTTTTAATCATTGATTTGTGTATTCTAATAACTCTGTGATGTCACTCTAAAGGCCGAACTGGAGGTGCTGCCTTTGAGCTCCATCCTGAAAACCAAAGCTGTGCTGGACAGCTGCTCCTACAACTCTCTGCTCACGATAACAGTGCAAGAGCAAAACAAACGCCTCTCTCAGGTCTACATGTTCCAGTGTGACGAGACTGGGGTGAGTCACATTTCACCACATCCCTCAGTGCACTCCTTATCCCATCTTTGACCTCCTAAAGCCCTCCAGAGAAAAAAGGACGAGTTAGTCATGTTGTAATGTGCAATCTCTGGAACCATTATCACTATTTCATAACAGGCTCTATTTGCTGATGTCAACTGGGTGTTTCACTGAACGCCATGTCTGTTTTACCAGGCGGAGATCATCAAGAATGACCTGGATAAGGCAGTCCAAAGAGGAGGTGTGGAGCCAGATGTTAGAGAGCCGTATAACATCAGGTATCAGGAGTCATCATGTTAAGCAGAGATTATACGAGAAAAGGAAAATAAAGAAAGCCCAAATGCATTCACTTCTTTCTGTTCGTATTGTTTAGGAGTGATCTTGAGAACCTAGTTGGGCAACATGCTCCAGGAAGTTTCCGGCAGGCTGGCCCTCGTCCTGAACAGCGAGAGAGGAGCTCACCTCCACCACCTGACCACCCACCCCCAATGTGGAGAGAATCAGGTACGGCTTGATCTGAGGCTCTATATGCACATTGAAACATGATTGAATTTACACTTTATTATGTGCTCTTAAAAATATCAGCAGTTTGAGGGAATGCCTTTGCAAATACTCCCATCAAGTGTGATTCATACTGTGTCAACTTTCTCAAGTAGTACAGTCATGTTGATGATTGTTTCTAAACTTTCTTGCCCTGTAGAAATATTGATGCCTCCACGGGGCTACAGCTCACCAGAACCAGCGGGCCAACCTGATTTCCATGATTTCCAGATTAGCCAAGAGGTCCCTTATTCACCTGCGCAAACAGACGAAGAGAGGAACGTGGTTGGTACTAATATTAAACTGTTAGTTACAGGAGGTAGACTCATCATCCTACAGAGCTCAAGGACAAACTCTCGGTCACACATGACAGTTTGTTTTAAAGCTCCTACATGTGACTATGTTTTAATTCATGCTTGTGTTCTGTTCCACAGAACATTTTAAATCATGTCATAGGTGATATAGAGATCTTTATGGAAAAGGTTTCTGCTGTATTAAATGCACAATCACAAGAGGACACGAGCAGGAAGAAAAAGGGGTTTAAGAAGAAAAATGGTAATATCCTTTTCCAGTTTATCTTTCCACAGACTTCTCTAACTAAGAAAGAAAATATGGAGATTTGACTTTGTAAAGGTTTTATTGTACTGATGGCACAGATGTTTGTATCTGATGGTTTCCCTTCCAGCAGTCAGTATGCCATCCTGGGAGGAATACACATCTTTTCTACAGAAAATCAAACATGGATTCAATCTGCTGGTAAATACTTTTTGTATTGTTTTGTAATAATTTGATAAATGCTCGTATGTGTTGAATGTGATAGATTGCATCAGAAAGTAGTGGAGTGTGAACGAACAAATCTTTCTATTGCAGTGCCAGCTGGACGGGATACTGACCAGTCCCACTGCTCCTGACTTTGTCCACATATTCTTCAACATTTTAGGCATGGTGAGCTCCTCTTTACTAATTTTTAACTGAATTATCAACAGTGAAGGCATCAATTCTTTACAAACTGCTGGTTGTGACTGTTTATTGTCCCCTCCTTGTTTCTACAGATAGTTCCTCAGTATCCTGTAGACCTGCCTCCCACTGTTCTGTCTCCCCTGCTGACGGTGTCAACCCTGCGTCTGCTAAGTCAGGTGGTCAGCCTGGAGGAGGACAACCTGTGGAGGTCTCTGGGAGACCCCTGGAACATCCCAAGGTAGGGCAGCCTTTATAACCATCATACACTTACACAAGCCTTTTTTATAAAGCTTGTTAGCTTAGCTTCCCATAAACAGCCCTCTGACGTTAAGCTCACATGTATTGTACCTGCTCTGGCACGCCCTATCACGGGTGTGTTTGCTGATATGGACATGTGGGTTAGAGTTCATGTAGAAAAACAAGATAGGTAGCACTGTGTAATATGAAACTTCTGCTGAATTGATTCGAAAGAGTGAGGCCAGTTCCAGTAAAGACTTGTTTTCAGCGACGGACAACATGGAGCATTGCAAAGGATATAATAAATAACTTAGTTATCCTTACTTTTATTGCGCTTCATAAATGTCATTTAATAAAAATTACGAGTGAGATAGCACCTTTTGGCACTTGTTCTCGTTCTGGACCTTTGCCATTATTTGGAAAGTTTGGCCAACTAATTTTTCCAAAGGAGTTGCTTAAAATCTGAATAATAATACATTCAATAATGGAGATAAACCTGTGAACTTAATGTTTTTCATCTATCAGGTCTATACAAAATAAGTAAATGTTTACAATTAATAAGTCACTAAAGGAATGGTTTGACATTTTGGTAAAAGGCACATTTGACTTGTTGCACGTTAAGATGATGAGACCTCTGGATCTGAATCTACCAGTATCAGCTGAACTAAGTTTAGCATAAACAGATAACCTGACAGTGTCACGGACAAGTTAGGCTTTAAAATCACTGAGAGTATGCCAAGCTAAGTTAACTCACGGTCTGCTGACTGTTTTCTCGCGCTAGACTGCAAACAAGTAGGAGACTCTGATTTTAAGGTTGTGGCACCTACATTTTGGAACCATCTTACCCTGGAACTGAGAGCTGTGAACTCTGTGGGCACTTTGAAAAAGCAGTGAAAGAGTCATCTGTTCAGGCTTGCCTTTGTTTGTTCTGACTTTATTTGATTTTATGTAGCTTTCTGTTTTTAATGTCTCGGCTTTTTCTAACCCTATTGTGAAGCACTTTGTGACGTCTGCTCTTGAAAGGTGCTTTATAAATAAACTTTGAATACTTACTGCAGCTTCAAGTGGTTGTGTCACTCATGTAACTCTCAGGAAGGAAGACATGTAAAAACTATTTAAGAAGTGCAACACCTCATTAAATTATAAAAAAAAAAAAAACTTCCAAACATCAAAATCTACATTTGTACTGTTTTTGTGTTCATTTATATGTGTTTCCATGTCAGCCCCTTCTTGTCTTTTACTCGGCTCACAGTTTTCTGCCCTCTTGTCACCTCACAGCTCTCGATGGCCGGATGATGTCCCAGTTTACATCCCAGAGTTCTACGATGGCTGGCAGCCGCCTCCCCCCTCACACAAGTCATCCCGACTCCCTTATCAGAACAGGAGCAACGACCAGCGCTTCTCACCTGACTCTCTTGTACGGGAAGAGGTAAAACGACACACCTTTAAATGTTTTTGTTACCATGCCCTGTACTTACGGCAGTCAGTGCTCTCTGTTTAACTACTCACCCAGCTAATGCTCAATAAGTTAACCCATGTAGGATGACATTGCTAGTGTAAAACCCTTTACAGTACCTCAGTAACTATTATTCCATTGATGACTTTTTAATAACCATGCAATGCCTAAATGATGTATTTTGTTTGATGTTTATAATGATCCTGTTTGATTGTTGATGTCTTATCTCATTGATGTTTTAATGCTCTATGTGGACGTCAAATCCCTCTAGAGGTAATAAAAGTTTCAATTATGAATTTATTCAATTTAGTGTGTTTACACTTTGAGAGTTTGAAAAAAGCTTTTACAACAGAATCAACTCCATTAAACCATATGAACATTTGTTTATAAGTGGGTATGAAAAATGATAGTCACTGCTATCATCTTGGAGGCCTTACATTTGTCAGTTTCCTTTTTTAAACGTTGATTTTATTCACCATCAAAATGTCACCTTTTACAGCCCATGTCCAACGGTCAATGGAGGTCACCACCACCACCACCACAACCACGGTAAGAACTGTTGTAAATGTGGCTTTATGATCATATTTGCTGCAAACACTTCTAACAAGCATTGACTTGACTTTATAATGATGTGTATACTACACCTCTTCTGCTGTTTCAGCCCCACTGAGCCTCCTCTTTATATGCGGGTTATTTATAACTTCATGGCCAGAAGCAACCAAGAGCTGAGCATCATGAAGGGTGAGGTGGTGCAGGTGAGATGACTTACTGGATTATCACATTTCTATCCATTGTGCCCTAACAGTACAGTTTTTTTCTGAGCATCTGTCAAACACACGTGAAACAACAAGCTGCTTTTTGTTCCAAATCGACCACGTTCTAAGAAATTCTGACTTCACTGAAACAGTCGAAAGATGTCAAGTGTCCAGGATACCAAACATGGTCAAACAAATTCAACTTGTGTTTCATGGCCGCATTTGCTTGTCCTGGGAAAAGATCAACTTTGGTAGACTTATTACGGAAATGCAAAGGAAACAGCGGACAGAGAAAACAGACATGATGTATATGTCCCCACTGGTTGTACTACAGCTCTAAACTTTCATCAAGTCAAATTTGCATTTTTGTCCATTCAGCATTATTGTCACCAAACAGAAATAACCAGTAGTCTTGTGTGTTGAAGTTGCAATGTATTGTCTTTTTCTATTACTCTGTATACAGCATAGTTTCCTTTTACATTTTAGATCATCTGTTTTTAAATGTACTGCAGAATGATAATAGATATCATTCATCACTGTAGGTATTAAAATTCAGGTGCTTCACATGTTTGCCTTTTGGGGCTTTTTTTCTATTTACAGGTTGTTCAGAAATCAAAGCAATGGTGGCTTGTTCGTAACTCCCAAAATGAGGAGGGCAATGTTCCTCAAAATGTTCTTGAGGCGATTAAAAGTGGTGGGCCCACAGAAGATCTAGATGTGAGTAAAGATCTTTGAGTTGCTCTGCAGAGCGATTCTCACACAAACATAACACTTTTCATTTTCTCTCTCTCCCGTACAGCGGGACACTCGCAGTGCATTGAGTCTGGACCTGACTTCCAGACCTGCACAGGTCAGAGCCTGGCTGGAAAACAAAGGTTTCTCCAAAATGTGAGTAAAACAATCCACGGAGGGACTGGAAACTTCAAGATATTTGTTTTTGTTAATGACACATACAGTATATTGCATGATTTGTTGAACATGGTGTGTTTCATGTCTCTTCATTGGCAGCACTGTGAACAGCCTCGGGGTGCTGACTGGTCAGCTGCTTCTTGGGATGACCAAAAATGAGATAAGGACAGTTTGTCCAGAGGAAGGAGGAAAGGTTTTCTTCCACCTTCAAGCTGTTAAGTCAGCCATTGCAGTAAGTAATGCATGATGTATGCACACTTCTAATTAACTTTAACACTCCTATAACATTTGTTCCTGTCCTTTACACTTACAGCTCGCCAGTGAGCCATCAGGCCCGTACAACGGTCAATACTACTAAAAAACCTGCAGCACTCACTGCACCTTCAATTTTGTCCTGAAATTTTAACCACAAACTATTGGTGTCTAATTCTTTAATGTCAGGATTTATCATAATTACTATGTGGATGGCTGCTTTAAGCATCATTTTATTTAAGGGAAACAACTTTGTGAATAAAACCTCTTTTTCTGGGGTTTGGACTATTTATCCCCTCCAGCAATAATTGTAAGTTACACTGCAACTTATTTGAATCATTATTTACGCCTTGGTGTATTATGTGTATTTATCCCAGATGTGATTCAACTTATCTCTTGTAAATCAATCTAGTACAATACTTGGTCTACAATAAAAAACTATTTGATTCTCATGCCTTCATAAACAAACACCATGTGTTGTATTTTCTTTTAATTGATTTTCAAATGTCATGAAATGTACATTTAATGACACTTGTTTCAAGATGTATCAAACAAATTACATCTTTTCATTTAGATGAAAGGGTCTACAAATCTTAAATCATAAAAGTACAAAGTTGGAATACTTTTTAAACAATTTTGATTCAACAAGAGAGAAAAAACCCAAAACATGTGATATCAAAACTGGGCTATTGTTAACAGGTTATAGTTCTCTCATTTTTAATGTACGAGAAATCGATTTCAAACTTGAGAACATTCTTTCTTGTTCCCCCACTTGGCCATCTTGTTGTTCACAGGAGTCTTAATGAATCTGCTTGACTTCATGTAGGCATCGACCTTCTCCAGTTTCTAGAGGATGGAGTAATTCAAACATGACAAACATGCACAGTTAACAAGACAATACCAACAACTGTTCATACTAGTGGTGGGCGATATAACGATCTTAGATCGTGAAGGATTTTAAACTTGCTGACGATCTGCCAAAGCAGGGAGCTCGTAAAACCAGGCTTATGTGTTTATTCTATCATGCTGCAGTTTATGCTCCGACACAGACGCGTCTCCCCCTCTTTTGCTCCGCAGCGGTGAAAACGAAAACGAAACTTAAAAGTAAAGTCCGCAAAAAAAACCCTCCATCTCGGTTATATGCAACTGTTCTGATATGTCTAAAGATCAGTATGAAAAAAATCGTGATAAAATTGTGATTTTGCCCCCCAAAAAAATAGTGATATGATATTTTTCCCCTATCGCCCACCTCTACTTCATACTGTTATTTACATACTGACAGCACATTCAGACTGTCGCATCAACACAGAGGAAGATGAAAGTAGCTCGAACACTGGACTATTTAAGTCCTGACTGCTACTTTCAGTGGTAAATTTAAGATGTTGGGTTTATATATAGAATGTGTAGAAGTGTTCTCACCTCAAAACGCTCCATAAGACCTTTCAGGTTGTCGAACTTATCCAGGCATGAAGGGAAGCACATCCTGTGTTGATCCAGCAGCTCATACATGATGAAGTCCACAAAAGTGATCTATTGTTTAAAAAAAATGGTAAGGTGGAAGGAAAGGAAAATAATGGCTCAAACAAGACTTTAAATCAAGAGCCAGTTTGTCAATGTTTCTCGCCTGGGTCAGGCTTGACAGGGGGGGGGGGGTTGCCTTAACTATGAAGAAACTGTGGGAAACACTGCATCTAATGGAAAAGGAGATAACCTTTTAAGCTCAATGTGTTGATTTGATTCCAGTTTCTAACTCCAGCTGGTGTCACCTATATCCTCCCAATAAATCTACTTCATACTATCTGCACAAACAGCTGACAGACAAAGCCAACATCATAATGCTTAAGACCCAGTTAAAACACAAACCCTACTTAAATGTGTAAGCTATAGTTGTATAGTTGTAAGAATTTACAATGACAGATGATTGACTTACATCGTCACCTGCAAACCACTTCCTTTCTCCCAAGAAGTCCGAGAACTGCTTCAGCGTGCCCAACAGCTTCTCAAAATACCCTTGCTTTTTTCCATCCTGATGACACAGAGGCAACGTTGTCATGAGTGTCGCTTCAAAGGCCTCAGATAACACAAGAATTATGTTTAAACTCCAATTGCAATACTCACAAAATCCGTGTAGCACATCATCACAAAGCCGTTTCTGAAGTCCATTGACTGGTTCTCCATGATGTCCACACGGATTTTCTCATCCTCCGACTTTCCACCTGTGACAACAACAATTTACGTCGGAAATGAAGACAATAAACGCTGAGATATTGCCCCTGAAACTATCCGTGTGTAACTGTACTGCTATGTTCAAAATGTAGTCTCTGGTACTCAGACGACGGTGGTTTAAAGAGTTACAAAATGTCAATTTTCTTTTATATTTACATTTAATGGATTTAAATCTAGATTAAAAAGAACAGTACTTACACATATCGTGCTTACGAGCAATGTATCGCATGATGGCATTGCTCTGGACTATCTTCCTGTCTCCATCCAACAAGTAGGGCAGCTATAATCACAAATTCCATTTTTAGTTGACAATTCAACTGACTTGATCAAACACATAACTCAAAGCTTCAAATCCCTTACATTAGGAAAGTCCAGTCCCAGTTTATGTTTTCCATCAAACCAGCAGCTCTTGTCATAGTCGGGAGCTGTGGGTTAGAAATGTGATCCGATTGTTCAGTGGGTGTGTTGTATGTACACTTTTGTCACTTATTTATCATTACCTATAATTAGCTATGTTTTTGACAAGTACATTACCTTCACCACAGCAGAAAAACTTGTCCTCATACTTGGTGCCTGTGTACTCCAGCAGCAGGCGGGCAGGCTGTGCAAGCTGTATGAGATCAGAAATATCAGGGGTTAATAGAGGGATTGGTCATATTTCCCATTTCTGAGTCAATACCTTGTGAATACCTTGTAATCCTGGTAAAGCATCAGTTTAAGTGCTCATGATGACTTGCGAGAAATGAAAAATGTGAGGTGTGTCCTGACCAGCGACCTGATAAACCAGTTCTGATGAACAATTACACTTCATTACATGAAGCTTAAGTTGTGGAAAAACTATCAGTGAATTGTTTGGTTATGGTAAAAAAAAAAAAAAAAAGACAAAATATCTTCCTAATATTCTGAAGGCCACAACAGATTTGATGTTTCATAGAGACACTAGGGATGGGAATCACTGGGTTACTCGATCGCAGGTATCGATACAATACGTGGCCCATAAACACACAGCATCTCCTGATAAATCACATTTTGCAAGAATCATGTAAAGCTACATCATAATGTAGCCTAATTAACTGAAGAATAGAAAATGTCCCCTCATGCACGTTGATGACACCATGAGGAGTCATGAGGTAGTGATTGGATGAATCCAACTGACAGAGAAATCTGGGTTTTTTTGTTCAAATATTGTTATTTGGTACCAGCGATATGTTCATTGAACAGCATGAGTCAGGTTGTTAATATTGGCCTATCAGTAAATAGATTTTTTTTGTCCATTCCCTAATTAACACAGAGCTCTAAACACATGTCATATTTGATGCAATTTCAACCTTTAAGAATTTGAAACCATATTAGTTTCTTGAGAGAGGGATGAGGCATGAACAAGTACAATACAGTCAACTGAAAGATATAATAAATTGTAGTCCAATGTGTAAGTAATCATTAAGACATTTGACCTTTACCTTTTACCTGTGACAAGTTGATAATTAAATAAGGGTTGCACAAGTGGCTGCATTGTAAAGTTGTAGGTTTTCAGTGTCCTGCTTTCATCTAACTTCATTAAGAAGCACTGACAAAGGCACACAAAAAAAAAGTAGGCCTACGCATGATGTAACTAACTTCAAAGACGTGGATAACCGACTAGAAAACAGCCACCCAGGGAGAGCAGCTGTAACTGTCTGGACATTAATTAAAGTTACTGCAGATTAGCTCATGTCGGCTGCAGTTTAAATCAAGTCAAACAGCGAAGTGCCTGGTTGTTGCTAACACATAACTAATTATAACATTTTGTACACGTGCAAACGAAGCAGTATCAGGCTTTAAAACACCCTGAAGTTGTTGAAAAATTACAAATTATGAATAATAAAAAAAAAAAATGAATTTCAATGGCTGCTAACAGGTCTATGCTAACGTTAACCAAATGGACGTGAAGCGGCACCGCGCTGCAGACACCGCGCACTTTAACTAAACATGACTGCTTAACTCACCCCACGTATGTCCCAGTACGCCAGTATCATTGTCATTCTCAATACCCTTTCGACACTTGACGGGGGCTGAACACTTCAAGCTGCGGAGACAGAGAGGGAGAGAAGAGAAAGAAAGAGCTGCTGGTTTCTTTCACACGGAGTAGTGGGCGGAGTGAAGCGGGCCGTCACATGGTTACTTTGTTTGAACGGGTTGAACCTATAGACCGGAACCCTATGGTTGAACCTCACAGTCTATGGTTTGAACAAAGAAAAATGCACAAGGTGTGTCAATGTATATACGTTTATCTGACAGGCAGTTTATCACTGCAATCTGTCCTAAGAAATATGAGTTTGTTATGAATGGTACATTGAAGAAGGCTTAAAGCTGCAAGTCCAGACAGTCTTGTATAGGCCTACCAGAGACAACAATGCAAGCAGCCTATGAGTGCAAGAATGCCTGCAGGGATTACTGTGTGAAACCTTCACTTTAAGCTGTGGAGTGACAACAACAACAAAAAAAATAGTGCAAAGTTTAAGTTAAATTTTATGCAATTATTCCCTTTTTTATTAATTTTTTTAAATGTAAAAGTGACATAGCTGCAGAGATTTTGACCTTGGGAAAAGTAAATTAATGTCTACAAAACTTCCGGAGCTTTATCAGTTGCCTTAAAATATTTATAAATGGTTATTAAGTGTGACAAGTGTCCTGGTCAACCTTGCTTTGTCTGTTCAGTCAGTTCAGTATCTGTTGGCGATTACAATGAGGTTTGTTTTTGTTATGTGACTCATCAACAGTTGGTTTTAGCACAACCAGGCACTGTAAATCTCCACATCCAAAAATCATAGGCTACTGTAAAATGAGAAATCCTCCCTGCATATTATCACATAGTCTCTTTCTGTCTCGAGATAACACTTGTTATGATTTGACGCTATACAAAAAAATATTGATTGATTGATTGATGAATTGGTGTCAGTAAGGACATTTTTAGTAGTTTTTCTGAATTTTGTATTGTTCTTCTGGCTCACTTTGACCCACATTTCAGTGTAATGAGCAAATCCACCACACAAATCATTCTTTGTTTCACTCACACAGATTCCAAATAGCCACACTAATGATCACTGGCTGAATCTAAAGGAGTTAGATAGTTATGTAAATGATGATTTTCTTTTGTATTGTTCTTCTTTCTTCAAAAAAATCTCCTCTAACCTGCATTTTTCAGTTTCAGAAGGCATTCATTTTATCCTGGCATGTACAAAACTGCACCAAGAACCACGATGTAAACACTTTTTTATTCTTTCTTTGACACAAATATAATTAAATAATATTTCACAAACAGCACACATAATTCTCTGAGAACGACATGCCAAGCTTTTGAGCAACAAACAGCACAACAGATAACATCAGGACCAAAAACTGAAGGGTGTGACAGGCTAAGTTGACTGTAGTTCTCTAAAAAATAGTTTATTCATGAATTTGGCAACTGTTGAACTTGTGCAAGGGTTGGAAACCGAAGAACACATCATGCATGATTCACTGAACTATGACTTGTCAATGTTTTTTGGTTTTAAACGTCCAGACACAGAGGATCAGATCAGAGTAACACTTCAGACTGTCAATAGAAACAATGCCACAAAATAAGATGTACTATAATAAGATGCTACATCTGGGTAGCTTTACTGCACAACAGAGACAAATACGTGCCTTCATGCAAAAGGCTGTAAAAACAGCAAGAATATGACACAGAACAGCTTTGGGAAACATGTTGATGTCAGTAACAGTTGCAGGAATACTGTAGATTGTTTTCTGCTTGTTGAAAAGCATGAGGTATTGTCCCGTGGATAATTATATGGGGATGTATGGAATTGACTCAGGCAAAAAGATAGAGAAGTTTTGCAGTAAATACTAAACAGATTTTTACTGAAACATTTTATAACTAGGTAAGCAGGTAGTAGCCATGGATTCAGGAAGTCTGAGGTCATCAGAACAGAAGTCTTCATCCATCAATCACATCGACTCCCAAGAAGGTCATAGTCATAAATATGACTGTATGAGTGTGAAAGTGTGTGTTAGAAAAGTTGTTCCTACATTATTAATAAATAGATTATCTATTCAGGTTCCAGTATTAAAAATGCAGGATTACGTTTTAGCCACTTTAAAATAATGAGAAGTTATTGGTTGCTAGGAAACCTCTTGTGCTGTCCAATCAAAACACTCTATGTAAATAGGGCATGACTGTAACAGCACAGGCTTTAAAATGAGTGCAGTTAAAGGATGCAAACAGTATTCAAATCTTATCGGCCAATCATATGTCCAATGTAAATGGAATCTCCTGACTATATTTGTATAAATGTAGGAATAGATTTCAGGCTGCTTTGCATGGAGCAAAACCTTTTCTGCTTTATATTGTTTATGTGCATAAGCTTTGCTAAACAAAATAAAACTAATCTCAATCTATGAACGGTTGTGTGAAGTGTAGCCTGTTTTTCTTTATTTGATTTCTACTTACATTTACAGCTTATTCATATTTGAACCTGAGAAACACTGGAGCTAGCAGCTCCTGAAAACCATGATTTATTTCTACACTCAAAATAAAATACTGTCTCAAAATCGTGTGTACTGCTACAATGAGCTTCTAAAATATACTGTTGATGAAGTTTCATCAATGTTTTGAAAATTGAATGCCTATATTGTTCAGTATATGCACACTTTGGACAGATACATATAACAACAATAGTTTAAAATAAATAGATGAAAAGACATTGTGAAATCACCATGAGAAATTAAACAGCATGATTCAGAGAAACTAGAGGAAATCAACACACTGGGTACACAGATCGTAGGTCCTCTCTGATAGTTACTCTCATATCGTCTTGTAACAAGTGTTCGTCTCCTTGAAGGTGTGATATGTTGATATGCATACAAAGTCCTCATGAGCAGACAGGGAATGTAGAGTGTTGTCGCATGTTCATTTATCTCCCTGCACAGCTCCCATACACAGACTCCCCTCCTCCTCAATGGTCTCCAGCTCATCTGTGCGGATAGCTTGTGTGATCAGATTTAACTCCTCACACATGGTCTCGTATCGGTAAGCCACACGGATGTCAGGAACGTTTGTGCGTCTGATGTCGTTGCTCTCCTGCCCCTCTGCGATGTAGTTTGGGCCGAGCCATGAGCTTTTAACCTGAACCAAAGGAGGCGGGGTTAGAGTAAAACAATTCAACAGTCTGCAGAACAATAAGAAGACAGGCAGTCATATGGATTGATATTTAACGTTTCCAAAGATATGATTGATACCTTATGAGAGAAGCCACTCATCAGCACACTGTTTCTGGCCAGCTCACACATGTCGCAGGAGCTCAGCTTCCACACTTGAGCAGCAATACTGTACTCCTCCATTAACGGCTCCTATCAACAAACAGCACAGTAAAACACTGCTTACTAGACGATTTCTTTATTACAAAGTAGATTCATGCTCACTAAAACTATTTGGAAATCAACACCAGATTCCCTAAACCATAGAAATGAATAAATCTAAAAGGGGATCGTAACAGTTAATAATGTTTTAAAGGTATGTAGTTAGTATTTTTCTTGCTTCTAAATTGGGCGATTAGTAAAATATACTGCATATACATCTGATAACATTTGTTATGAATTGGCGCTATGCAAATAAAGATTGATTAATTGATTGATTCATACTAATGAAGGCCTTCTTTGACTAGCTTTTATGTTTGAAGTGGTTCATTTTAGCACCACCTGTAGGTACTTGTGGTAACAGCGAGTCCAGTTTAATGACACATTTGAGGTACTTATACTTTACTTCAGTATCCCTTTACTCCTCTACATTTAAGGAGAACACATTCAGCTCCTCAATTCACTTGTTTTCAGTGATCACCTGGGTTATTTCTTAATTTGCAGATTCAGATAACATATATAAACAATGATCCATCAATAAATTAGTATTTTCTTTTAAATGTGAGAGGGAACCACAGTAATAAGTTCAAATGAGCTCAGAGTTTCTGAGGATCTGACATCCGGTCTGAGACATTCGGTGTTCCTCTATCTTTAATGCCCTGATATGTATCTGATTAATGCTTTATTAAAAAGGCAGGTGTGCACCTTACTCAGTGTCAGACAACGCTGACTTTAATTACATTTATGTAGCATGTGTGTTGGCTTAGTGTACATTTGAGAAATAAAGATGATATAAACCATTAATAATAAAAACCTATGCTCTTTTTTTATTTTCAATGTATCTTTTTTGTTTCTCTGAAAGTGTTTGAGCGACTGTGCACACTTACCTTTGTGAAGTGAAACTGCAGAGGGTCGTCTGTGGACAGAGACACCATGAGGCCTCTGGACAGATACTCTGGCAGAGGGTTACGATGGTAGCTGAGGAACAGGCTGTTATTGCTCAGAGGAGACATGGCGATGCCGATCTGTGCCAGGTAATACAAATACTGCAGCACAGGAGCCTGCAGGGACACAATGCATCATGGTTTGAGATGTAATAAACAGACAGTGCACTATATTAAAGTATTAGTATGAACAAAGATAGCGGAGTTGATGTAAACGAGCCGAGGACTGGCACCATTTCTTTTTTTATTACATTAATTTCCTCATGAGCTCTTTTACTGATGAACTCTCTTTTCTGTGTGAAATGAATCCGTTCTCAGGATATTGACGTTGCACCTTTCTGAGCAGCAGCCCATGAGAGATGTTCTCTGATAGCATGAAACCGGACACCAGGTGATGGATCGGCCCCGCCTCCCCGCAGTGAGGACGCAGGACAAGCGTGTGAAACCCTCGCTGCCTGGGACAAAACAGAGAGAAGAAAGTGACTCAGTTATTATGGGTTTATTTGAAGATTGGGAGGGTGATCAACAGATTTAAAAGGAGTTCAGCGTTGTCATTACTTGAGTTAATGAGAGTGGGCTGTATTTCTTAGATTTCTGTTTCCCATTGTACTCAAGAAGCTTAGAAGATAGTGTTTATGCAAAAAAGTGCATACACAAGCTGCACTGGTTTGAAAGCTTGTTCTTTCTTTATTTAAAAAATGTGGAAAGTTTAATAATGTCCAGCTATATCTATATATATTTAGAGATATGACAGTGGATAAAGAACCCGGGCTGCGCACCATGAATAACGTCCATGCATTTTGTCTAACTACCACCTTGAAGTGAGTGATCGCTCCCAAAGTAACTGTTACCTGTTTTTACTGTAAACACCTCAAAACATATTATCAGGGACAGTAGGCAGATTACAGCAGCAGTAAGACTGAAATGTAGTGACATACCTGCGCAGGTGATTCAGCACGGTCATGTTTGCATACATATAGTAGAGGTAGTATGAGTAGGGCGGGTTCTCCTCCTCTGTCCAGTTGACTGGTAGCGGACTGTCCAGATTGAAGATGAGTTGCTCTGGTTTAGACTCATCGTCAACACTGTCGAAGCCCAAAACCTGTGAGAGGGACCAACAAGAGATTCATGAAACCCTCTGAAGTCTGGCTGCATGTGAAAAAATATGAGTACATGAGTCCATAGTTAAGACATCATACGTGCTGTAGGAAGAGGTGCAGCTCTGGGTGGCTGCCGGGGTCTACTGTAACCTCAAACAGAGGCATGAAGATATTCTCCAACATCTCTTGAAAGTTGGACAACTGTTTCTTTGTGTGGTAGACGTCACTTTAACAGAAAAACTCACGTGAGAATACTTTAATGTTACCTTTTTATTGCTCATTTAAAGCTTATTGTTTGGGCTCGCTCAGGCATGGACCAGCCCCTAGTTATGCTTTCGAAGACTAGATTGTAAGTCATAAAATGCAGACTCAGCTCCACTCTCTCTCTCTAACTCTCTCTATCTGTATGCATTCTGATCGTATAACTTCATGTCACTAACTGTAAATCTTCACATACCATTCATGTTACTAACCATATACTCTATCTTCCTGGGAGATCTTGAGCCCCCTTGTCTCATAGACTCCTCTTGATTGTTGCTCAGACAGCCTGTTGCTGTGGACATGCCTGACTCCAACTTCTACAACTATTAATATCAGCCTTACGTCTATTATCATTATTATAACTGTTAATGTAAGTTAAAGAATTACTCAACTCCAACTGTTATAATTTGTAGTCCTGCCCATTTTCTTATCATTATAGTTGTAAATGTTAATATTCCAATTAATTTATTTTTTTGTTTTTCTCCAACTGTTATGAAGAATATATAGAAGGGTAGTTCAGATGATAAAAAAATATCATTTTAATTGCTATAATGTATAAAACTTTATTATCATTTATTATGCTCATACCGTCCATTTATATGTAGAGCCTTTTATTCCCAGTCAAACCTGTTACAGATATATATTATTTAACATGCAGAATCGTTTCAGATTTCCTGTCAATGTGTTTACTCACAATAGTCGAGGCACTTGCACCAGCCAGCGCACATTATTGGAGTAGACGAGATGTTTGACGGCCCACTTTGCCAGTTTGTCCCACTCGTCTCTGGAGCGGCCGTAGATGGACAATCTGAGCTCCACATTCTGGTACTTACTCTCCTCCAGGTCAGCCATCACCTCCTGAAGAGCAGTAACATAAAGAGTCAGCAGGGGGCGCCAGAGACATAGCCGGTCATTCTGCAGACATTTGTGACAACAGCAGTGTTTAAGGTGTGACTGATCACCTTAATAATGTGACCAAAGTATTTCCCCTCAATATGGTTGTCTGTTTTAATGAAGATCTCTCTCAGGATGGACTCTCCAATGGGATTGTATTTGGCATTGAACTTGTCAAAGCGATGAAAAGTGTTGCGGTCCTGCACATGACAAAAAAAACAGATTTTAACAATGTCTCATCAATGATCATCAAGTCTGGTTTAATAACTTAAAAAAAAAAAAAGTATCATCATGAAACTCAGCTGTTAGTGTGACTAACCGCGTGCATGTCCAGTGTGTCCACGCTCAGGTCAAAGGCCGTCAGGTTCATGCTCTCAAACACCTCCATCAGCGTCTGACCCTTGCCGTTCTCCACATGAACAATCTCCTTGGGATACTTCTTCATGGCCCTCTTTATGAAACGCAGCAGGTGCTTTTGGTTCATACAGGAAGAGGCATGAATATGTGTGTCCACCTGTAAAATATTTAAATAAAAAAGATAAGAAGCTTAACCTAGGAGGTGGTTCTGGATTCAACAAATACTTATAATAAGGCTCAGTAGAAACAGCTCTCATGTTCACCTTACGGATATTGTAAAAGTCTCGATGTGGGACTTTCTTTTGTGCTGCCAGCTCCTTCATCTCATTCAGCAGGACGTGCATCTGGAACTTAGAGCTCAGGTACTGCAGACGTCGGTAACAGAAGGACTTCCTGTGGCAAAAGAAAACAAAAACAATTGATGCGTAATTTTTGCTTTATCTAAAAATCCAATATTAAATTTAGCTTGAATTGTTTTTCTATTCCGTAGACAGAAAAAGCTGTGACACTTATTGACATATCTTAATCATTTAAAATCACATCCAAAATGCCTGTTATAAATACTAACATGTATCAAATAATTTAAAAACGTACACTGGTCCGTTGATAATGAGGGCCATCATGACGTTCATATCTGCAATGTACTCCTGCAGGTCTGGATAAGGAAGCTCCAGCTCTGTGCTCCTGTTAGCAAAACCAAAACTTAAGCAGAAAACTCTCGCTAAAACAAAACTGTATGAGTCTAAAAAAGTACAATCTATAAAATAAATAAAGCATGCATGAGTGGAGTGATTCCTAACAAACGCCTCACTTTTCCATGACGTTCCTCGCCGTGTATACATGCATGACACCATCCACCATCTTGCAGCCATAACCCATGTCAGGGGGCATGCTGGCAGGGTCCTGGTTCTCATATGGGTGCTTTTCAGAAACAGGTGGGTGCACTGTGGCATCTGAGAGGAGACAGAGCGTTGCATTGTGTCATGGCTTTGAACGAGGTGGTAGCGCACATGCATTTCAAACAGACTACATGTTGTGACAGCAGGTTCAGGAGTGTGTGACAGATGGACTGTGAAATCTGTGATTGTGCACCGTTATATCTTAATGAGAGGGCAAACACACTGGAAATAACTCCCATTCCTATATTAACAACATGCGATTTATTGTGATATTAACAACATGCTACCTTATGATTTCTGGCTGCTTATAAGATATCTCTTATATCTTGTATTTCTCATTCATCTAAGTAGGGAGGACACTTCTATTTCTTACCTCTAGATGTTTGTAACTGTCTTCTCCCATTATTTGTTTTCTCTGAATCGATTGTATAAGGATCGGTTTCTTATGCTTCACATGTTGTACTTTTTTTTTTCTAGATGTTCATCTACACAAATCAAATGATTAATGCTTTAATTATGTGAATAGTTTTTTGGAAAAACAAAAACACACTAATAACAAACTTTTAGGCTAGCAGTGGTTAGAGGTTTTACTGTGGTGGTGCAGATGTGCACATGTGTAAACACCTGCGGTGGCTGTGGTCTCTGGGAACTCCTCCTCCGCAAATATTTCCAGGTCCAGAGGTCTCTCACTCAGCTCCTGCAGGTAGCGAGCAGTGGTCCTGTAGAAACTCTGCAGTGACAGACCCATATACTTCTGTCTGATGAACAGAGCCTTCACCACACATTTAGCTGCATCCAACAGATCTGTGAAGGGAACCTGGATGAAGGAAGAACAGAGTCAAACAAATGGAGATAGAGGCAAAGACACAAAACTGAGTTATTCAATAGTGAGAAACATCACAAATGTAATAGTGTGCCAAGCTCTTCCACTTTTAAAGTATTTTTATTCCTTGTCTTCTTCTCTCGTCACTTCAGCTGTGACTCAAGCTTACCCCACATTTTTCCTCTCCAGAGATCGTGACACGCTGATACTCTTTCTCTTTAACCAGCTCTCTCTCTTGCAGGTCAGAAGCTTGGCTCTGCTCCTTCATGTATCTAATGATAAATCAACAGACAAAGACCGACATTTATTTTCTACCCTGGTAGATTACACATTTAAAGCATTTTAAGTTCACTGTTGGCACTCACTCCAGGTCTGTGGCACTGTCAGTCTTCATGAACTCCTGTTTGGCTCGGAGGAGGATGTCGGGTTCAAACCTGAGCGCAGAGAGAATGAGCTCACTTACGGTTCAACATCATTAACTTCAGGATTATAACGAACAAACCTGTTTTTCTATCACGACACCTACTTGACATCCTGGCTGATCTGTCGCTCGAGGCGGTGACGTCTCTCCTCCAGCTGTTCGATGGGGCTGTCCTCTGGAAATTCATAGGGAGCGCTGCGCATTTCACTCTCCGCCAGCGTGCGGGAGAACAGCTCCTTCACAGACACAAAAAAACAGTTAAGGACATGATACAAGTCTAAACATCTAGCTGCAAGCACGTTTAAAGCGATTCCTGAATCAGAAGCATAATCACTGAGTTATTACCTCAGCTATCTCCTTGTACTTCCCGTCCATGGATGTACGCAGATCAATGGATTGTTTCAAGGCCACAGGGATACCAGGCAAGGAATGCTGGGAAGTGAGGAGGTGGCGTGCACCACGGAGATCAACTAGAGATTAAAAAAGGGGGAGAGGAAAATTTAGCACCTTACAAAAACAGAAAAAAAGTCGTTAAACACCTCGTTTTGATCAAAGATGGAACATCAATGCCTTGGTGCAAGGCACAAGTAATTTCATTTCTAGAAGAGGCTAATTCAGTTTAGCTGGCAGCAGCTGCATCCTATACTGTCAATGAGTTTATCAACCTTGATAAAAACAGCAAATGTCTTCTCATTTTACCCAGCATGGAGAAAGTGGGCTGAACATGAAAATGAATTGTGAATGAGACCAGTACAGGTGCTCTGTCTTTACAATTCTTCATTCCTTCAGCACATCATGCATTCACAGTAACCACAACAGTCTGCAGAAGCTTGTTGCTGCTCCATCAGTGGGTCTGAGCTCAGCAGCTGTTTGTGACCCCAGACACAATGGAGCATTCAGGTGGGGAGCCCATCAGCACACACACACACACACCGGCTAATGCCCTCCATTGTTGCCATCGTCAGACTCAAGTTTTATACAAACCCAGTTGTCAAGGAAAGGAAAAAAAGAAAAATGAAGGGGGAAAGTCACTGGGAAAAAAAGCGTTGGCTAAGGATGACTGTAAGTGGAAGCTTGGAGAGAAGTATTTCAACAGTGAGGTGAGAAACAGGAAACAGGAAGCAGACACAATGTATTCACTCTTGTGTCCTCTCGGGGTGTACATTTAGCGGCCTACCTGCGATGATATTAATCTTTCCCCTTGAAACTACGCACCTGCCACTGAAATATTCATCATTCTCCTGAATATTTCATCCTGTGAACACGAGAGTGTCAGTGAGCCTGTTGTCCATCAGTATTTATAGACCATACACACAGGAAGGTTAAAGGGGGCACTCAGTTTGATACATGCAGTCTGTGCACTCTGTGTAGTGCTGTGTGCCGTCTAATTAAAGTCAGATTTATTTAACAAAGCATGTCTGAGTCTGTCTGCTCTATAGGGGCAGTGAGGGAGTAGAGACAGGCCAATCAACTGGACCGGTAAGGACTCGACAAAAAGCTTAATTATATGTATGAAACACTTTATGAGGCGGCAAAAGCTGTAGCTAAAAAGAGAGAAGAGGTGATAGTGTGGTCACGTGTTTAGCACCTTCTCCTTAACACTGTCCAATCAACACTTCCCACACAACACACTGAAGTTTGTCTAAACCACAAGGAAGCAAAGTCACAATATACTCAAGAGTGTGCAGCGCATATATCTCAGGCAGAATCACTTAAGTGAACACTCAGTGTATACATATTGAGGTGAGACTAAAGCAAAAATAATTTTAGGAAGATGTCATTTGAAGCAATCAAGTAAAATGAGTAATTTTAGCCCCTAAAGCAACTTTTTGGAAACCTAATGCTTAAGTATTAAATGTAGTAGCAATGACTTGTTGTATTCTTTAGTGAATGTGATTTTTGCTTCTGAAAGTAATAAAGATGTATTTCTAGGTGGGCCAGTGGACCTAGTGGTTATTTGCACACCCCATGTACAGAGGCTGTAGTCCTCGAAGTCGGCTGCCCAGGTTCAAATCCTGCCTGTGGCTCCTTCCCCGCATGTCATTCCCCACTCTTCCTCTCCCTGATTTCCAACTCTGTCCTCTGTCCTGTCTCTACAATAAAGGCTTAAAAAGCCAAAAAGGAGATATCAAAAAAAAGAAAAAAAAGAAAAAAGAGATGTATTTCTAAATATTTATCAGCAATTGGCTGAGTTTAAGCAACTCATGGATGAGGAAATAAATGAGAGATGTTGGCTTCAATCAGTCAGACAAATTTAGTTCTGACACAAACAATTGTATTTTTAATTGAGAGAAAATAATCAAAAATCCTCAGTAAACTATTTTTGTTTTGTTTAACGAGCAGCTTAGAAAACAAATAACTATTGTGTACTCTGCACACAGTACTCTAGAACCCCTATGGAGATGTTGGGTATATCATGTATAAAAACTACACCATTAAAATACTTTCATTATCCATGTCCAGAGCAGCCTTCAATTGATGAAAATGTGACACAAACTGTCCTCAAGTCTGCCACCAAGTTGATAGTTGCTGATAGGAAGGAACACGTCTGTGTAATGTAACGGCTGGCAAAGATGTTATCCCTGCTGTCGCTTGGAGGCATATCATTTTACAGTGATAACAGCGGACACTGGTGTGGAGGGCAGAAGGGTACCAGCAGCAAAGACATCCACGTTGGGCTGCAGTAAAGCCAAGCCTAGCCAAGCCTGTCGGGCCCAGAGCTAATCCCCTAATGGCTGCTATATTTGGATCAGTAGCATCTATGGTTACGCAACAACTCATCCCCCCACTGTTGGAGAACAAACAACTCAGAAAATAAAGTCGACCATGTTTCACTTGAACATAACCTAGTTGGCTTAAGCTCTTATTGATTTAATCGTAGCAGCAGGAGAGCAGAACAAGTGCCCGTAAATTACAAGGTGTCTGACACAATAACAAGTTAAATTATAGACAAGCTTCAGAACAAGGTCAATAGTATCAGCTAACCGCGGGTCTTCCACAGCATGAATATTTCAGCAGCAAGACAGAGCATAACTCTGGTACTCAAACTGCAAAAAAGAAGCGGGTCCATGAGAAAATCACATGAGAAAAGTCATCCGAAGCATACAAGCCAGAGGAGAGCAAGAGGTCAGAGGTCAAATGACATCCTGTAAAACTTAATCGACAGTGCAGTTTTCTTTTCTTCTTGCCTTTGTTGTAGCTTTTCAGAAACAGCAAAGAATCCCTGTCTGAATTTCCCAATATATTAGCATTAACATAATTCAGCCTGATTACACTGAATTATCAAGAGACTCTCTTTCTTTGTATCTCATTCTCTCTCTCCTCTCTCCCATTCTGTGTTTCTAGCATCAGACCAGCCATGCATCATCAACCACTGTCTACCTGCTTCTATTGACTATACAAATTTGATATGCAGCCCACAGGGAATGCCGCTGACTCACAGTAAAAGGTAAACGTACTCACAGCTCATGCACACAGAAAGCAGAAAGCATTGCCAAAAGTTTCCTAAAGGTTTTACAATTCCATTTCTTCTTTTTTTCAATACATTACTTGAAAGACTCGTATTTGTGAAAACTTTGTTAATTTAACATATGACAACCAACACACAACAAACCTGATCAGCTTAACTTCCCGCACTGTTTTTTCACACTATTCAGAGTAACAAAAATGAAAACTGGCTGCTCACTATCACATCAAGTCTTAGTCGGAGGGTGGGGATGATTTCTCCTCCAACATCTCTTTCTGACTTTGCATGATACAGTTGATATCTCTTCGGATATGCAGTCAAATTCTTTCTACTGCCAGAGATGTTTTAATCTGTGCAGCTGCATCAACTGCATGTCTGCAGGCCCATGTGGATATTCTTGTAGAAATCTCTCTTGTGTGTTCTGTCGCAGCTGTCAGCCTTCTTACTTGAACCGTTAAGAAAAGAAATGCTAGAAATGTAAAGTAAAGATTCCCACTATCCTGGTAAACAACCCTTTGATCTGATCCCACAGCTGCAGCTGAAGTCAGCACAATTTATCGATCTGCTCTGCTTCTTTGTGCACAGTTGCATCTCTGCACCGTTTCCAAAACACATGAGAAAGCTAGTTTCTGGGACAATCAATCAGAACACATTCTCCTCTGCACTAAAGACAGAACTGCTCAGGGCTATTGCACAAAGCTGTCAAGGGACAGATAGAGGAGAGTGGCAGTGAGTGTGAAAGAGGGAGAGGAAAAATAGTGGGGGGAGGGTTAGGGGAGGAGAGGAGAGCGTTATTGTGCTTTTGCACAGGATGGGGGTAGTGGAGCATACCTGTCTATACTCAAAGCCTGCGTTAACCAGCAGCTAACAAGGCCAAGAGAGGGAGAGAGACAGGGAGAGGCTGAGAGAGAGACAGAGAGAGGCTGTCCTGGGAGGGAGATGGAACATGCCCAACAGCAAACAGCCCAGGATGGCATCTGCTGTCCTTTCAAGACGGGTTTACCATGAGAGGTGAGAGGGATGGAGAGAGGCAAGAAAGTACACTTCAAACACTCACAGTCTAATGACAAAAATGACAAAAACACATGACCGCTCAGACACAAACACACTCACACAGTCAAACAGTCAACTCCTCTATTCCCTATAATCTGTCCCTGTCATACATACAAAGAGCTGGTCCAGCAGATCCATGAACTCCCCCTCACATCCCAGTGTGTGACCCCCTCTGCTCTCTTCAGGCCAGCTGTCGCTGCACTCGCTGCCTCTGGAGCTGATCCTCCTCATTTAAATGCCTCTGACATCTATCTGGGATGTACCACAGGAGGGAGAGGAGGCAGGGGGGAGGCGATGTACATCACCAGCTGATGTGTGTTCTCTAGCAGTGAGTTTCTTTAACTAAACCCCCTCTCCTGCACTTTATCTGTGTTCGGGTTGTTTGTGTCGTCTGTTCATGTGCGTGAGAATTAAACGGTGCTGTCTCAGCTGTATAGAGTGAGTTTTTTGTTTTGTTTTTGCAGGCTGAATAGCGGCAGCCTGAATGTCTAATAATGAATCCTTGCTCCCATCTCTTCTCACATGAACAAAATTAAAGGGCCAGCACATTAACCCTGTTAAGGATGCAGCTTCTGGAACATGCTTACCCAGGTTGTAAACACAGAACTGTGTGTGTGTGTTTGTGTGTGCTAAAAAATGACGAAAAAGCAGATTAATAATTTAGCAAACTGATGCAATTTCATGCCAAAGAATGATAAGTGATTGTGAAATCCTTGACTAAGTCTGCAGTGTGTAAGACATATCTATCTTCTACTTTTGCACTGAATGTAAATTTACACTGGTTAACACCAATGGCTGCTCGCTACGCTTGCACAAAAGGGCCACGTGGCTTATTTAGTTTCTTAGAAAGTGTTAAAACATTTGTTGACTGAATCCATTGTTAGCCAAGACTTAGTAATCCAATGAATTTGCAACCATAAACATAAGGTTTTACGTAGTGTTTGTGCAACA